TTAAGGCCGTCCATAAATTACTCGAGGGATCTAAGGGAGCAAGGAGGCGCAAGGTTGCCAGAATGCGCGATTAGAGTTTCATATTTCAAATGGGTTTAAGCGGGGAAATTGCGATTTTCAGCTCTATCTGGCATCAATGAGTCTACAGCTGACTCGTAAATGCTTGAGAGATGGCTGATAAAGAGGAAGCGGGGTCCCACATGCAAAAGGGTCAAAAATTGGAGAAGTGCCTTGCATAATGCAGTCATACATGTAGCCGGAATATTTTATTTAATCGCTTGTATTTAATAGGAATTTCCTTCAAAAAATACGAAAATGCCTCTAATTATATCAAATTTTTACTCCCAAAATGGTGGAGCCCACCGACTTTTTAAGAGAGGGCACCTTCTTTTTCATAGGCAAACCATCCATCCAGAGATAGGATTGAATAAATTAGTGAGATTTTTATGATTTTATGGCGAACAAGTATATCGTCTCGGCACTGCGATCCCATCGCAGAATGGCAACCCTGCTGATGCGCTCAGCCCCGTTTCTGCAATGGGCAGCATTTTTTCTTCGTTATCTTTTTCTCTATTCTATTTTATGTGTTTTAACTGAACATGTAGGTGGACGCTTATATGGTGTACTAAATGGACTACATTCTGCAATTAGGACAAACAATTTTCGGCTCAGTTCAGAAACAACGTATATAACTATTAGTTTCCCTATGCACATAAGTGCTTTTACAAATGAGCCAGAAATTGTAGTTCCGAATTGCAAAATTTAGTCCAATTTATGTGGAAGTAATTGGACTTCATTTTGCAATTTGAACTATAAATTCTAGCCCGGTTTAAAAACAACGTATGTGCCATTGGTTTCCCTATGCACATACGTGTTTTTTTCAGATGAGCCAGAATTTATAGTTCCAAATTGCAAAATGCAGTCCAATTATTGAGTGAGTAATTATTGAAAGCAAATTATTCTCAAACTACATACATAAAATACTCTAAAACTTCTTTACTCGTAATTAAATTTAAAAAAAGTTTAAATGTTGGTAGATAAGTCCTTCTTCCACAAAACCACTCAATATATACTGTCATTTTTAGCAGTATGCGTACGCCCCCTACACTGCCTTGCTAAGGAAAAACGCCGTATGAATATTCAAGAGTTGCCAAATTATCCTCAATTAAACATGCATTTTGGATGAGAGTTATGCATATTTTTCCTTGAAATGTTCAGATATTTAAAATTAAATTGTGAACGAAAAATTGAAAAATTGGTTGAAAAAATTGAGGAAAATTATCCAATATTTTCTCAGTAAATTCGGTGTTTCTTGAGGGAAATATGACGACGCCTGAAGGGTCATACGGCGTTCTTCCTGAGAAGGGCAGTACACCCATCCACCTATGTCCAAAGAAGGGTGTTCCGCAAAAATCTCAATTTCACCGCCCCCCTTCCAATAACCCGTTCAATTAAGCATACACTGGAAAAAAAGGTGTTTGGCTCAAGCATGATGATTCTTGAATTTGCCGTCAATAATTTTCCCTATCTTGATTTCGGCTAAATTTTTCTTGATACGAGAAAAATAATGCTTGGGTTAAGCGAAAAAGCAGGTTATATTAAGCAGCAAAATTATCGATTTGAGAAAAAATGCTTCTTGGCGGCAAATTTAAGATTCTCATTCTATCAGTGTAACACCAATCCTACAATATTTAAGAAATGTCCTCGATTTAAGTGGGATTAGCGACGGTTTGAGAAGGGCGACCAAATCAGAGCGGGCTCCGAAACCCGAGTGTCCGGGGACGGGGAGTGGGTGGGGACGGTCCGAGGGGTCAGATCATGAATGAACCATGGAATGAACTTGAGGCGAAGGAGGACAAATCGCGAGGGGCTTAAAGTTACGATTCCTATCGTAGTGGCACAGGCCGGGCCGAGGCGAGACAGGCGTGGAGGAAGGTTGCCCAAATCAATATTCACCGGGTGGAAGCTGAGGGTTGCGGCTGGAGAGGAAATTGATGACGTCACATTCATCGCACCGAGGTCTATATATGTTAACTGCTTACTCTACTGTCTACTCACCGACCCCCCTGCGCCCCCATGCCCCCCTCCGCCGCCGCGAACAGCCGTTTTACGGTCTCCCCTCCCCCCTCCTGCCCACCGAATACCGCCGACATGGGAGATGGCCTCTTTCGGACCTACGTCACGGATGGATCTTCGTTGGTCGATACCTATTGGTTCGTTTCTAATGATGCCCCGCGGGGAGTTTATGTTATGAGGTTATGGAGTTCGAGTCCAAATTGGATTACATTTTACGATTAGGGCTATTATTTTTGGCTCTTCCATAAAAGTAAATACCTGCATTGATACCATCAAAGTAAGAGGGAGGAGGGAGAAGAACAGGAGGCAGAGGAAGAAGCAGAAAATGTGAAAAAGAAACGGAAGAGGAAGCAGAGGAGATTAAAGAAGAGAAGAAAAAGGAGAAAAAAAGAAGAGAAAGACGAAAAACTATGAAGAAAGAGGAAGGAGGATGGCAAAGAGAGGAAGCAGGAAAATAAGATAAAGAAGCGGAAGATGAATAGGAGGGAGAAAACGGAGAAGAAAAAGCATTTCGACGGTATAAGTCGGCAATCACATGACACGTTTGCGGTGTCTGAAAATCTCCGCCTCTGCTGTGTTATTTTTCTAAAAGAGAACCAATTGACATAATTCCTTGAAGTTTATGCAGAATTGTCTTCGCACAGAGAAGAAAAATCACGAAAGTTTTAAGGAATTGCCGTTGAGCAGTTCTCCATTTAAAAAATAACGTGTGACAGGAAGTCTGCGACGTCGCAAACCGAGTTATGTGATTGCCGACTTACACCGTCGATTTGTCTGTATATGTTGTTTCTAAAATGAGTCTAAGGTATTAATTCCTAATTGCAAAATGTTTCTTTCTTTGATGGATAGCCCTCGCAGCACAAATGGTCCAGAGAGCTTTCATGGAATTTTAAAAAGTAAACTAGGGGCCTGTGGTCGCTACGCGGTCAACAACCACTGAAAATAACTACACGTAAAAAATCGTAGAGCAACCATGTTCAAAGTATTTTAAGAGATGAATGGGTTCAAAACCCGATCGGGTGCATCTGAAAGAAAGCGTATATTTATCTCTGATTGTAACATAATGCACTACTTTTATGTTTTATTTTTGATACATGTTTTTAAAAAGCTACACTCAGTTTTTCTGAAAAGTTTCCGCAAATTTACCTTTGTGATCTTAAATAAAAGTGACGAAAACGACGCGATATTTTCGTTCGTTCTGTTTTCTTTTAATGTAACCAAATAAAAATTAAATATCATCCGAGTTTCTATAGTTATGATGAGAATACATATTTACCATTTAATTATGGTAAAAACTGGAGCAGAAAGTCAAGAACGATGACACACAGTCCTTAATATGCGTTTCACGCCAACTGACCGCCTGCCGCCTGGACTGCGTTTGGCGCAATGCGAGAAGTATTCAAGCAGTCTTGTAGGCGCTAACATGGGCTTGACGCCGACCGCACCGTTTGGTGCAATGCGTGAAGTATTCCTGAAATCTTGTAGGCGCTGATATACGCTTAACGCCGCCCACACTGTGTTCGGCGCGATAATTCGAACTCGCGTCAGAGTAATATCGCGGCATCGAGTGATAGAGCTTTTTTTAAAGTTGTTTTTTAGGCTTTATATCCGGGGGATACTGCTGCCTTGGAAGGAGGCTGACAAAATGGAAATTAATAAAATAAAAAATGGAAAGTAAGTTATAACTGGAATGAGAGGGTAGAAGCGTAATAGTAGGTGTGGAAATTTATGTTAGTATTCTGTAAGAAATAAAGGGATAGTAGTGAAGATTGTATGAGATAAAATAGATTGTCTTGTATTGGATTTTTTTTTCTTCTTCTTTTTTTTTTAAATGGTTGGTTGAAGGGTGGCTATGTTCACGTTCACAGAGGCTCAACTGGAACGGCTTATATTGCTAACCTAGGACAGAGCCGTGGAAAACATACATCCAGATTCCAGGAAATGAATAATAGAGCTTAAAAGGCCCATTTTGGGTTTCGACTCCGTATGCGCATTCCAACGTTGCCTCGTTTCTCCCGATTAAATATTTTTTCCGAGAAAAGTTAGGAAAGTTCTTTATACCCACGACCATTAGTCAATCTTTCCTCTTCATTTATCACCAGAAGGTAAGACATCGATGACACGTCAACAAGTAACCTGAACCAGCGTTAATATAGAAATGCGTTTATTTTCTAACTGTTTCCTGCTTTGCCAAACTTCTACCTTAAATTAACTTCATTTTAACTTTGCGCAATCCTCGTGCCTTTTTTGCGAAATCCTCATATATTTTCTTAGACCTTTCTTGCAATCCTGGTTTACCGTTCATATCGGCCGTAACATTCGATTCGTGTAACATGTCCATGGTCAAAGTGCAGAACCACGTACCTCCGTTACGACGTTTTAAAATTTCCGCAGAATATTCTGTTAACAGGGAAGAAAAACCAAGGGAACGTTTGAGAGCATACGCTGACAAAAGAAAGAAAAGAAAAAATTGAGTACAAGAAGAAGTCTGTAACATCGCAATCGGAGATACGTTACACTTTGATCATCCATGTATTTTCGATTCGAAAGCCCCTATTTTACCTAACTACAGTGCTATTTTTACATTTCAATTTAGGTTTACATACTTAAAGTTTATCTACACGAACCGATTAGTTCAGTCAGTATGGAACCGGGTTCCAGGAACCCTACACTACAGGTCTTGGCAACTAAGTTAAAGTTTACACCATCTCTGATTGACTCGAACATAGAATAGACTATGACTAGACTAGTTTCAAAGAGTGAACCATCAAACCCGATTTTGCAATCATATCATAACAGACCAATTCAATTTGGCAATCTTTCCCTCAATTTCTAGTGACGCATTTGTTCCAAGAATAATCGTTTCAGGTGCTTGTTAAAAGTTTACAGGAATAAAAACAACTTGATTTATTTCTTTGTTTCAGAGAATTGTAAACTCTCAAGCCTGTCCTCTGAACTCCGACGAGCTGGTGAGTGTTAACTTATTTTTTGTTATTACTAACTATTTTAGCCGTGGAGTGACTCGTAGATACGGCACCCACATACAGCGCATAATATCCTGAACAGACACCGGTTGTGGGAGGGGAAAGTAAAGTTTTCATCTATTCATCTTATTTTTGACATGAAATAAAGTCCACGTACACGCATTTTCCCAAACAGGAAAACACTGGGAAATTTCTTTGAAAATAGATTGGAATTAGATGCTGCTTAGATGCTTGGAAATTAGATACTGATTGGAAAGAGATTAGTTTTGAAAACAGATTGGATTTGTAAAAGAAGATGTCAGATAGTTGATTAAAAACTCGACGACGTCACGCACAGTGAGATGGCATGACGCGAACAATATGGTCAGCGAAAAAAGTTAGAAACGCTTTGGTTTTCTAAACGCCTGGATGCGCAACTATTCGTACTCAAGGGATGTCCGTGTTGCATACATAGAAAATTGCAGACTTTTTCGTTTTTCAATCACAAAACCAGCTGCAATTTTGTGCTTAAAGGTGTCGTTGCAAGCATAAAAAATTGCAGGCGCTGTGGTTCTTCCGTTAAGGACAACTGAGAGCCGAAACAAATCCCGTCATCTCAAGTGGAAACAATTAAGTTGACAGAATCAAATAACCGTTTCTTAATAGACTGATTTAGTGGCTACGTCATGGTTCAAATGTAAACAAACGCATGACCTTGTTTCTGATTCGCGCCCTTTGCGCCATGGTAATAAAATGCGTCCAAGTGTTTATTACAATAGAAATTTCTCCTATTTATAATGAGTCATTAAATGATTTTTGACCAATCAATGGCTAGGTTTTCATGAATTAACACAATTAATTCACGAAGAATATGTACATGAGGTTATGTTAGTTTGTTTTGGTTTGAACCAAGAGTTCGATATTATATCGAATGACGTAGTCACTAAATCAGTCTTTCAAGGCAGTCAGTACTTCTTAAAAAGTAAAAATGAATATTTGACAACCCCATCATATTTTTCAACTAAGTATACCATTTATAGTGCAGGCTGAGGTTTAAATAATTGTCCGAAGTAATATGTGCAGTCTCCTCCTCTAGAAATTTTTATACCCATTATTTTCACATTCTTTTGGGGTCCACGGTAAAGACAAAAAGATGACATTAATACGTGAAACTTTAAATGAGCTGTAAAGAAAGAAGAAAAAAACTTGCTAAGCTAGTCTAACGACTAGTGCACCGTTGGATTTGTGAAATATTCAGACTATACTAGGTACTCGTAAAACACCTTTAATCAACATAAGAAATAAAAATCTAATATTAAAATGACTAAAATTTACTTTCACCCAATTTATTTTCGTCCATTGAGCCAAAGTGCTGTGCTATAGCAGCAAAAATGATATTGGGAAACCGGTTCCGCAAAAAATGACACAAATGGGTCACTAAACCTTGTGTTTTTTATTTGATATTCTGAAAGTACCAGGTGAATAGATCACGTGGTGATTTATCTGCGTCTTTTTGGAGCCAAAATCCCGAACAAGTCGGGTTTTAAAAAGTCTAAAGACTCCAAAGACTCTCAAACGCGCCAGAACGGCGGAAAAATGGTATTAGTGAAGTAAACAGTGATAGTCAAATCGCTATCTCCTATGATTTTCCACTCATGTTTGTTAAAATAAAACGTATTACAGTGTGGAACTGTTACTTGTTAACTACAAGTAACATGAATGGGATTCGATAATTCGAGTCTGAAGATATAGTTTTGACTTTCCTATTGTTTTCATATACAAGGAGTAGAGAGATATTTGACAGAAGTCGTAGAAACCCGTCCTCGTCTCTGATTGGTACCGGATGACATCATTCGGTTCGGCGCAAAACCAGGACGTTTTAAATTTTCGGAAAAATTTCACTTTTTGCAACAGAACATGGGGGAGAATTTTATGAGCCACCCTGCGCCGTCAGCAGCGCACATGGCGCACGACCCGCCTTTCATTATTACACTTCATCTAGCGTTGAGAGTTCACCAATTACTTCACACGACCATTGTGTCATTTTAAAAGTCGAAAATTAAGAGAAAAATTGTTTAAAAAATGTATACGATATGGAGTTTCTCTGTTAGAGAGATCTCCCCGCTAAAAATCGCTCACCACCTGCCCGCCGGGAGCGCCACAGCGTGCTGCCAACGCGAAACGCCTACAAACCTAAGGGGCTACTTCACGCATTGCGCAATGCTTGAAGTATCCCCTTAGGTTTGTAGGAGCTACTTCACGCGTTGCACAATGCTTGAAGTATCCCCTTAGGTTTGTAGGGGTCAATGTGCGTTTCTAGCTGGCAGCACGCAGCGCCGCAACGTGCCATAAACTTGCCCACAATTAATAGGTCAGGGTGTTAAAGTCTTGGCAATTTGACATTAAATTCGAAATTAGCGACTCAAAAAACATCAGTATTACAACTTTTGTGATCTTTCGTTCATTATTCGACTTATTTCATCCTATCCTTATGAGTTTAGGACCATAGTGTGCCGCAGGCGGCGGCTCATGAAATTCTCCCCTGTGCTCTATGGCACTTTTTCAACTGCGTATTTCTTAATTTCCGAGTTACTTTTTCGCGTTTTTAATGTACGTATCGTGATCTACGCGCCATTTTACGACAGAAAGTAGACTCGCAAGTCAAAATCCGTTTATGGTTTAGTGGCCCATTTCAAAACGCGGACATTCGTTGACGTGATAAGTCGATGTCTGTCTTTTTGCGATCAGTGCATCTGTGAGTCGTGCATTAATTATGTAAGGGACAAAAGTATATTAGAGTTTTTTAAATAATTTACTGCATACATTATAGTTAATTCCGTGTAAAAACTGAGCACTCACTCCCTAAATCGATCGCGGTGCATATTTCCTCTTGATACGATGTTTTCTTTTATTTAAAATGGTTAAATGGTGCTAATTTAAGAGTCAAAACGCCTTAAATTTTTGTGCATGCAACACGGACATCTCTAGAGGACGAATAGTTGCACTCTGGACCTCTGCAGGAGCTGGCTTTAAGAGAATACCAAACCGCCTTTAGGTAGAATCAAATAAGTTTTGCTCCTGAGAGCTCGGAAACTGTATCTGGCCAGAAAGTAGGGTTTTCTGGGGCTTATTTTTTCTTATCTTCATCAAAATTTCATGTGAGTTTTACGCAGGTTCGACAAAATCGACGGTAAAACTGCATAAACGTGTAGCTCGGTTTACGGTGTTGCAGATTCCCTGGCATACGTTATTTTCTAATCAGAAAATTATTCAACGTCATTTCTTGAAAACCTAGGTGATTTTTCTTCTCTGTGTGAAGAAACTCTGTGAAAATTATAGGCGGTGACGTTAGTTTGGTCTTCTTTTGAAACACAAAATCAGGGCGGAGATTTTGGAACATGCAAACGAGATACTCGTTTTTATAGTCTCACCGTCGACTTGTCGAAAGCTATGGAAAAATTTAAACTCACCATAAAATTTTGGAAGAGACAAGCTAAATTTATCCACAGAAAATCCTTTTTCTTGCCAAATACAGTCTCCATATACATCGGAATTAAGCTTATTTGATGTTATTCAAAAACGCTTTGGCCCTCTTAATGGCAACACTTGAATGCAACTATTCTTGGTATAGGGATGCCCGTATTGCGTCTAAAAAAATTGAAGGCGCTTTGACTTGCTTAATGGCAACGCGTGGCCACAACCATTCGTTCTCGTGGGGCATGGAGTGTCCGTGTTGCATTTTCAATCATGTTGATCATAAAAAACCTTAGATTTTGGATGAGTCGTGTAGGGTTTGCCAAAACAGATATGTACGAAGAAATTATCGGCAATAATATGCGGAATAGATAGGCGCGCTTTAGGAACATAAATTAAGGTCTCTATTCGCATCTGCATGGACTATAGGCAACAATGCCTGAAGATGAACCCTTTGTCAGCTATATACTGAAAAAAATGCTCTTCTATTTCAGGAGGACCAACTTGTACGCGTGTTGGAAAAAAACTCAGAACTGACTATCCAAAACACCGATCTCCAAAAGCTTGTTCAGCAGCTCCAGAATGTAAGTATGCCTTAAAGGCGGAAAAAATTTACTTGATTTGTTCAGCCTTGATTCCTTCACGGAACCTCAGCTCTACAGATCCATTAATTCAGTGAACGGTCTTCGGTTCCGAGGACCGAACAATTGATAGCGTGATCCGACTCCGACCTGTTTGATCGATAGAATCGAAATTCGGTTCGATTAATCGAAGGATCATATTAACCAGGGAAGTTTTGGCTTAGCAAGCTGAATAACTTCGGGCGCTGAGGAACATTCTCTGTATGAATTAAAGTTTTTCCGCTTTTGTTTTCTGAGAGGTTTTCCGGACGGATCCTCCAACTGAACTGACCCTACAAACTAATGTTTGGTTCCCAAATAGCATAAAGATGAGGAAATATTGAAATAATTTTGCAATTGAAAGAAATACAATTTTTTTCGTCTTTTTTTTAAACCGAAAAATTACAATACTTTTACATAATCAGCAAGTCATAAAATGCCGTTTTCGAGTAAAACTTTGCAACTCTATAATAAAGATATGCCACTCCGTCCCTGATCTCTTTATTTCATTTTTTCAACCCTATATATAGCATACTTAAAACTCGTAGCGATCGAATACGCTTTGAATAGAATTCTAAACCTTCAACCTTCTATGTTTTGACAGGTGAAAGGAGGCACTGGAATCTCACTAAACGCCAATGAGAACTTAAGTCACATATTAAAGGTGAGTAATTGATCAGTCCGTTTTTAAGTAATCATTTTTATGCCACAAATTGCGGCGAGAACTCGGCCTGAGCTCGGAGAGTGTCTCGGAACGCTCCTTCATTTGAGAGGCTAGGCAAATTGAGCTATCTAAGAGTTGAAATAGTTGTATCATCCGTGTTTTGCGGGTGCTAAGTATGGCACTGCGCAACACTCTTAGTAAGTTAGATATTGCATGAAAAATGATACTTAATTCAGTATAATTAAGTTTATTCACAACTTTCCTTACCTTGTATCGCTGTGGATGAATTGAATGAAGGATCCATTCAAGAAATAAATTGTGGTAGAGTGAAGGTTCTTTACTAATCATTTAGGTATATAGTGTCTTTTCCAGGTTCTTATTTAAGTAATTTACGAGCTTAAAAAAATGTTGGGCGAGTTTCGTTCAAAATTATCATCAGAAAAACTTTTCATTAACTTGCATTTCGACGGTGTAAGTCGGCAATCACATAACTCGTTTGCGGTGTCTGAAAATCTCCGCCTCTACGTTATTTTTTTGAGGGAGAATAAATTGACATTATTGCTTGAAGTTTTTGCAGAATTTTCTTCGCACAGAGAAGAAAAATCACGGCAGTTTTAAAGTTAAAGAACTCGTTGAGTAGTTGCCCGTTTAAAAAATAAAGTATGACAGGAAGCCTGCAACGTCGGAAACCGAGTTATGTGATTGCCGACTTACACCGTCGATATCTAATTGCTTGCCTATAATATTTGCCATTTTGAGAAAACTTAACCTTAATTTTTCTCAAAGTCAAAAATAAGAGGCGCCTTAACGCGGGTTGATGACAGCGCATAGATAAAAATTCAGTGCTTGATGGATGTCCATGTTCCACAGGCAAAATTAAGGCGTGGGACGCGTGAACTCGCAAAGTTGAGATGTCGCTCAAATTCGGCAGAAAAATTAAAAAGCAATGCCGAATGACGTCTTTCCTACCTGCTCCGACTGTGTTGCTGACGCTACACTTGGTGCACCACTGTGAATAAGACAAATGGAAACGAACAACATGGAAACAGAGTAAGGGAAAGGACGCGCGATGATGACGGCGCAGAGATACAACTATTCGTACTTGATGGATGTCCGGGTTGCATCTGCCAAATTGAAGGCGCGATGGCGCGAGGCGTAAACTTGCACTGGTGCGCGAGCTTTTTGCTGCCTATAAGTTGTAACTTAGATTCGGAAGAAGAGTTATGAAACGATTCCCAAATACGTCATTCTCATCTTTCGGTTATCGATATTTTTCTTTTTCCCATATGATGTTTGATTCTTTTTACTTTCTCGCTCCCCTAGTTTTTACTGTGTATTTGTAGACCTTCGTAAGTCCTGGCCTCATACCCGTGGGCCATGTGTTTTCAGCAAGTCTCAGATTAATCGATTAATTTTTTTTTTTTTTTTCAGCTTATGCGAGATGCCTCCGATAAGCGGAAAGAGTATGAAACAGAACGTGCTGAGGCGCTCCTTGCATTACAAGATCTTCAGAGAAAATCGACAACATCCCTGGAAAAAGCCAAAAATTATGAGCTGATGGAAGCCTTACAGGTAAAAAAAAAAAACCATTGTTTTCGTTAAGATTACGGGCGTTCCCTTTATTAATTCCCTCCCCGAAAAAAGATATATCAAGATCCTGACATGATACAGTTTACTGGTCATTCTTCATGAATTTAGCGCTGAAAATTATTGAGGGATTAGTTTAAAAACACTTTAGATATAACGTAAGTAATCAGGGAACCTAAAATTTGCGGAACTAAATTATTAAAAATACTTAATTATAAAACGTAACCAAAATGTAGCTGAAACGCACCTGTAACGTAAAGTGCCTGAGCGGAAATCAGGGCTAAGCTATGAACCGGAAACGAAAAAGAAAAAAACGGCGGGAAGCGGAAACGGAAAAGGAAAAAACGGCGGGAAGCGGAAACCGGATATTGAAACATCTCTTGTTTTGCATGTTTGTTGTTTGAGGTTAGGTTCTTGTGCTGATAAAAATCTGTGACGACTGAGTTTAGATTCAGAGTTTGTATAGTAATCACTCAAAAGAGAATCAAAATCTTTTTTAGCCTCCTCTTTGTAATTCATCAAATAAGGATACCAATCATCTTTGCGAAAATATATTTAGTTTCGGGTTTGCAAATGTGTTCATCCAATTTTCTCTCAAAATTGACCAGGGAGAGCCTCCTTGCGTCGCTATCCCTCTTTTCCTCCATGACATCTCGTAATTTCATTATATCTTCAATCACCCGCTCCTGTGTACACCGAAAAATGGTTTTTGTTCATCTGTATATGTCAAGCCCCGCTTGAGGAATTCGGATCAGATGCTTTGATTGGTAGGTCAATGCATTGCTTGCACATATTTCTCAGCAGAAAGTATAGTGAGAGAGATTCAACTCACTGATATATTTTTATCATAGAGTACATAGAGTCATAATGTAGATGGGAGAGCTGGCGCCATGTTTTCTTATGTTAGCGAGTTCTGAGCGCTTGTGTGCGCCAAGCTTCGGTCACTTTTTCGATACATTTTCAAACTCAAATGGCGATGCTTTGTGTCGAATACGCAGTAGGTAATTCCTATTCTCTTTGTTTATATCAGCTGGCTGGGTCCCCATGTATAAAAAGCAATTGACTATGTTTCGTAAAAGTGATCCGGCGTGACACAAGAGTCTCGGAATTCGGGACTTGGAAAATGCTTAAAAGTGGCGCCAGCTCTCCCATCTACATTACGACTCTATGTACTCTATAATTTATTTGAGTACGTACGAAACTCTAGGAGTGAATATCCAGCAAACGTTAGTTTGTTCAATAGGGCACAAGAAAGGGTCATCTTGTGCTTCCAAATATAAACTAAAATATAAACTTTGGTGAGTTTTCCTCTCTGCGTGAAGAATATTCTGTAACATTTTCAAGCCAGGTTATCTGTCAAGTCTTCTTTTAATGAATGAAATAGGAGCAGAGATTTTGGAACACAGCAAGCAAGATGCGCATTTCTGCATTTTCACCATCGAGATCCACCGAAGCGTACAGAAAAGGATCATTGAACGCACAGAAAACAGCATCTCTCAATTTTCTCTGAGAACATACTCTGTATTATGCACTCTTATCATACCAATGACTTATTGTATCTTTTTTCATGTTTCAGTCCAAAATTCGGGAACTGGAAAAAAAGACTGAACTGCAAAACGTTCGACATGAAGAACTTTTGCTTGAATTAAGAGCGATTAAAAAGTCTGAAGGTAAATCAACTACAGATGATGTCACAAGTGATGGAAGCTGGAAGCGGTCTTCTACTAATCAAGAAATTCAAACCTCTCCAGATTCAAATACCTCCACTCCTGGTAAGTCTACATTACATGTGATGCCATTTGCCTTGGGACTTGCAATGTGGGTCATATACCATTACTATCCTGCTTGATAAGTCCAAATGCAAGGTATGGGGTGACAGTAATAGGTGCGTTTACACAACTGTCAAGTTTTTATTGGAATTAAATGTAAAAAAGAGAATTTGAATGAACTTTTAGTCAAATTTGGACAAGTTTGAACAAATTTTTTTCCATATATCAGATGAGACAACAAACATTGAAATTTTGGCTTTTGTAGAATATTTCTAAAATATCGATAGGATTCATTCTAAAATAATTTGTCTAGTATTTTGTGTATGACTCAATGTCACATGGTTTTCTGAAATTTCTACCGGAGAAGAAGAAATGAAATCAAGTCTCCTGCTGTGACTCTTTTTGGCGTAGAAAGACCTTTTTATTTTTCCTATTCTCGTGAAGTCTATTCGTATTGTCTCCTATGCGCTGCTACTAATAGTCTTGTGTTTATTCACCCATAGAACTGAATGACCGTTTGTCACGCCCTAACACTGCACACGAATACTCAGATCATCAATGGCCCACCAAACATCGTTCACATCACTCTTCAGGTACATTTTTCTTCTTATGTTTAAAGACCAGAAATTAGTCAACTTTTCCAGCAGTCAGAATCAGCCTTTTATTGAGTTTCCCTTTATTTCACCATCTATGTACTGTGGGTTAATGCCATCATCAAGAAATAAACCGGATTTTGTTTCATTGATGACATTAGAAATGGATGAAGTACCGCCTACATGGTATTGCACAATCATGATGCAATAGGCACAAAATAACCAAAATATTGGTTAAATGCCATCAGCATAACCCAAACCGGAGTTCAAAATAAGTCAACAAAACTACCAGCAGAGTTCAGTCTCTAATGGGTTCTGATATTCGGATGCTTTTATTGTAATATTTTACCAGCAATGATTTCCAAGTGATGGCATGAAACTACAGTTGATGTTGAAATGAAAAACTACTTTTCGAACACCAAAAGTACTGAACTGCAAGAATGTACAGAATAGATTAAAATAGTTTATTTCATACCAATAGAAAAAGAGGCAATAAGTATTGAACTATGGAGAAAAGAAACCCCTTTATCACGGGCCAAGGACTTGATAAAAAATAAAAAAAAAAACTGCACAAATAAATCTCCACAAATCTTAATGGAAAGCTTACGTTAAGTAACAGAGGATGGAATGGTTTAACGTTAAATGTAACCAAGATATTCTTGCCCAGCTTCGTTCATTTCTGCCCTGTTCACATTCCATTCTTTGTCTGTAAAATATTGTTGTATTTAGATGTATAGAGATAATTTGGCTTACAAGCATCGATTAGTGCATCAATCGCCTTAGTTAGCATTTATTTTGTATCACATATATTGCGTACCTAGTGAGCCAAGTAGCACATCCTCCTATAAATATTTCATAATGGCTGTCATCCATAAAAAATCAGGTTGGTGAGCTCCCAGCCACGAAGAGTATTGAATGGTTTGTAAATTTTTTCTTTATTTTTTTCAAAAGAAATTAGTTCTTCTCTTGATGTCTCAGTGTTAGGCCAAGACAGTGAGCCTTCTTTAATTTAAATCACAATATTTATGTGAGCGGCTATGAGAAAAGAGACCTTCACCTGTAAAAACTCAAAATTTAGTTAATAGAAATACATCACAAAGCTTCCACTCCACTCCTGGCCAAAGTAAGGTCATCAGAAATTCATAGAAAGTTAGAACAAATGAAAACATGATAAAAAGTCCCTAATGAATGTCGCTCCATAATCATGTTTCCTTAGAAATAGTGTTTAAATTTAGGTTGAAAATGTAAGCTTTGCGCTCAGTATCTGCAAAGGGTTCAAATACTCATCATAACTTTATACCCGCGTCCTTTGTCATGATAAGCTTCTACTTGAGGTATTTTTGGAGGTCCTACACCATTGGTTGATGAGAAGCAAAAGTTTGGCAGACTCCTACTGAAGTGTTCAACTTCAGGATAAAATTTTAGGAGCCATCTTGGCTGGCAAGCTTGTTTTTTTAAGGAGTCGAAGATTAAGATTTATGCGCAAATTTATTTTGAAAGAAAGCACAATAATTGAAGAATGGCGTTGAAAGTGGTGCTGTATTGTTGCTGCAAGACTTCATTGCAAGCTGCGTTGGACTTTTAATGCACATCGTATGGCCAACACTCAGAGTTTTTAAGAGCTGGATCCAAATTTTTAGGTGCATTTTGTGCATGGTTACCAGCATAGTTGCAATACTGCTGTACCAAGCTGTAGCCATTCATACATTTTTTATTTTCTTTTTTAAGGATATTTTATCACCATTACAAATAAATTTATTTTTTTCTCATGTACTCAACAAAATTGTAAACTATACACCAGTCATCGGGCTTTTTCAATTTGCTTTAGTATGCATTTCAGATCAACATTTTCGCTTGAATTTCATGCCTCCTACAGTCAAGCTATTAGTGTTGTAGACTTTATGCTGTTTTCGCGATTTTGCATAGTTTAGCTGTGAAGGCAAGGAGACAAAGCTGTTTATTATTAATATAATATAATAATGCTGGATAAGTAAACGCTCTGTTCTTTACAGTAGGCTGATAATTGAAATTTATAGATAAAGCTTTAGAAAAAAAAAGATAAAGGGAAAATGGAGCATCCCTATTGGATGGACCGGGTGGTTCTTACAGACCAATGGGAAAACGATCAACTAACTATAGAGTCTCTTGTAGGTTACCTCCTCATCCATTGCAACCACCTTCTTCCACCAACAAGATTGCTCCATAGTTTTTTTGTCTTTTTTTCTATCCCTTAGGCCATCAATTTAAAAAATCTGCACGCTAGGCAGTTTATTATCAAGAATGTTAACAGAGCATGTTACTTATTGTCATCTAGCACTATTGCCTATAGATGTATCGCCATTGAAAAAGAAATCGAAGCTCTTAAAGTACAAATTGCTTTTAAAAAAGGATCTTTTTTAACTGATTTTTTACTTCACTGCATCCTAAAGCACACACAGAGCTTTGAGCAGCTTATACTTTAGGAAATGGAGGTCTAAAATTCCGACAACACTGCGGTATTACCGCAATAAACTGGTGTAAAAACAGAGAAGATGTAGCTTGAAATAATGCATCTAGCTTGAAAAAAATTTCGTCACCTTGTAGCCTCCGAACATGTTTGATCCAATTTTTTCCAGGATTGCGTTTTGGGAAGTTCCAATCCAGTGTAGTAGCCCATAGTTTTAGTTAAACTTTCATTTCATTAGATTTAGAACTAGTATAAGGATTATAGTAGCTGCTTTGTAATGTTTTGTTTTATTTCCTTTTTCTGTTCTTTCACCCAAATTCTCTTGCTATCTCCCATTAAAAATCTATTAGGTAACCCTCTCCAGCATAGCAGTGCTGCGTCTGCAAACGTTAATGTAGTTGATGCGTTGAGCGCTTTTGTTAATCCTAACCTGCAATTTCCTCTAAATCCCGGCATGTTATATTGGCCAACCGTCGATATGTTGACTGGCATGTCAATTGGGTCATATGTGGATAATTGTTCAGCGCCAGTATCCAGCTCTGGTGGGAGCTCCTCTGGGTCTGGTGGTCACAACCCCCAGTCGCATCACTATCACTCCTCATCAAATCAAACCAACATCACATCAGAGATCGACAGGATCATGGCCAAAATCGATCAAGATAACAGAATACTTGCAGAGTTAGACAAGACACGATCAACCATAGGTGAGCAACTTTTCTGGCAATCTTTATCTTCTTCTTCTTTTGTTGGTTTACTGGCTTATATTCCAAATGAGGAACCTCCAACCAACTACAGAAAAAATTTCAAACATAGGATATTAAGAAAACTGAAGGGATAAGGAAATATTTAAAACGATGAATAGATTATTTGCTAAGACCAACACCATTTTCACGCCTAGAGACCCTTCTAGGCGACTTCCTATACCGAGTTATTATTGGGTCATGGAAAACATACAAAGTGAACATACGAAAGATTTCGAGTCAATATTATTTTTTTTATTTGAATATTGAGAGTTTGGAAGACTTGGAACTGGATATTGGAAGGTTTAACTACTGTTATAGATAAGAAATACAATTTGTTATAGTCCTACTGTTATATAGTTAAAACATTCTTAAAGCAACCGCCACCCGCAGCCTAGGTGAGCAATCCTTGTCCTACAAGAATCTTTTTTGATTATAGCATTTCTCCTCATCAGGCAAAGTACTTTTAAATCTCTTTTTGCCCTGTTAGAACCTTGCTTTACAAAATGTCCATACTGACCAAATGCACAAAATTTTTAATTGGGAACTACAATATCTGGCTCATCTGTTAAAACACTAATGTGCATAGGAAAACTCTTGGTACATACGTTGTTCCTAAAAATGAGCAAGAAATTGTAGCTCTTAATTTCAAAATGTAGTCCAAATGACCACTCTTAACGAATTCCAATAAGTTTATGTTAATTTTGTTCGTTTTTTTAACCATGCAGGCTTACCTACATCAAGCGGCACAATGTCGTCGCTGGCGTTGGGTGACACAGCCCAACAGTTGGGTGCGCACAACAATGCCATAGGAATGCCTCTTATGGCAGCACAAACTATTCCCATATCAGCTTTAACGCAGGTAAACTATTTCAATCCTTCATCTACCCTTCTAAATGTAATGGAATTTTATCCAACAGATCTGTGGACTTTGTAATCACTTTGATTTAGATATTGTTCCTATCAAAATTTGAAAATTTTGTTATACAATAGTGTGCCTTGTTAAAATATTTTACAGAATGCTGAGTATAATCGTTCATTCGTTTTTGTTGACTTCATGCTGTTTCTACAAACAGTAGTATTATGGTGGCAAAACTCTGAGCTGTTCCAGTTCCACAGATCCATCTGAGGAATTCACAGTAAACCAGTGGTATCAATCAAAATTAATTACTTACAAAGAGATGAACTTTTTCAGCATTTTTAAATTGACAAAGAAATTGCGCCAAGAACTTGCTGGCTGCGGAAGAAACTGGCGCCTAATACTACTTGTTAAAAAAATGCCTGCTTAAAATTGCTGCCATGTGAAATCGTGAACTCTGTGCAGGTTCAGTTTTCTGAGGGTGTTTATTGTAGCCAATCTCTCTCAATCTCATTGTATCAAATTTTCAGAGCTCTTTGAACCTCTTTTCTCTCCCTCTTTTCTTCCCATTTTTTCCTCTATTACTGCTATTGATTGTTTATTGTTTCACTTAATTTTCAGTCGGGTATCATCAATCCACTTTTAAGTACTGCCAACCCGTCTACAGCCGCCGCATATCAACTTATGTTAAACAGTACTGTCAGCTTAGGTCAACCTAGCAACACCATGCTTCCTTCACTCGTTCATCCACATCGAGTGATGCCTCAGATTCCAACCATGCTAGCTTCTCAGATTGATCTTGACCGTAAGTAGTTTTATCCTTCTCCTTCTATTGATCAAGAAATTTTCCTATTAAAAATCAAAATTAAAGTCAACAATTTTGAAGCCACTATTCCAAAGCTTCACTATTTCAGCCAGTAAGGGATTTTGGAAAAAAGAGAATTAATCTCAAAGGTGAGAGAAACAATCTCACTACACACTGAGAAGATTGTAATTTAAAATCGTATTGTGGTTGTTCCATAAATTTCTCTACAATTTGAACGGGAAAAGAACAAAAAAACAAATTGGCCACTTGAGTCCCTTTGAGAATGAACGGAAAGCGGAAAACTTTCATTTGTACTTTCTCTACATAGAATACGATTATGACTCACTGATGATAACATCACTGATGTTTGCTCTCAAGTACACAACTCACAAAAATCTCAAATATAGAAGCACGTTTGGCCTGAAAAAACAAATATTTACCTCCTCATTCTCGAAAATATGATACAATTGCATGAGGGATTCAAAACGAATCAAATCAAGATAGGCGAGCACTACATAGCGCTTCGGTGCTTGAGTCTTTTTGGGAATGGCTGGGCTACTCAGATGTTTTTAGACCCTTAGATCCAATCTGTTTTCTGCTTTTCACTTTATGCCTAAGTATCTCCAAACTACCAAAAACTCAACTTTCGATTTTTTGGGGCTGAAGTCTTTTTGAGAATGACCCATTCAATAGCTTTTACTCACGAGACTGATCACAAAGAAATGGAGAGCTCTGTTTCATCTGCCATCGCCAGTAAAAGGAGTAGTTTTTAAGATCCATCTGGGGTCAATGATTAATCGAGCGTCAAATTTCAAGCCTCCTTTGGATTTTTGCTAATCATTTTGTTAATATTTCAGGACCTTTTGTTGATCCATCCTCTTTATCAGATAGTAAACAACCCGACATGTTAGACATTCCAGGCAAAGGAAGGTGCTTTGTCTACATAGCTAGGTAAGCGTTCCTTGTTACTATCAACCTACCTAAGTTTTATTGTTTTTCTGTAGCTTCTTCGTGAGCTAAACCATTTTATTTTCATGAGATAGTGTTCTGCGCTCCCCACTATTCTCAGGCATTCAAGACAATTTATTTAAAAAAATGGGAAAAAATTTGAAAATTCTTTCAATTATGAATATTCTGATTCCATTTCAATTCACAAATTATTTCTATTCATTCTGGTGCCTGTTTTCGTGGCAGTGCGATTAAACCAAGTATATTTTTCCAGCCATCAATACATAAATGACTGAATTAATCTTTGTTGTTTCCTTAAACTTGAAATATAAGTCTAAACTCCCATTTGATTTGAAATCTCATAGAGAATGAAATCAATACACCCTAAAATTAGAAGGAAGACTTACCAATGCTTTATGTATTTCACCAAGATCATGGGAAAATGAAGAAAAATCCAGTGAAATTTTTCATTTTAAGATACAATAACTTAATTACTCATGAAGAAGCACAACAGAATAAACAGTTTACACCAATGTTGTAATTGTATATTTGCAGAAGACCATTATTTAACATATTCCGCAAGATGGAACGTATCTTAATTGCGTGGATGCAGTATTTCTTACTAACATCTATTTTTTTATAGGAGCAATGTCTTATGAATTAGCCTAAAATTTCCAGTGATTATCCTTTGCATTTGCAAGAAAAGACACTCGAATTTTTGGACTAACTCGTGCGGCGGTTTTTTCCTGAAAAAATACAATGTTCATAGAAACAATTAAAATTAAAGAGTACAAACAAGATACTTTTCTCCGTGCAGGAGATGATAATCATCCCAATTTCAACAGTTTATGGATCGATACATTAAACAGAAGTTTAGTTTTACCAGGAGGTGTAAAAATTAGACAGTAGCTAGTTCATAACAATTCTGGTGTTTCATCACAACCCTCTTTTATCCAAGAAAATTTGATGCCTCTTCTATTTCAACCTTTGTTACTCTTAATGAATGCTGCATGAAAGAATTTGTGGCCTTTATTTTTCTTTTTGCTGGTTTCAGGTATACTTACGATCCTTTTACTCATTCTCCTAACGAATGTCCTGAAGCAGAATTACCAATCAATGCTGGGGATTATCTCTTAGTATGGGGTAATATGGATGAGGTAAAGTTTTTAGACTATTCATGTTAATGAATTGTTAAATTTATCGTCTGTTAAACTTTATTGGACAGTTTTGTTTAGAACTCAATACAGCATTCTACCGCAAACACAGGGTGCTGTAATTCTTTTTTTTCTTTTTAATCTGAGCTGAAGTAATCGTTCTGAAATCAAGAGAAGGCTTTTCATTTTCTATTCAGCTAACATTTTTATCTTTCAATTTTAGCAGTCAGGAATTCAGGTTATTAACACACAGATAGAATGAAACTTGTCTTATTTCTCTATACCATAGAAAAGTTCAGTTGAATTTTCTTCAATGAAGAAGTACCAGAATCTAAACAAGTAAAAAATAGGTGTTACTTACATCTGTCATTCTAACTTTCTTCTCTTTCTAAGTCCCTCAGTCAGCGTACCGCACCTACAACCAACTAGTGCTTTGGGCATTCTTTTAATTAATGATGACTTAAGTTGTGATTTTCTATTTTTTATGAAATTAATGAATGTTCTTGACCTGATTCACAGGATGGATTCTTTGATGGTGAACTGCTGGATGGGAGGAGAGGACTTGTACCGTCAAATTATGTGGAGAAGTTAGTCGGTGACGACTTGCTGGAGTTTCACCAGTCTGTTGTCGTCGGATTGAGGGAAAGTGATGAAAGTGGTTCAACAACTATCCCTCAAGACCTGGAATATATCAACTGTGGTAAATGATTTGAACTTTTCAAAAATTTTAACTTAATTTTTAATGTTAGGGAATTTTGTGGGGATGTCCGCTACTTTAAAACTTGTTACTGCTGTCAGTACTTTAGAAATCGGGTATGAACCGCATAATGACTTTTGCAAGCCAAGAGAACATTCTTTTTATGGCATTATATCGTTTAATCAGTAGTTTTCACTTCTATTTATAGCATTTTTGGATTTTTTGGCAAACGGCTGTTTTACCAGAAAAATCTAAAAATGGTATAACGAAGTGAAAACTATCAGTTAAAAAGACTTTTGAAAGAGGATCATTAAATTTCTGGACCAATCACTTCGCTAAGATTCAACATAAGTTTCGTTCAGATGGTAACCCTGCACAAATTTTGTTTCTTTTTTCATGAAATTGAATTATGTCAAGTTGAGATGCAATGTTAAATTGAACAGTGCCAGAGAGCTTTGTGTGTTTCAAACCCAATCACGAAAGCATGTAGAAACACTTACTGATCTGAATGATTTTCGAAAATCTTTCGAATGATTGGTGGTAATTTTACCAAGAACGGTAGCTTCTCTCAATGAAATCCGTTCAGACGCTACTAAACCCATTTTCTCAAAACTTCATTTATGCATTTATGGCTCTTTTCGGCGACCTGGCAACATTGTTTGGTTTTCGAACTTTTTGAATAAGTTTGTAAGAGTGATGTTCTCATTACTTTAGCTGATGATTATGGCAAGCGATCCGCAATTGACTACAATCTGGGTGGCACATTAGAAGAAGACGACGAGGATGACTTACAACCTGGTGAGAGTCCTGGTGAGTTTAAGCTTGCTGCTTTTATCATTGCATTGCAATTTGCTCTTAGAGCTCTTAGTCAGTTCTGGCCCTCTGAAACTTCATCCCTCATTTAAGAATCGTGGCTGCCATTGTATATTGCTCATAATTTTAATTTTATCATAATGGACTACCTTTTCATTGACTGTAAAGTGAATCCTTACCATGGGACCAAGGACTACCGTGCCAAACTGCTAGAAATTGAAGTATTGAAAGCTCTGCATGGAGCAACGATACAAAAACTATAGATAGGCTGATCCTACTTGCCGCCAACGATAAATTTTGCACCCCACTAGAGGCAAAAATGAGGTTATCACGAAGATATGTAGTCCGTTTCTTATGTGAACTCTACTATTTCTGGACTTTCGTCCAATTCTGAAGAGAATATTTAAAAATCGGTGTCCAGATGTATGACTTGAGTATCCCTCAAGTGATTGTACAATGAGAATTCTATCACTAAAGTCTTTATTATTAAAACTGTCATAAAAACCCATGGAATTGAGGTTATGACAAGAATTGTAATTGAATGATTTTACCCCTTGCTAGCCCATTTAACGACCGCTCCACGTAGGGTACGCCTTTGCATACACCACCACCAATCTATAGTTTTTATATCATTGACAAGGAGGAATATGCATTATATACAAACATATTGGTTTTAAAAATTGCCAGGAATCTTAAAACAAACCAAAGTTATGGTATTTGAAGCCTGCACTTAAAAATTTTCTTTCAAGATCAAGATTTCTAATACGTACTAATAATAACAGAAAGGTAATATTCACGGGTCTCTAGAAATTTATTAGCTTTTCTCAAGTAGAGACACCATTCACCAACAAGTAGAATTATTTCCAGCGCTGGTTCTTTGATGGCGTAAGTGTTCGCAATCATTTCACCTATCCTCCCCGCTGTATTCAAAGTTGATTCTTACAAACGGGAGAAAGTATTTGATGCCACTTGCCTGTTTCATTTTCTATCATACAATGTAGTGAGATGACATACGCTGATGAGCGTTGCGTTTTTTAATAAGTTCAAGTTTTACTTTGTTGCTTTTTTGCCAATGGTACGGATTTAAAATTCCTTTACAGAGCATTTTCTTAACGTTGAATTTTGGTTACGTGTCATAGAGATAGAGTATAAAAATAATTTTTGGTTGAAGCATGCTAAGAGTGAGCACATTTTAATGTGTGTTATCATAAATAATAAATTACACCAAAAATAAAGAATACAACTTAAGAAATACGCATCTGATTATCAAAGTTAGGATGCATGGGGTACTGGACAAATACCGCAAGGTTCTTTGTAATTATAATCAAATTTGATTACTTTTGGCATTAGAAAACAAAATTTAAAACTACAGTACTCTAGGTACAGCCTGGGGAGAGCTGATTAAAGTTCTTCACCATCCTAACTCTATCGTTATTATGACGTTTGAACCATGTTTTTTCAATCGAAGAATTTTAAAGCGAAATAAAACTTTAAGGATAACTCCTCTATCAGACTCCCAGAGAGGCATGCAGTATTTTCTTTTGCAACAGAAGAATCACCTCCAGTCATTTTATAAGAAAGCTTTTAGTCCTTAACAAAACTCTGCAATCCTGAAAACCCTGTATTCTGAAGATCCAGTGGTTAAACTAAATCAGAACTTGTTGTATTCAAATTTTATGTTTTTTCATCCAAATTTCAATCTTGCTTTCAAGTAAAAGTATTTTCACGCCCTCTTAGCTTTTAAAAGGTACCTTATGGTATTTTCACTGGAAGTAAGCTGCCCTCCCCTGTTATTTTTCCAGGATCAGACATATTTTTTTGCTGTTGTTATGAAATCAAATGCTCTGCAGCCTTAAGCTATTTATTTGGCTTTATTTGCCAACTAGATCTAGAATCAGAAACTAGAATAGCATGGAAACTTGACAACTAGCTCAGCTCATGAATTTGCATGCTAGAAGCAGGCTCGACGATGTCTGTTGTTATAATTATTTGTTTCATTTGTAATCTACTCAATAGAAAATCCCTTTAATGTACTAATGTTAATAACTATGTAGAAAATTCTCCGTGTGAAATAGTTAACCTCCCACCCAAAGGCTGCAAGAAATAGATCATTTTCCTGTCCTTATATTAGACTAAACTATGTCAAAGATGAGTAGTTGATCTCTAAATAAGTAAGAAGTTGTCATGAAAACAATAGTCCTTTGTTCCTTGGTCTAATCTGAGTTTTTCCATAATGAAGGAACGATTAAGAGAATACAATCCTTAGGTGGTGTCTCATCATAGGTGTTTTACTGCCCCCAAGCCGATTATTGAAAGTCTAAAGCAACCTGTTAAGACATTGAAATGCAATGTATTACATGATTAAGATTCCCCTTAAGAAAAATGAAGTGCCTTTAACTTCAATTATTTTATGGGCAAAATGAGTCTTAAATGTGTCCTTGAGCAATTTAAGTCCATATTTTAATGAAATAAAAGAATAAAAAAAATGAACTGTTTTGGGTTTTCAAAAACCTATCAAAAACACTGTAACATGTGGTTGATTTCATGTGAACCAGCCCTTCAGTGTAAGCCCGATCTCCTGAAAATTGAAAATAGCAGGCAGCCCCAATCTGACCTGCACCTTCAAGTCTTGTTTTTATATTCGGTTAAAATGGACTCATGTGGTACATATTTTCAGTAGCTTTATGTAGGAAAATGTAAACATTTTGAAGCAAAACCTTTATTCTTATCCACCCTTGTCACTTAAATATTTTTCCTTAGTTTAGGAATTTTCGTTTGAGTAACCCCTTTCAAAAAAGAACCTGACACCTTTAACTTGACAGATACCGCTCTTTCAAAGCGAGCAGTGCCCTTACTTTAGTGTTTATCCCTAGCTATATACAGTTGAACTAGAAAAATGTTCAAGTGTTCAAATGTTGAAAAGCTCATTCATGTTAAGTATTCCCTTGGGTAAAATTTTGTCATTTGAGTTGCTGGCTGTTGTAGTGTACTTTGGCTTAGCTTAGTTTTTTTCTTCTCTTGCTTGCTTCTCCACTCGAATTCAGACTATTTCTTCTCGCTACTAGTACCGGCTCCCAAACAACTGACACTGGAACGTCAGCTCAACAAGTCCATCTTGATCGGATGGAACCCTCCAGAGAATATCAACCCGTCATCGATTGAATCGTACCATGTTTATGTCGATGGTGTCCTGAAAACAACTGTAAAAGCTACAGAACGGACAAGAGCGCTAGTTGAAGGAGTCGATTCTAATAGAGTAAGTTGTTCTCGTTGCTTTCTCGAATACTCACTTTATCATAATGGTTACCCAGACTAATCAGAGCTAAGCTAACCCAGGTATATAAAGGATTCATTTAATCAGTCAGAAGCACTACAAATGGATGGTGAAATTCCTAGAGCACTCATCTCAGTTTGCGATTTTGCAAATCCCCTGTCACATTTTACGTTTTTAAAGAAAGCCTGGTCATTTTTCTCGCCCAAAATTGCGTTTGATTTTTCCAGAATATTTGTTCCTTGCTCTTTCAAGAATATACTCTAAGAATTTCCCTAAAAAAATTCGGGTATTATGATTTATTAATGTAAAAAACTGCAGGGTAAGTTATCCAAGGTTGATAAGTTTAAAAATGAAGCCATGTATTCAAAACTTTGTTTAGATTTCATATAGAGCTGCGTCTTTGAAGTTCTGACTAGTGTTTTACGTGAGAAATATCTTACCAAACTCTTGTAAGACTGCGGCATTTTCTTAGAATGGCTTTTTTTTACCCATTGAAATTCTTAGAAAATTCCAAATTCAGAAGAGAAAATCTTACCCCTAGGATTCAAAGAAAAAGAAAGTCCTACTTTCTGATTACAGGATATTCCTTCCTATGTTGTTGCTTTGAACCATGGTGTCAAGGACCTTGAAAATACCAGAATTCTTCAAGGAATAAATATTAGGTAATTTCGGAGGAAATTGATTCTAAACACCAGGAATTGCTTCAAGATCAAATTATTTTTAAATGTGTAGCCTGTGTTAAGTCGACTGTAATGAGGCAAGCACAAGATAAAAAAATTGATTTCTTTCCTTCTGAAGGTCTTTCTTTTCAAAAGAATCGAGAAGAAAATGAAAAAAAAACCTGAATTTTCCTAGGAAAGAAGGAAACATCGGGGGAATACTATGGAATGAAAAAAATTGAAAATTTTCGACACCATGCTTTGAAGAAAAGAAATTGTTTTATTTTTGTACATTAGATTCAGCTATCAAAATTACATTAAATTTTTACCTTTGTTTTCAGCCTCATAGGATCAGTGTACGTTCTGTGACATTAAACAGGCGAACATCGCGGGATGCTGCATGTACGATGGTGATCGGGAAAGACATTCCCCTAGGCCCAACTTGTGTAAGAGCAAGTCATCTTACGTCAACCTCAGCTGTCATTTCATGGCTTCCAAGTAATAGCAACCATCAACACACCGTCTGTGTCAATAGTGTAGAAGTTAGAACTGTCAAGCCAGGAGTCTACCGACACACAATAACAGGTTCGTTAAATAGTCTATATAGACTTTTTAAAATTTTATCCCATGGTTTATTATACTACCTTGTAAAATGTCAAAGAATGCCTTTGGACAAGGTGTCTAGAACCGAAACATTCATCACGGAATGAACGTTTTCAGAAAATTTGTTCCAGAAACCGGGAATCTCCTCTCCTACTGCTGGGAGACCTTTTTGCCTTCAAAGTTTGCGGAAATTTTAAGTACCCATTGTTATTGAGGTCCGTATTATTGCACCTGAGTTACCATTATTGACCCCTTTAATGACCTTTTTGAATCTTCAAATCATTATAGTAATAGAGAAGCTTTCATTGCCAGATAATATTAACATCAGAAAAGCTTTTTGAAATAAAAACTTGAATGTGCACCAAAGAATCCGCTGAAAGATTTAAAAAATTCCATTTTCTTATCTGGAACTCTGGTACTTCATGTGTCCTTTCCCCCCTCCTTGCCAAAAAATCCCGGGAAAGTGGAAGAAAACTCTGGTTTTTCATCAGGGAATAAGTTTCTGAAAATTAGGGGAAAATCAGGCAATGAGCAAGGCCAAGAGTTCTACAAACCATATGTTTCATCGTAAAGGGCCTGAAACTTTATTTTACTCCTTATTGCTCAATTCTTAAGTTACAGGTTTAATCAGTTGATTTGTCAATAATGACATTTTTGGACATATACTCTAGTCGGTGTTATTCCTACCGGTGAACAAGTCTCTATGCCTTTAAGGAAATGAGGAGGAGAAACCATGAACTATGATGGAAACTAAGTGTGTTGTATTCTATTTTTTCAGGATTAGCTCCAAACACTCTTTACCGAGTTTCTGTCAGAGCAAAGAACATCCGAGCTCCGCACTTTGATGATAAAGCTAGTATACCAGTAGAAAAGTTTTCCTGTCATATTGACTTCCGGACGCTACCCAAAGGTGAGGATGAGATTTCAGTAGTCCTTCTCATTCTTCATGTGCTTGATACTGTGACCGTAAGGCATCCAAACAAAATTCAATCCTTTTTAAATCAAGAGACAAAACATTTTCCTGTAAATGGAAAAGGACTTTTCTTCCAGAAGAAAATTTTCCTATAATTTTTGCAAAAGCTAAATCTATGTTTTCCTACAATCAAAGAATTTCTGTCTTGGAACTTCAGGATTCACGTCTGCTTCAATTTTCAGCTTTTGGGGTCATCTTGCGCAAAAATCAACAGCTTTTCTTCCTTCGTGCTTTTGAAAAAAGTTGAGCAAAATTCTCACCTGGAAGATGAGGTCCCTTTTCACAGACCACCTCCCATGACATAGTAACATGCGACACGGATGTGACATGGATTCTGTCGAAAGAAATCCAATCGGTTCAGATTGTCATGTCTCAATTGGTCACCAACTGCTGACCTGCGTGTTAAAGTGCAGTGCTTTTAGTCGCGAACTAATGAATTTTTCTACAAAAAATACTTTTCAGCATCCCAAAAGATAAACCCTAAGTGTTTTAATCCATCTTTGAAAGCACAAAAGTGCATTTTAATTCGAAAATGCTGTGCCTCAAACCTGTTAAAATAAAATTATGAGTAGTTTTTTCTTACAACTACCTTTTTTGGATCGCATATTCTGGGCTTGAATGATGAATCATACTCAGTTGAGGAATAGATTTATCATTTTTCAGTATTTCTGCCGTAGATGGCGGATAAACTTTTCCAGTCGATTTTTCTAACTCATTTTGTGCTTGTTTTCTTTCTTGCTCTCTTACGACACAAAGGTTGCAAAGGTAAATTTTTGTTTCATTTCCTTCTTTGTAAAAATAAGTGTATTGTGAGGACACCTTTTAGTCAAATTTTATTCCCCCACAAGATTCAATGTTACAAATTGAAATTAGAAGATGTGGGGCCAGTTAAACTCAAAATTGTGACCAACTCATTCTTTTCAAAAATGGAACCTGGTTATTTTATAATTGATTCAGTTTATTTATATATCAAGTAGAGATACATGCACATACAAGATGATCCAGAAATCTCACACCACCCTTGTAACCTCTATGGTTTTTGCCCCTTTTCAGGGTGGCCTCATGTTTTTGGGAAGTCCCAAAAATCTTTTCCTTTGACCTACTAGCACTCACAAAATTTCAAGTCAAGGAAATAATTATGTGCCAGAGAGCTTAAACTCGCACCTTGTCTAGTGGTCTATTTTCATAATTAATATTACCCTATCACTTTGTTCCTTTTTTCCTTTCGTTTTTATAGTATTCAGCTATTAACTCTTTCATTTGATTCTACCTAGGTCTACCGGAACCTCCTATTGATATTCAAGTCGAGTCAGGGCCTCAAGATGGTACGCTGCTCGTCACTTGGCTTCCAGTCACTGCAAATAATTCGACGAACACCGCTCTCGTCACCGGCTATGCTGTTTATGCGGATGGCAAAAAGGTCACTGATGTTGATAGTCCAACAGGTAAGTTTTTCTGATGACTGGATCTCAAATCTTTCAAATACAACTCTTTTTCCATTTTGTTGAAACTCAAATAAGTTTAATTAGACCCAGTTATGCAAAAGGGTTCATTTTCAAGTTTTTAGGCTAAAAGGCCCCTTGTGGTCTCTCAACTTTGAACCTATTTTTCTTGAAATCACCCGAAAGTGATTTGACACGTTCATGCACTGGACCCTTTAATTAGTAATGAAAAAGTTTTGTGCATTTTGAACGTTTACATAATTTTCCTTTACACAAATAAACGGGAGTGTAAATTAATTATTTCCTCTCTTTTTTCACTGTAATTATCGTAATTTTAAGGTGACATCATTTTATAAAACTTCTCTCAGTGATATTAGACTTTGTCCACACAAGTGCAGTTTGCAGAGAATAGGGTGAATTTGTCCAAGAAACTTTTCATAACTCAGCTTTAATACACTCCGCAGAGCCCCAGTTTGTGGAACTCATTCATCCAAACTGCATTCATGTGGACACGGCCTTATTATGAAATAGTCTTGTTTTAAAGTTTTCTTCAGAAAGCTATCCTCTTCATTGAGCTGTGCTTATATTTTTCCAGGTGATCACGCCCTCATAGATATTAATAAATTGATAGGGTTGAACCCTAAGCAAGTTACCGTTCGAACTAAGTCAAGGGATAATCAGTCTTCCGATAGTGCCCCTACACCTATTCCAACATCCATCCTCAAAGGAGAACGTCAGTCAAAAGACAGACCTGTAAGTAAAAGCAAGAGTCCTGATTTTAAAATCTTCACATGAATTAAAATTAAGGATAGTCTGTAAAGCCAAAATTATTCAGCCGGATGACAGCAGTCATAACTGCAAAAGACTGAACAAAATGGCCCCTCTGTCTGGATGTAATCTGGCATAACCAGACTATATATTGCGATTAGGAACCACAATTTTTGTCTTAGTTGAGAAACAACGTATGTACCAATAGTTTCCCTGTGCACGTAAGTGTTTTTACTGATGAGCTAAAAATTGTAGTTTTACTTAGCAAAATATAGTCCAACTGTGAGCCGAGGCCAAATCACGTCAAATGTCTCTTCAAATTCAAGATGTTTATAATTTTAAGAGCAACTCAAGAAAAATTTCAGACAGTTGTATCAGGTTGCAAAAATTCCTGCCAAGATTGAATTTTAACCAGGAGCTTTCAAATTTCACCTCAATTTTCTCAAATTTACGCCACATGAAAGGGCAAAACTGTATCAATTGATCCTGAGGTAGGTTTTTACCTAAATTTGTCATTAATCACACTACAAAAATGGCTGAATTTTATTTCAGATGGATGATCGGAGAAGGTATGGCTCAGCAGTTCCCCCACACATGAGACATCATCAACCTCAGAGAAATGCTCATGGACAAATTATCATCGATCCTGAGGAAAATCTGAGCGATAAAGAAATATATCCTGGCACCCAAATGATTCCATCCATTGGTAAGAAAAATAAAATCCATTTATAATTAGTGAAACGTTTGTCACATTCTATCGCACACCACTGCTGAGCTTGGGAGAGAAGGGTGTGCGTGAAATGAGCATAATTGCAAAAGTAGTAATTATTTCTCTGAAAGTTTTAGAAAAATAGATAAATGCATTAGGTATTAAACTTAATCTCTGATATTAAGGTGAATGAAAGAGGATGAAGTTGCAATCAGCTCGAAAAACGGTGCAATGCCTATTCTTTTTTCTAGTTTTCCTTTTACATTGAAAAACCCAATTTTTTCACATGCATGGCTAAAAAGCATAATGACGTATCGTATCTCCATTGCGGTATTTCCAAATTTCCACTCCTATTTTATTTTTCGAAGAAAAACAAGCCAATTTGATAGCTTGAAATTCAAACAGAATATTCTGCTTACAAAGAAAAAAAGTCAAGGAAGTTTTAAAAAAAATTAATTTTAACTGGTTTTTTAAAGAAAAAATGTATGACAAAAAGTCCGCAACATTGCAATTAAAGGTACTTGGTTTTGAGCTTTGGCCTTCAACATACTGTTCTTTTACCTCACGCAGCCAAACAATGATTAACAGAACTTTTAAAGCTCCATTCATAATCATGAAAGTTGATTACTTTTTCCCACTTCCTGCTTATAAACATGAAGAGTTTAGGTTATCTCAACAACAAATAGCAGAGGGGAAAAAACTAAATTACCTAAATAATCTGAAGTTAAAGCTCTTCTTGGATCCCTTGCCCCCATTTCTTCATTAGATAGTGCTGGAAATGAAATGTCATGTTTCCTGTAGAATGTGATAGCTTCTAAATTCAACTAGCAAGTGAAAAACCAAATTGCCCAATTGATCGTAACGCGACGCTCCAAACAGCGCAACTCTAGAAGGGAAATTTATCTCTAAAAGTTTCGCATCTACAGAATGAGCAGCATTATGTAAACATCTTGTCTCTGAACTGAAAGGTACTTTATACTGAATTCTCGTTCATTTTGAAGAATTGGCATTTTTCGTATTTGATGGAACTAAATTTGTCCTTGCTATGAAACCAAAGCTCTTTAAACATTCCCCAAGATCTGTAAATACGTTCAGCACAAACTGTGTGTTTCATAGCTAAAAATGACTCCTCCTTGGTTACTTTTGATACTACTAGTGTAACCAAGTTTTTGTTACTATCTACAGATACGAAATTTGGTGGAACATTTTCAGAAATAACGAAGGACACGGCAAGCGAGGGCAATTTTAGTGAAGACGACTACCTAGATCGCAGAAGACAACAGAAAGGGCATTATGCGCCACCTCAAGGAAACCACCCGCCATTCTACGAAGGGGGTCACTCACATCATCATCAGCGACCTCCGCGCTCTCATGCGGAGCGAGGTCGACCTCCACAGCCGCCGATGCCTCACGAGCGCCCTCGACCTCTACGGCCCAGAGACGAAAGGTATTCAGGAATTCCACCTCTCTCTCATAGTGTTTGGAACCAGGAAAAATTAGGATTCATCAGGAAATGAAAAATTTCGGGGAAAATCGAGGAATCTATTCCAGAAACCGAGAATCTCTTTTTCTACCGCTTGGAGGGCCTTTTGCTTTCACATTTTGCGGTAATTTCAAGTACCAGTTGTTACCAAGGTATATTTTATTGCACCTGAGCTCCATTATTGACCTCTAGAATAACATATTTGAATCTTCGAATCATCATTATAATACAGACTCTTTCATCGGCCCGATATAAATTTAAGGAATGCTCTTAGAATTAAAAATTTGAATGTAAGCTGAAGAATTTCCCGAAAGATGAAAAAAATTTAATTCTCATATCCGGAACTCTGAAGAGTTATATCGTTTTTCTAAAGAAAATCCTAGCGATGTGGGAGAAAACTTGGTAACCTCATCAGGGAATGAGCATAGTAAAGAATTCTAGACACCATGGTTTTGACCTAAGAGATATTTTTTCCTCGTTTCTAGAATTGTCTTTGTTTGACAGAATCATTATCCTAACGCATCTGTGTTTTGTTGAGCAGGGACCAATTTTACATGGGAGGAGGGGGAAGAGAGGACCCGCGCAGGAGAGATGGACCCAGTGGCAGCTACCGCGGTCGAGGCGGACCTGCAGGTGGGGGGCCATGGCCTCCGCAGAATGCTCCGCAAAACCATCCCCGAGACCAGCGTATACGTTACTTCGAGGCACTTTTTGATTACGATCCTCAGACTATGTCTCCCAATCCAGATGCTTGCGATGAAGAGCTTCCATTTTTACGTGGTGATACAATCAAGGTAATTTAAGCCTTTCTTTATCTAGCAAGTGTTTGACCCAGACATTTCCGACCAAATTCTCAACAAAAATCAATATATTTCAAACCACAAGCTATAACTATCAATCGCACCAATTCTGCTAAAAAATACTTGAATTTGTAAACATATATTAAAGAATAGTTGGGTGTTGGTAACTATAATCTTTGATCCACTTTATTGCCCAAATTTATTTATGTCTTGATAATAACCAATACCTTTGACATACTCTCTCTTTGAACTCCGCTTCTCTCTTCTGTTTACAAGTTTCACAGCGCGATAGCACAAAAACATAATGAACATATTAATGAGTCGATTAAAGTGGGCAATTTCGAAAGGGTACAAGTGCAATTCTGCGAAATGACACAGTTTAGAACCGTGCTTTATTTAAGTCATGAGTGAGGTTGATACTGATGATAAGATCCTGATTAGGGCTGAAATTTGGTCTGGAATGTTCTGGCTAAATGAAAAATTCTTTATTATAATTGGACACACTTAAATCTGAAAGAACTATATCAATTGTCAGATGAGCCCTGCCATGTACATATGTAATCTTATGGATCTCAGGTTTCATGTCAGAATGGATACAGTTCCTTTTGATTTAACTGCGTCCAATTCATAGAGATAAAATAGTTTTCGCAACCAAAAACCGATTTCAGTGTAATTAAATCAGTCAATTTCAAAATAATTCATTTCCTACAAAACTTAATTTTACAGGAAACAATAAAAATTTTGAAACAGCGAACGGTGTCAAAACAGAAAAAAAATTGTATGAAGACTGAGAGGCTTATTGAATGGCATCAGAACAGGTTATGATCAGAATTAGACAATACTATTATAATGAAAAAATTAAAAACTTAAAATTGCAGAGTTACATTGATCTTGAATCAACTGGCTTCAGGGAGTGGGGATTTAAAAAAAATACCAAAATCGATGAAAAATGTTTTGTGGTGGGTAAGAATAAGCTCTGTTTTTTATTGTTTTATCTTTGCGTTTTTCCGTAATATCCATTAAAGTTTGTTTTGTGATCTCTCCATATTTTTCTTCGCTTTTAATGTAGGTGTTTGGTGAGAAGGATAATGATGGCTTCTACTGGGGCGAATGTCGAGGGCGGAGAGGCTATGTCCCTCACAACATGGTAGCAGATATGCAAGATGTGTCTAAGGTAACTTTATTTGAAGCGTTTCCTGGTCCTATGACACAATAACATCCAACCAAGCACATAACCAACTAAGTATATCATTTGTTAAAGTGCGAGACCACGTATCCGTGTTTGGGGCTCTGTAGACTTCCAGTGATACTTTATTTTTGCCTTCAGAAACTAGTCCACGCAATTTCTTGAAAACTTAAATGACTTTTCTTCTCTGTTAGTTGAATATTCTTTGTAAATTTCAAGCTGTAAAACTAACTTGTTCTTGTAAAAAAAAAATAAACTAGGAGCAGAAATTTTGAAACACGGCAATGGAGATACATGGTGTCGTACTTTCCCCGTTGATATGAGGATATCCAAAAAAATAGAACAGAATCATGAAGATTCCAACAAATGTTAATTTTCGGAATAATTAATTATTAACCCTAGGTATCAATTATTATCAGTTGAATATCCTCTTCAATTCCCTTTTTTTATACCTCTTTATCTCTTCTTTTTCTGTTCTCCTCTTTTGATAGTTTAATACATAAAGTCTGGTATCTTTCTTGCAAAGAATAATCACCATAGCTCAAGGAATTTCCTATAAGGGCTGTTTTCCTCAAGATTTTGTGGTATCCTATTTTTTTTCACCCAGTAAGTTAAAGTTGTCATTCTTTGCTCTTCTGTAAGAGAAGGGTTTTAATGACTGTAAAGAGGAACAAAGATGTTGTGGCAGAATATAGGTGAGAACAATATTTTTCCAACTTACCGTTAATCTCTCTAGGCCAAATTAGAATAAATTATCAACCTACGTTTATCAGACATTTGCTTATTGTTTCATTCATTTTTTGCCTTTAGAATGCAGATGGACGAAATAAGGACCGGTGGGGAGACATCTATGCTAATATGCCTGTAAAAAGGATGGTAGCCATGTATGACTATGATCCGCAAGAACTGTCACCAAATGTTGATGCAGAGGCAAGTATTTTTATATGCACGTAGTTATGGCACTTAAATAAAATTTAAAATTTTTTTATTCAATTTAAAAATAATCTGAAATACTTGAGATGGGTAAAAGCAACCTTTTTCCCCTCTTCTTTTTTTTGAGACTTCCATAAATGGATCTCATTCAGTAAAAAGGAACCAGTGCTATTACGGTGTTTTAAAAAACGTGCAATTTCTTCTTTCCTTTTAGAAATAATTAATCTACGCACAGTATTAAAATTTACACTCTCATTTTCCTGTAAAATGAGCAATTTTTGGTGGGAAGCAAAAACTATTTGTTATACTGGGAGATTATTTAGACAATTATGAAGAAACAACATTTTTAAAACACTGTAATCGTGCTGGTTCCTTTTTGCTAAATTTGATACGAATATTCTTAGCTTTCAGGTATTTTTGGTCAGGAATATTCTCAAATGGGTCAGTGGTGCCTATTTTTTTCAATTCATTTCTGTAAAGCACTGAGTCGAGCTCCTAGTAATTTTTCTGATTTTTTTTACTCAAAATGATAGAGAAAATAGATTTTGAAATCACCAAAATCTGGACTCGAATAAAACGATATTATTGGCTTAAGGAAGTCAGCATTGCTGATTGGCTGAAGCCCAGACCGAGACAAGGCCTAGCCTAGTTATGTCATTTTGATTGTTGGCCTCTGGTCGGTCAGATTTTAATCACGTTTTTCTCCCTCTAGAAATTCTTTTTAAATCTTTTACCGTACTTTTGGTTTTTCATGAAATTTTACAGTAAGGTTATCTGTCTAATACTCAACAGAAATTTTTCACTGACCCATTATTCCTTGTTTTATATTTGAATGGATCTCTTGACAAGGTGCGAATTGAAGCATTATGATGTATGTTTTCGTATCAAAATGTCTCATAAACACGATTTCTGCAACAAAATTTTTGAAATGAACTCCTAACCAAGATATTAACATTTTTCAATGCATAAATTCAAACTTGCCGGTTATACAAAAACCTTAATCTACTTGAGTTAAATTCCTAACTAAAACTTACACCATTGGTCTTGAATCGCATGCTAGAAACATGTCAGGCCGGGGATATTCACTTGAAAACAAATCGAAACAAGTGGACTGATTTCCAACTGGAAACGCAGTCATGGTGTTCATCCCAACCCAGTAGCTTAAGCTTGAAAAAGCATCCAAAATGATATATGTATTTCTTATGGTGCAGCAAGTGGAGCTGAGTTTCCAAACAGGGAACATAATCTATGTTTATGGTGACATGGATGATGACGGTTTCTACATGGGCGAGTTGGATGGTGTCCGTGGCCTTGTTCCTTCGAACTTCCTAACAGAGGCCCCTCCTGACTACAATAATGGAAGCGGTCCAATGAAGGGACCCTTGCCCCGAGGCCATCCAAAAGCTGGTCCTCCGGAGCGGGGCCATGGTCCGGGAGTCAGAGGGCCCCCACCTCCACCGAGAGAAGGAGTACCTAGAGACCCTCGTGATCGACGGAAAGGTAGTTTTCTCTTGTAACCCTCCTTTATCTCTCCCTTGCTCTCTTCTCCCCTCTCTCTCTATTTATATATATTCTCTTCCTTCTTCCTTGCTGTTCTCTTTGGCTCTTCTTCGTGTATTGCTGTTCATCTATATGTGTCTCTTCTTCTAGTTTTGTTTGTCCTTGAAAATCGGAGAAACTATTCAAAAATCTTTATCTTGTTCTGATGTCAGTAATTTTTAAGATCTTATGTCAATTTGCCCCTTGAATCTCATACTATCCAGATGAAATTTATCAAAGCTTACGAGGGAGATTGAGGTAGCTGTAAATTTCTCAAAATTGTAGAATTTGGGAAATCCAATTTACACCGAATTTTCAGATGGCTGAACGTCCATCAAAACTTTGGAAGACCAATTTTAACCACTTTGACGAAAAGTTACTCAGTTGTTTTACATAGTGTTCCTAACACGAAAAGTAATTTATTTTAGTTCTTCGAATGTCGGTATTCTTAATGATAAGTTTTTACTCGCTTTCAAGTCCCCTGAGAATACAGCTTCGGATTTGTAAGCATGAAGATATATGATGTCTACTTTTTGGGTCAAATTTAATTTAACACCAAGTCAGCCATCAAAATCCAATCTAATTAATGGTTATTGGATCCCTAATGACTCATTTTGTGAAAGTGGCTTGTCCAGGTCCCATAGAATGAGTTCGGCGTCAAAAGCTGAGTACTTAATTTTCTACCCTCCTAACTTATTTTTCTCTCGGGGATCCAGCTCAAGATTTCTGACTTTTTTTAATTTTTATATGAACGAGACACATTTAAGATTCTCCGTTTTTTCGCAGGGAGAATCTGTCAAAGATTAAGGTCTTTTATCAAAAGCCAATGATTGGTATTTGATTAATAGTTCTCGATTGAACTCTGTTGTTTACACTCAGTAATGATGATGATGATGATGAAAATGATGACATGGTGCATGTTTTGTGGTTGAATGTTGACGTCTCCTTCCTAAATTGCTTTCTTCCTTCTTTATCTTACACATTGACACAATTCCACCTCTCTCTGATTTCTGTGTTTTGTGTTGATTCCTGTGTGTCACCCAAAATTAGTATTGTTTTGTTTGTAAATAAGAATGGTATTTTTTTTGTTTACCAGCGAAGGCCAATATCACACTCTAATTAAACGAACTATTTCAAGTACAATTTGATAGGAACCACTGTTAATAGGCCTCCAGCAGACAAGAGATGCAGCAAAATAAGTGGACTCCGTGCTAAAATCCGTGCATGTGAAATCACATGAAAATCGTACTGAGCACATCAAAAATGGACTGCATTTTGCGATTAGGAACTACAATTTCTGGCTTACACACTAAAACACTTATCTCCTTAGAGGAACTACCGGCACCTAAGTTGTTTCTAAAATGAGCTAGAGACTGTAGTTCCTAATTGCAAAATGAAATCCAAATGTGAAGAATCTACTCCTATGTGTATCTTTTGGGTATTCTATATTTTCAAATCTCTCCTGTCTATAGGGAATACTTTAATGGTCCTCAACAACAAGTTACAAAGTTACATATGTATTTCATAAGTGTTGTCAATCTTATTTGGTATGGTTTCAGTTGTTTGAAAATATTTGTTTCAATATTTCAAAGAAATTATAACAGAACGACAGATATCGCATTCAAGAAAAATTGTCAACACTGTCATTGTCACAAAAATTGTAAAAAAATTAGTGTAAAATACACCAAAAGTGCCCCCAATTGCAAGAAATTTGAAGATGCAAATTGCGAACGAAGCGAAATGCACATTAAAAAGTGGATTGTAGATTTTTTGATATGCTCAATGTGAGTTTTGTACAATTTTTCCTTCATAAAATCCACTTATTTTTTGCATCTTTTCTGTGCTATAAACTCATTAGCAGTTGGATATTTTCAAGGGAACAAGATTTACATATCTATCATGATTTTTTCTCTTATCTCCGATATGCATGATGAGGAACATAAAAAAACCTTGGGTGGCTGCAGTTTAAAACTAATTTTGATCCAGACAGCCAAATATCAATTTATGTCACTGGATATCTCCTACATTTTATCACTACCTACCATTATTATTTCTTGTTGTAAGATACTAACAGAACCAACCATACACTATTCGCACAGTCAACTCCCAACATTTTGTCTGATGACGTCATATTCTACATTAAATCAAGAGAAAGTGATGAAGGTGTTTTCTTGTCTACTTTCTTGCTGCATCCAACTCTATTAGGTGTCTTACTTTTTCTCTTCCTTTTTTAAGGTGATTCAAAAGCTGGAGGGCTGCGCGTCAAAATGATATAAGAGATATTTTATTGGTTAGCTTTGCATTCTCAGCTACCAGTCATTTTCATAGAGTTTTAAGAATGCATTTCTGTTTTTGAAAGACTGAAGAGCTACATGAATAGAGCAAAATAAAGCGTTTGACTTAGGTAAAATACGAATTTTCCTGGAAACCTGTCAATATTTTTCATCCAATATTTCTAGGAATTTCATTCATAATTGGATCTACATTATTTCAGACATATATACAGACTTTCAAGAGAAAATATTCATAACTCCTCAAAAATGAATATTTTCTCGAAGGAAAATCGGTGACTCTCTAATATTCATACAGCGTTTTTCCTTAGCATGGCAGTGTAGATACGCCCTCTCAAAATTTCATGAACATGACAATTTGCTAAAAATTCAGAGCTAACCAATACGATATAATACATACTCGTTAAACCAGCCCTAAAATCACCTTAAATGCTACTTACCCTCTATTCCCAGCTACCTTCAAATGGAAAATTGTCCAAATAAAACACGATAATTGTAACAAATGTCTCTCTCTCTCTTTTTCACTTGAAGCCGTGTGATGTTCTGTTCTCTACTTTTTCTTTCTTTCTCTCTCTTTTCTGTTTACCTAGATGCGTCGGCACAACAGTATGACCACACCAAGGTGAGTTCTCTTGACAGTACAATGTACCACACCCACAACAAAAACATCTCAAAACAGTCATCACCATTTTCAATTCCTTTCCGCTTTTTTCTTGTTTCTTTTTATGTCACGCTTTCTTAGATCTCTCCAATGCTCTGTGTTTCTCTCGCTTTTTAGTAATGTGTTCATTGTTGCATCCTATTAGGTGGACTCCTATTGTTTATCAGTCACGTATTGTTTCATTATCATCATCATTAAATGATTTTCTGGATCTCGAATGAGAACTGGAAGAGCGGGGGAGCATATCGATGGTGTAAGGTGGGAAACATAACTGTACGTACCTAACAGTGTGGCAAAATCCCTGCTCTATTTACATTTTTCTCTGCAATGTGTAGGTATGTTCAATAACACTCTAAAATTTGTTCTAATTTTCTAGAACCCACTTTTAAAATTTTCCAACTGTAGTGATCCTCTACAACCTAAGTAGCACAGATTGTGATAAATCGCAACTACATGGTAAAAGTATCGCGACGAAACTTGGGAGCTCAAGAAAGGGCGTGTTGTGTATTTTTCCTATTTTTCGATTGAAGGAAGTTCTTATTTTGAAATCAGTTTCAGTTCTCCATTACATCGCAAATCACCCATCTTTCTGATGCATTGAACTCATTTCGTTCATCTTTGAAATTAGCATTTATTTACCAAATGATGTGTAAATATCGCAATATCATGGCAACAAAATCGCAATTTTTTTCTATATTTCCAATGCATTGTGCTACTAGGGTGAAAAATTAATTTTGTCACACTGAAATGTATGTATAAAGGTTTTTTTAACCTCTACCATCAACGTGTTTTCAATTGTTCTTTTATGGCTAAGACGTTATTTTTTCTCAAGTAAACTGCCTAACTCAGAAAGTCTGTATCAAATCAAAGACTCCTGTCTTTTGCAATGCTTTCAATGTTCAAGATTAATTTGTTTGTCTTCATTGGGAACTCCTCAATCCTCATCCACAGACATGAAATTGCCTTTATTGTTTATTATGACTAAGTATTGTTTAATTGTTTTGCTTTGCCATAAACCTAAACATCCTCAAGAACCGAATTTGTTGACAAGCTGTGTGTAAATTACAGCCTGCTGATTTTAAGATTCTGTTCAATAGGTTGCAACAGACCTTAGCCACTAACCTTAGCCACTAAATTTTTGGCTCAAAGATTGAACTTTTGTGGCAACGAGTTTTTACCTTTTGTGAGTATTGGAGTTATTGATAGTAAAATGGAATTTTGTAGCTTCTATCAAAATTTCTACCTCTGCTCGTAGAGCTTTAATGAAGATATGCCATTAAAAGAGTCATTTCATTACTTTTTTGTAAAGGTTTCTCCTGTGTGCTAACTGTCAGTGACCTTTATTGGTGAAAGACAAAATGTTTGTGGTTCACAAGTTAGTACGTACCAGTCCAATATTATAGGAATAACCTAATTCATCGAAATAAACTAACATAAACATAAGATGAATGTAATCTGAAAAAAAAAAAATTGAAGTATAACGTCACACTTTACGTATAAATGCAGAGGAACCAGTGAAAACAAGGAAAAATCTTTCTGACGGAATGACTGGTGGTTAAAGACCGAAATGGCTAGAAAATAGGTCATCTTTACTATAGCGTTTAATATAATTTAATTCGTTTGCAAAAAACCAAAATGACGAATAAATACATGTAATTTCCTAGTTTAGCAAAGCATCCCATAGTAAGGTACCCATAGTACTACTAGTTTGATCTAAACTTACTGCGTGACCATATACAGTCGAAAATTTTCGTAGAGGACAAGTATTCTGTGGGGGCCAACCCAACTGGCCCCTCTTGTCAAGAGTTATTTTTATATTTATAGAGTTGAAAAAGAGCAATATCTGAATTACTTGCCTCGAGCTTTTAAAGAATCAGTTGTATTTTTGCTTCATCTATTTTTGCACTCAATAATGTAGAGGATTAGATTGATAAGCTGATGTAGTGTAGCTATCACCATTTACAGTTTATTTTTGAAAACTATTTAGCCAAAGGAACTTACCTATCTACAAAGAGAATTGTGAAAAACAACCTATCGTCCTCTTTAGCCCTTAATTAGATCCGGTTTTTTTCAAAACTTTCTTTGTGGATTATGGATTGGTCCCCTCCGCTGAATGATGTCCATCTCTCCCTGAAACTTCACTTCAAGCCCTTAATTTTGAAAATGGTGGTTCTCAAATCAGTTTCTTCCCGGGTTTATATGATGATTTGATTGACATCGTATGTTTTTAATTTCACAAGTGCACTCTTGATTTGAGACTAAGATGATCGGTTACAAATATTGAATTTGAAAATATGAAATGCCATTCATTTGCACGAAACTAGTAAGAATGATATTTTTTTTGGCTAGCTATTTTTATTAAGCGTTCAATGAAGGGTATTATATAAATTTATGTAGTTTAATAACGGGAAACATATCTAAAATTCTCCTGTCATGAGTCAAGAAGACGTTACAACAAGTGAGTCTTGTTTTTTTTTGGCCATTGGACAAGTTCAGTTTGTCACTGCTGTCTTTTCCTTGTGTAGTGTAATCACCATGAATGTGTGTGTTTTCGTAAGAGCCTATTGATGAAAATTCTTTGTGAGTGGTACATAGAATGAAATAGCTCGTTTGCAGAGGTAATTTGTGGCTTATTGCATTCTTTTATTTCATCTTTATTTATTTTTTTTTTTTTTTTCACCAGACTCAGTGTCTGTCACTTGTAAGAGCTTAAGGAGCAAGTAATTTAATTTATAAACAAATTCTGAGTTTCTATTTTTTCCTCTTTTTTTTATTTACTTTTCTAATCACAGTTGCCTAATTTTATTACCCACACCTGCGTAGAAAACAGCATGGGAGCTTTAAGTTGTGAGGCCAAGAGAATTAACCTACATAATAGTTTACACAATGCAACTTAATAACTAGGTACTGTGCATCACAGTTATCGCACCTAATTGCGAGTCTGAAGAGCAGTCTATGAATTAACGTAAAAAAGTCTTCTTTTTGTATGAATCGTAATAAAATTTATTTTTGTGAGTGCGAATGAACGACGTTGTCTACTCCCAATATTTTCCTTTTTTCTGTACTGATCGTAAGTAAGTACGTAAAAAAGGAGGGACTGTAGCTCTGAAAAAGAAAGAAAGGAAATCATTCAGGGAAATACCAGGGCGACCACCAAGAAGTCGATAGGCAAGGAAAATTGCTTCTTTCTGGCCCTTAGTCACAACTGAACCACTAAAATATTTTAAATGTTTGCAAAATTTGCTTCTCTGGCCAATTAGATTATGGCTTGATAATCTTGTGGTGCTACTTTGTCAGAATTTATTCTGCGGAATGTGCGGTTGTTACTGCGTTGCATTATTTTGTTCGTTGTAAATTAATTTTTTTTTTTATTTGCAAACTCTAGGAAAATACTGGGTTATCAAAAAAATATACAAAAGTGCTACAACTTTGGAACGTATTTAGATAGAGACTCAATATCGCGACAGCGTTCTGACTTCTGAAAGGAATACTTTCAGAGCAAACCACAATTTTAGTAAAAATTTACCCATAGAAGCCACAAACCCTAACTGTCTTTTGGCAAGCAGTAATTCCTATCTTGTGATGCATTTTTGAAGGAGAGTAGGTACAAATAAAAAATTGACTGCGAATTGCAAGTCTCTATCACCGTTTTGAAATGGTGATTATTCAAAATTTTACAAATTATCAAGTTTTCATTTTGAGGTAGAGTGAAGTTAAGATATCTAGTTTCGCTGGAAAATTTATTTTTCTGTTTTCTTTTCAATGATGTACCTGCCTACCTCTCGATGTGTGATGATCGGGCGAGTGTCAAAAACATCAATTTAACAAGGGAGCAAGCATCTCACTTCTTGGACAACAATCATCGAGTGATATATCATAGGAATTAATATTGAAAGAGAAATCTCTCAAAGTGTTTACCTACCCCCCAATGTAAAATGACAGTTTGATTATTCCTTAAACCATGGAAGGCTGCCATTTCAAAATGGTGGTAGGGATTGATTTGCACCAAAATACTTTCTCTTCATGCTCTTTTTACCAGTGTATTACAAGATAGGTATTATTATCTGCCCCTCCCCCCCCAAAAAAAAAACCAGGGTCTTGGCGTTTTTTAGGCCAGTTCTGATAATATTGAGGGAAACACCAATGGTATATCAACGGAGTAAGCCCGCAATCGCATAACTTGGTTTGCAACATCGCAGACTTCCTGTCATACTTTATTTTTTAAGCGGGAAAACTACTCGTTGGCAATTCTTTAAAACTGCTGTGATTTCTCTTCTCTGTGCGAAGAAAATTTCCGAAAACCTCAAGGAATGATTTCAATTCGCTCTCCTTTAAAAAATAACATTGAGGCGGAGATTTTCAGACACTGCAAACAAGATATGGATTGCATTTTGCAAAAATGAACCAAGAGCATTGCAATTTCGCTAAGATTGTGCTACTTCTTTTTCCATGGACATAAAACCTGATCATCTCTAAAAAGTTGCTATTTTGCACCCTAAAAAATGTAAATTGAAGACAATAATTACCATGTAAATTTTATATTTTTGCATAATTTTAGTACTTTTATTGCAAAGAATGAAGTTGCACAATCTTAGCAACACTGCAATGCTCTTGGTTCCTTTTTGCAAAATGCAATCCATTTGTGATTGCAGACTTGCGCCGTTGATATCCTGTTAATGGAAGAGCTACGCCTAATTTCCAAGCCACTCTCGTAACTTGTTCGAAAGTTCTAAAGATGTTTCACTTCTGTTATATAACCCTGTGTAGAGACTTTGAGAAGGAAACAGAATAAGAAACCCCTTTTTTATTTGTTTTTCTATTTATCATTGAATTTGATCTATGTTAATGTACAGGATCGGATGGAGAACATGAAAGGGCCGAAAAACGAGCAGCTCGACAGGAGAGGTGGTAGAATGGACGGACGAGGCCCTCCGCCAGATCCGCATCAAGGCGCCCAAGAGTACCCAGCAGACCAAAGCTCCAAGCCTCTCTCTCAAAACCCAATGAAGGGGACGCCAAAAGTGGTGCCGGACTTCGTCATCCCAAACAACAAAGAGTCTCCGACTACTACCCAGCCGTCAAGCAAGTTCCCCGGTATACCTGAAACTCCAAATCTCATGCAGAAGCTGAGTGAAATGACGTCGAACGTCACTGGTGGTGGCGACAACTCCGTCGATCACATACTCTCCAAAGGAAAAGAACTTATTTTTATGAAGTTCGGCCTCGGCAAATGATTGTTCCTTGTTACAGGTGATTCTGCTGTTCTCGGAGACTCTCTCCTTCCTATTCTGCCCTGCTCAGAGAAAAGCACGTGTGAGCCACCGGTGAATTCATCAAACACTAATTCCTCATATCATGTTTATTCTAATTTACAGTCTGGCTTAAGTGTTATGAACTTTGTTTCCAGAATACTTCTTTTATTTTTAATGGTTGTAGGAAACATGACAGTTACATTTGTTTTCTAACAAATTTGAAGTAAGCTCAGTTAACAGGTCTGAGCTCTGCAGTTGATGTTTAAAATACTTCACATAAAAATGAATACTTTATAGCTCTTGATATCAAATTTCATCTTGTTCAATCTTTAATTGAGTACAAGCGTTTAATCGTTGCGCATTTTCCGTTGATTTGACAGCATTAAAATTATTTTCTGAACCTTTATTCGATTATGTTTCTACATTCATCAACATATTATCATCTTCTTAATTGCCTTTGAAACTTTACGTTTCTACATCTGTAATGTTTCACATCAATGTTGTGAATTTATTAGAATTATAGCACCTATTTTCCTCCTCTGCAAGTAGGACGCAGATAAGAGCTCGAGGGAGAAAAATTTCAACAGATTTTAGTATGGTACATTGTAATAGGAAAAAAATGTATCGCAAGCTTCCTAAGTGGAACCTGTGAGGGGTAATAAAGCATGCAGTGTACCATTGTTTACCTAGGGTAAATAAACTTTCCTCTACAGAGAACGAATGTAACCCATTAGGAACAATTGAAATTATACTTGATAAACGTTTTAAAGATCCTCATGAAGCACCGTCATGTGGGCCAACTGAATTTTCACTAAAGATGTCTGCAAAGAATCGGTTCCTCCTTTGAGAGGAGCTTGAAGAAATCAAATTTTAAATGAGAAAACATGGATGACGTAGAAACGCGTGTTCAGTAGAGAAATACAAAGAATATATACATGGGGCTTCAACCAGAATCAGCCTAACAGCACTATTTATGTAGCCTAATTTTCTCTTATGTTTTATTTTTTAACAAAAAACAGCAACAACACACCTTTAAATTGTGTCAATATATTCTGTACACGTACTTTGGAGCAGATTCTTAGAAAGTTTCCTGGCAAAATATTGCCCAATCTTCAGGCGAAGATATAAAGCATGAAAGAGTATTAGGCTAAATCAAATGGACAACAATTATTTGCAATTAGGAACTGTAATTTCTGGCTTATCTGTAAAAACAGATGTGTCCATAAGGAAACTAATAGTACATACTTTGTTTTTAAACTGAGCCAGATATCGTAGTTCCCAATTGCAAAATGTAGTCCAAATGTGTTCAAGCTGATTACGGTTGAAGCGGTCTATATTATCAGCAGCCTGAATGAACCACTAGACAAGGTGTAAGTTTAAGCATTGTGATACCTCATAAAATTTTCACTCAGAACACTATTTGTACAACAAAAATTAATTGAATTAACTCCGAATCAAGATACTATCGTCTTTCAATGCCCAAATTCAAACTTCCTTGTCGTACAAAAACTTCATAATCTTCTTGAGTTAAATCGCAAACTAAACATTACCGTGACAGTCTCTGCAGTTTGGAAGTCTGTCAGCCTTAATCTCAGTGTTTTGGCTCAGCTGCTGCACGTTGTTCACACTTTGATCAATACCAGGGTGGGGAAGGAACATAGATTAAATCGAGAAGCCTGCCAAAACCCTCAAAGTGCGCTGTTCGATTCGAGTATTGTTTTTCATGGGAATGGGTAATTAATATTTTTTGTAACCAATGCTTAATACAAATGTTAATATCATGGTTGGAAGCTGATTTCAGTAATTCTCAATGCACAGATAGTGTTCTACATCAAATTTTGAAGCAGAAACTCTGATGAAAATGCTAAAATTCATACCTTGTCCACTGGTTCATTACAGCTGTCCTTATGCTGATTCTCAATTGAATGAGCTTCTCGTGCTGATGAACGTCCAGTTCTATGCTTAACAGCAACAGAACGACAAAACAAACAAGGAAATTTTATTCATGTAGAAACGACCATATTCTGACGAGGAGAAATATGCTGCCAAATACTTTTATACCACTGTTTTTCATCGGGATTTTTGCTTTTGCTAGAATATCCTCCTTCCTACACTTTTAATTCTTGTTGACTTTATTTTTAATCAATTCATCTGTTTCTCTTTATCAGTATATGATATAGCGAGTGATATATGATATATTTTCAACAAAGTGATATGAGTAATAAAATATATTTTAATGTTATCAATGATCTTTTATCCATAAGTAAGTTCATATTTGCAAAATACAGTGTTGTAACCAAACAACTTCACATATTTGAGAGGACAACAATCCAAAAAGAAATCTCTAAGTTATGTCAGAGTTCTGTTTGATGTATCAAAAGGAGATGAGCGTCAAAAACTGTACTTTAAAACTTGAGTATATCGTTTAGTTCTCCGTGGTAAATTTGATGAGGCATGCGCCCTAGGGTGCGTCAAAAAAAATGAAAGTCTGAAATGTTCCGCTCCCCAGGCGGCAATCGATGACGTTTGGTAAAAAAACATGTTTGCCAAAATTTGGGCCAATTTCAACCATTTTAAATGGTGCCAAAGGTCAATTTTGTGATGAAATTATGATATTTTGGTTTAGACCTCGATTTCGTACAAAAAACTCGATTTTACGCTGAAATCGTGCGTTTACGAGAAAAATGCCAAAGAACTCGACTTGTAGAGGATGAAATTTTACACTAGGAAGACGTCTTTGTAACCGATAAAAATCAAATTGAACTAGAAAAACTCAACTCGGTATTTATTTTTTTGGTCCTCAGAATTTCCGAGGTCTTAGAAAGTAGAGGTTTAAAAGACTCATTTTTCACGAAAATAAGTCGAAAGAGGGTGTAAATGAACTGTAGGCAAGTGTTGAGGATGCAAATGTCATCAGAACTTCCTCAGTTTCAAAAAAAGTTCCAACTATTTTGCACAATCCTCCAAAAAGTGCACGGCTCGAGAAGCAGGATCGTGCTATAATAGTAAGGGGAAAGTGCGGTTTGACCGGGAAAAATTGCGTAACAAACTTTCCCTATGTAATCGTCATCAGTAGGTCCCCCTGAACAACTTCCTAAAAGTTAAAAATGGCCCGACCCCGGAATACCCCTCAAAAAAGTTAAAATTGAAAATGGCGGCCGTAATGAGAGGGTCCGGGAAATCGGTATTTTAAAATGCTCATTCTGTCTCATCATGTGAGGTATCATTTCCTATGTAATTTTGGTCGTAGATTTCATAAATGAATTCCGCAAGGCCCTCCGGCCAAAGGGGGCGCTCTAAATCAAAGATGGCGGCCAAATGTGAAAGGCAGGAGGTTGCATTTTTTTAAATATTCACCGAAGGAACAAGGAAAGTGAATTGTCTTTATTTTCATGTATTTATGGCCAAGAAACTTAAATTTGATGTTATAAATGTATTTAATAAAGGAAAATAAAGGAAACATACGACTACCGAGAGAAACGTAAGCTTAGAAGGGGCCTTGCGGAATTCATTCATGGAATCTACGACCAAAATTACATAGGAAATGATACCTCACATGATGAGACAGAATGAGCATTTTAAAATACCGATTTCCCGGACCCTCTCATTACGGCCGCCATTTTCAATTTTAACTTTTTTGAGGGGTATTCCGGGGTCGGGCCATTTTTAACTTTTAGGAAGTTGTTCAGGGGGACCTACTGATGACGATTACATAGGGAAAGTTTGTTACGCAATTTTTCCCGGTCAAACCGCACTTTCCCCTTACTATTATAGCACGATCCTGCTTCTCGAGCCGTGCACTTTTTGGAGGATTGTGCAAAATAGTTGGAACTTTTTTTGAAACTGAGGAAGTTCTGATGACATTTGCATCCTCAACACTTGCCTACAGTTCATTTACACCCTCTTTCGACTTATTTTCGTGAAAAATGAGTCTTTTAAACCTCTACTTTCTAAGACCTCGGAAATTCTGAGGACCAAAAAAATAAATACCGAGTTGAGTTTTTCTAGTTCAATTTGATTTTTATCGGTTACAAAGACGTCTTCCTAGTGTAAAATTTCATCCTCTACAAGTCGAGTTCTTTGGCATTTTTGTCGTAAACGCACGATTTCAGCGTAAAATCGAGTTTTTTGTACGAAATCGAGGTCTAAACCAAAATATCATAATTTCATCACAAAATTGACCTTTGGCACCATTTAAAATGGTTGAAATTGGCCCAAATTTTGGCAAACATGTTTTTTTACCAAACGTCATCGATTGCCGCCTGGGGAGCGGAACATTTCAGACTTTCATTTTTTTTGACGCACCCTAATGCGCCCTTGCCTATCATGATACTGAAGTCTCTTAACGTAGAAGAAAAATTCACAGAGTTTGGTTGAGTTTATTTCACTCTCTATCACCATTTCATCCTACTTCGGTCATGACTGATTGTCATATTATCTTATTATCATCTAGCTGAGATGCCAATGACATCGGGCAAACCTTCCCTCACCATAGTATTATTAGGAAGTTGGGCACCGTGAGCTAGGATGGATCAGCTTTTATCTTGCTACGGTGTAGCTCCAGCTTTTTGGGTGGTTGTCCCCTTAATACAACTATCAGTTGTTACATTAAATGATGAGATTGATTTATGACCCAAATCATCATCTGCTAGTTAATATTTCAGTTTATCTTCTTAAGTGAAGATTTCATGGCTTGTTAAACGCTTGTGTGCATTACCTTTTCCAAAGTTGTGTTTTTCTTACAGCTTTGGAAACTCAGCTCTTACATATTTTTACCAGAATAATTTTTATATAAGAAGTTAATGTGCTGGTACATTAACAACGGCTATGATACCTTGGCTTTTTCAGTATGTATTTTTTATTGTGTTTTAATCTCTGAGTATTTTTTTAATTTTTGCTCCTTCATTATGTACAAAGCTCACAATTGTATAGTCTTGTTTGTACTTATTGTTAAGTAATTTGTCTTGTATATCATGATTTATGAGAATCCATTCATGTCGACTTTAAAGTAAGTAAGGAAGTAGGGTGCAGTCACCAATTCTTTTTTTCTACCTTGTGCTGATCACAACTCAATTTTTTTTTTCTCAGGTGGTAGAGAGCTCTCATTTTGTCTTGGGAGTTTTTGTAATTGCCTGCCACAATGAAGTGAGTTTTTGTTGAATTTTCGGAACAAAATAACTGAAGCTAAGCATAGGTACTCATCCTTGAGACTCTTATCAGAGTTTTTTCTTTCACTCAGTATTTTTCACTGCAAATTTATTGTTCAATTAAATAGGTAACTTAATTTTGTCTTCCGTTTGACCTATTTTTTATTCCTTGAACTTCATAACTTCTTTTCTCCAGGGCGAATCATCATTTTTATCATTTAATGAAAATAACAATATCATTAAAAAATAAAATTTATATGACAGTATCTAGGTTCAGACTCACATCCAAGAGACTTTAATTGTTAATTTTTATCAGCTGTTAATGGAGTTTAAAAGTGTTACGTAAGTTGTCCCAAAAGTGAGGCAACAGTGGACCACCGCACAAGGATCAAATTAAGCATTCTGCTATACCTTTCGATGGTGAAACTACAGAAATGCATACTTTGGTTTGTGGCGTTAAGTCTTCCCGTCAAACTTTATTTTCTACACAAAAAACCACTAAACGCCATTTTTGTAAAATTTCAATGATTTTCCTCTCTATGTGAAAAATAATCTGTAAAAATCTCAAGCCATACTGTTGGTTTGGTCTCCTTTTAAAGAACAAATTAGGAGCTGAGATTTTGAAACACTGCAATCTAGTTGTGCATTTTGTATTTTCACCATCGATATGTTTCCTCTTCAAAATTTTCATTAAAATCAATCTTTGATTGATGTAGTTGTGGTACTTTAGCAATTTTGTTATCAAGATTTGAAGGGGGAAAAATAAAAAAAGAAACAGAACGTACCTATTTATGAATGGCGTTTATTGCAAAGAAAGTTGGGTATTTTGATTGCATTGATTCCAAATTTTTGCTCGTTTACTTTTACGATGTTTACTTATTTGAAAGGGAACGCATCAGCCTCATTGCTTGGTATCTGACGGAATATTCTTCCAAAAGAGTTATAAAAATGAACCCAAAAAAATATTTCCTTGAAATTTTCTGTGAATATTTTTCAATTAATGAAAACAAATTTAGCAGGGATTTGGAGAAAAACTGTTCTTTAGGGGCCCATTCATAAAATACTTAACACTCTAGGGGGAGGGTGGTTGAAGGAGAGCGTTATGCCGTTTTGTTTTCACAGGTTAAAGAATAGGCATCTACGTCACAAAAACGTCATAAGGGGGGGGGGGGCTGAAAAATCTCAAATGCCATGTTACTTATTTTATGAACGACCCCCAGTTCTTTTTTAATAAAATAAAATGTATGCAAGAACAACGTTTTACAGAATCGCAATTGGAGATGGCTATGCATTTTCCACTTGAAGCAATCTCCGTCTGTACGAAATAACAGGAGAGTCGGGTTCGTATTTTCGAAACATTAAATTAGCCAATAATAATTGTAATTTAAGCTCTGGCAAATCACACAGGATTCATTCATGTAAATACAACAAAGTATTCTTTATGCAAATCGGTTCATGAGAAGTTGTATCTGTAGGTTTTCTACAATAAATTCTGAAATATCCATATCGACAATGAAACTCCCAAACCTCGTATCTTTTGCGACATTGCAACTTCCTGTTATACTTCATTTTTTTTTTAAATGAGAGACTACTCAGCGTCAATTCTTTAAAATTTCAGGAATTTTTCCTCTCTAGGTATGCAAAGAAAATTATGTGGAAACTACAAGGACAGGTGTTGATCAGTTCTTTCTCAGAAAAATAAAATGGGAACTGAGATTTTAAAACTCTGCAAACGATGTAGGTGGTTTGGGAGTTTTACTTTCTAATATAAAATGCATCAAGGTAAGAAAATTATAGAAGGGAGAATTTCTTCCTGAAATTCTGGCAATAAGTTACATCTATTCAAATTGGAAAACAGTTTTGCCCATTTGAATATTGTAATTTGAGCAGTTCATTCAGGCAAGCTGAAATTAGTGATTTTTCATTTTTTTGGATTAGAGTATCTTTTTCGGAGAGATTAACGTGATTATTCTTTTGCAGTTCATTATACTGTTCTAATGTTCTGTTACTATCTACAAAGAAAAGATCAATATTTCAACATTATATATAGGTAAGTATAATTCAATCATTTTTCTCTTCAAAAATTCAGATGAAAAGGAATTTCTAATTTTAGGAGCGGTTCTTCCTTCTCAGCGTTCTTTTTCTTGCTCTGAAATTTTAAGAGACGCCTCCTTAAGGTGCTCGGCATTTTTGTTATCTATACATACAAATACATACATACGAACATACACATAAAGTTGAAAAAAACGAGGCTCCTGCACTTAGTGGGCCTTACTAATTGGTGTCTATATTTTGCGGCCTTCTTGGACCATGCAACGAAGCTGAAAAACAATTTGGAGGCGGATTTTCTGAGGGAGGGTCGAATCCATTTTTCAGAGCTCCAGAAGGCCCTTTCTACAGCTTTTATCTCATAGTTCAGCTTTTGCTTCCTAACGGAGTTGCATTATTAATGACCCAGACCAGGAAAAAGCTTCATCAATTAAATCTCAACCGTGGGATTCAGCTTTATGAATCATCCTGGAAGACGTATTTTCTTAGCATGTGAGTAGGTATACCCTGTGCAGGCAAAAAGCGCACGTATGCAAAATAGGTATACTTACTTATTACAAAGAAGAATGAAAGACGGAGTCATAGACGTTGTAAGTTTTTAACTGGATGAACTCCCACTCGAGGAAACATCTTGAGGAAAAATAGTTCTGGAAATTTTTGCAAAATTTAGAAGAGTTTGAGTACAGAGAGGTGCTCATCAAATGGACCGCATTTTGCAATGTGGAACTATAAATTCTGTCTCTTCTGGAAAAAACACTTAAGTGCATAGGGAAACTAATGGCACACACGTTGTTTTTAATACGGACTAGAATTTATAGTTCCAAATTGCAAAATGTAGTCCAAATGATCGAGGATATTACGAACCGCGGTTATTAGGTACCTACCTCCTTGTATTTGAGCAGTTTCATTGAATTTCATACAGCCTTTAGCATCGTACTCCTTAATTTCGTCCACTCGTGAGAATTCAAAAATCCTCTTCTTCAGCTTGCTGCCAGCATTTTGAAATCTATATCGACTTAAAAAAAATTTAGACGAGAGATATGTCAGTCTTTCACCTAGTTCGCGCGTCGTGTCGCAGGAGTCGCAGGCTATCGGTCTCTTATTTTTTTTCAAAATACGCGCCATGCGGTCCCGCACCGGTACCATGGACCAATAGAATAAACTATTAAAATAAATCATTTATTCTATTGGTCCGAGCTAGTACGGTAGCAACGACAGCGCCCTCTTTCGAATGCCGACTGCACCACAAATCAATCATCAATCATCATCATCTCGTCTCCAACTCCATCGTGAAATCGGGATCGTTGGATCGAGACATCGAGATCGCTTTCTCCGCTTCGAATATACGTGTCATTTCAGGTTTTTCTGTGGTTTTCAGTTGAGGAATGCAACAATCAGACAATATGGAGAACGAAAATTCAGAACAAGAACAGCAGGTGGATATGGCGAAACAAAGCCTTTACATCAAAGAACTGCTGAAGGAGAAAATGCAACTGGACCCGGAGCATCACGCCAATGCTATGAGGCTTGTCGACGAAGGTACAGTCGTCTTGATTTCTTCATCGAATGTCTATGCTTTGCTCCTTTCGCCCGTATTTTCCTCATTCGAGTCAATCCTAATATCACAAGAATTTTATCGCTCAATTTTTCATCCCCTACATGTTTCGACCCCCGAAACGACCCGGCAATGTGCATCGCGTACGCCATGTTGTTCGCCGCATCGCCGCTGATAACTTCTAAGTACACTTCCAGCAAAGATATTGGCTTGTAGCATTCATTTCAGTATTTGTGACTCTGAATCCACCTTACGGTTTGGGCTTAACACGCCCGAGCACTCGCCCCATTCGTCTTAATTACCCGTAAGAACCAATCAATACCCAAAACATCCTAAGGGCAACGGACGGGTTACAGGTCCTGAGCGGAAGGGTTCTACATGTTTTCAGACGGATCAAATGGAAAACTGAGTACAAAATTAAGTTTAAGCATCAGGAATTTGTCTATAGAGGTCGTGTCAGCCAAGTTGACGCTTGTTCACGCTCTCAGTTTGCAAGAGTCTACTACGCAGTTGTCCCATGACGATTGAAGATCGACCGCGTCCTGCGATCGCTTACATGGGGAATGTAAATGAGCGCCAACCTAGCTGACAATGCCTATATCTAAAATGGATGTCTCGAGTGTCAAAGCAATTGGAGTACGGTATACTTAGTCACATGGTTCATCTTTGACTGGACTCTAGATGAAATCATCCAAGAATTCAGATGAGTTCAGGATGAATGTTTTTTTCTGCTGTACTTAAGATGAAATTGGGGGAATGAAAGTGAAGTGAGGTACAGTCAAACTAGTTCTGGTTAATAAATGTCTAGCATCAAGTAGTAGGTAATGCAGTAGTCCAAATCCCTCCTTCGTGCCACTTAACATGAGTGTCAAATTTTCGTAGAGTTTTTCCAACTTTCTGACATGCCAAAAAAAAAAAACCAAAGAGGATTTCACTGAGCACTCTGGCGTTAACTTTTGGTATACTGTAAGGGATCCATGGCTATCTCATGAGACAATTTCATCTGAGGGAAACCGTGGAGATAAGGAGTTAAAATGTTATTTTAGAATGGGCCTTGACTAACAGGCTCATACCAGAAAGATATTAAGTAGGAGATATTGCAAAGTCGTCACCCTTGTCTTCAGAACCTTGTGTAAAGATTAGTTGAAGTATGAAACCTTGTTTCTTCGTTTGCAACATTTTAGATTTTCTGTCATACTTCATTTTTTCTTCAGAAACGAGGCAACGCAATGGCTTGAAAACTTTCCTAATTTTTCTTCCCGGTCAGCAGAATATTTTGTATAAATTTCAAGCCATGAAGTTGGCTCGTTTCTTATGGAATAAATAAAATAGCCGGGGAAATTTTGAAACTCCTAGTTGGTAATGCGTGGTTTTAAACTTAGGGCATTGTAAGTAGTACTGTTTGCTATCACCTCCTTTCCAGCTCTAGGTACTCATAGACAATAGGACCCAAGGAGAATCGCCCAAACTGCTCTGTTTTGCAGCTTAATTTTGCCAAACCATTTTCTACCTGTCTTCAGCCAGCAGCTAACAATAAGTATATGGTTCTTTTTTCAACCTCTTCTGGTGAAAGTAATTTTTGGTTTTATTTTTGTTTATTTCAGAGGTCCAAAAAGCGCAAACTTTGAAAACCCCTAAAGAAAATCGTTATGTAGACATCTACAGAGAGAAACCTATCAGAGTGGCTGTCAAAGTATTAGTTCCTGTCAAAGAACATCCAAGGGTAAAAATCTCTATTTACATCTTTAATCCTTTATGTCTTCAAAGAGCTGTAAACTGCTTTTTTATCATCATCTCATTGTAATTTAAACTAATCAATGGGAAAACTCAGTTCAAAAAAAAAAAATCATCTCTCTACTATTCTCAACAGGCAGGAGATGCCCATATTTTTGAATGTTGAATAGGTGCGTCACATGGGGTGGCAGTGTAGAAAAATTGGGTGAATAACATGCACCACTTACAGACTGTCCCTTAATGGCACTAAATACATATCTGCTGTGCTAAGCAAAAACATTGTAAATCCATCAAGATTTTCCCGCATTTTTTGGAACGTAACACTTAATAAAATAAAAACTGTTGCTGTGCTGTAGTTTGTTATACCCTTAGGCATACCAGGGCTCACTGCTTCATGCATAGCCTTTCTCGTATCATACAAAACTGTTGGGCCAATGATGACTTGACAGGAAGCACTCAATGATCTTAATGGACACCGCACTGTTTGAAATGATAGGTGCAGACTTGAGCGCTGAGCATATTCCTTGAGCGTATATTGAATAAACAAAAGACGCACTAAAGATCAGCTATGAAGATGTTCCAAACCATTCTGCTCCTGTTTCTGAATTTTGCACGGCTTAGTTACAGCTGCTATTTTGCTTCACTTTTTCCACTGCTCCTAAATTTCTTCTATCTCTTATTTTTATTTCAGTTCAATTTTGTAGGTAAGCTGTTGGGCCCTAAAGGCAACTCTTTAAAAAGGCTACAAGAAGAAACCATGTGTAAAATGGCCATCCTAGGTCGTGGTTCCATGAGAGATAAAGCTAAGGTAAGTCACTTAGACAGGTATTTTAAGAATCAGCTAGAACTAAGGAAAGAAAAGAAGAGACTAATGTCACATCCAAAAATTGCACCATTTAACAGACATTTACATGCTAACCAATGGGCCAGCTGATGATTGATGCATCCAGACTGATGCGACTTTTGTCTCTTCTTTTCTTTCCCCAGTTCTATCAACACTCATGGGTAGATGTCTGTTCCAGAGTCTGTGCTTGGCTGTCAACATTAAAACTATGTTGAGCTTCTACTGTAATTTTGTGATCAGGATTTTAGGTTTTTTGTGTGCTAGACTTTAACTACTTATCATATGATGTCTAATGAAAGTCTTCATAGTATAATATTTCTATGATTGCCGAACCTTTAAGTGAGAACCATTTAGTTATCGGAAAATGATACAGTGTCGTATTATACACGGCTTTTCCCCTTATTATTTCTTGGTGCTTTTATTTCTTATTTAATTAACAAAATTCTAACAAGTAATTTCACCCCTTCTTAGTCTGCTTGGTTTCATATCCTTGCAAATACACGGTGTATCTCGGATGCATTCACAGCCTGGCAGTAAAAAGCTTGTTAGCGAAGAGAGTCCTGAAATTTACGCGCTGTTAATTTCATCCTTTGATTTAAGTTACAAGGATGACATGAAATGACCATCACTAGCACAACTTCATTTCACATGAAAAGTTTAAAAGGATGAGCCAACACATGCTTCGCATACTTTTTGAAATGTTTGGAGTACACCTAATTCTAGATGCTGTTTTCAAATCACATCTTTTACCCGAAAATTACGAAATGTATCAATGTTCTCTTTGTGACATTGGGCCTGTTGCACGAGCAAGAATATGAGTTGTTTCCGTCAGTAAATGTTTCAAAAATCACGACGAGGGCATTGGCAAAGTTTAAAAAGCTCTCCTAATTTCACAGTCTATGTAAGAAATTTGTGTTCCTTTGAGCTTCCCGCTCCGAAAACGATACTACGGCATAGGTGAACATTTCTTTAGAGGAGTCATTCCATTCAACCCCTGTGCCTTAGGATACCACACAATATTCAACATCCAATCCGCCAAAACACATGTGCCTGGACGAGATTCTAACCATTTGTTAACAACCCAGTAACCCAGCCCGTTGACATTCACGATTTCCTCTTGTTAATATAGATCTGCTTTGGTTGACCTTGTGCTCCTGATTGCAATTTGCGCGTGGAAGCATCGGCTATGTTGTGTATTGCTACAGCAAAAGGGTTGAAGGGAACGACTCCTCTAACAAAATGTTCACCTGTGCCGTAGTATCCTTTTTGAAGCGGGAAGCTCAAAAGAACGCAAATTTCACACGCAGATTGTGAAGTTAGGAGTGCACTTCAAACTTTGCCATTATGCCATTCAGCCAACTATGCGCTCATCATGATTTTTGAGACATTTACTGACAGGAACAACTCTTTTTGCTCTAGCAAAAGTGTGCAACAGGCCCACCGGTTTCTCTGTAGAATCATAAGCACTGATAGTCATTAAATTCTGTTCTCTGTCTTTTCCATGCTCCTTTTAAGTGTCAAAATAAATGCTAACTGAAAATATTTTTATTGGATGGTTTTTTAGGAAGAAGAATTACGACAAGCTCTAGACCCCAAATATGCTCACCTTGCAGATGAGTTGCATGTGGAAATTGTAGCTCTAGCGGCACCAGCTGAAGCGCACGCCAGGATTGCTTTTGCCTTGGCAGAACTCAGTAAATATTTAGTACCTGACCTAAATGATGAAATCCATCAAGAACAGATGCGCGAGATCCAGCAGTACGGACCTCCGGGAGTTCGACCAGGCCCACCACGTGCAGGAATTCGTCCTGCAATGCCCCCACCGCAACGAGCCCCGATGGGTATGGGACCTCCAGTGCGCCCTCCTCGACCTGCTCTTGGTATTCTTCCCCCACCGCGTCAAGGTCCCCCACATTCTGCTGGGCTTTTGCCTCGACCTGGTGTGAAAACGGGGAAGGTCCTGAGCATTCTTGACAGAGCACGCGCTGCCATGGAAGAATCATCCTATGGAGCAGGTCCCGGCTATGATGCAGGTTATGATGCTGGTTATGATTCTATGGGCTATGAACTCTCAAGGTAAGTTACATAACATTTTTACCCAAAAGTGTTTTTTTTTTTTTTTCACTCTATGCAACACAGTGGATCTCTAATAGGAAACAGCGAACAATTTACTATCATTTTGTTTGAGGAAAATTTGACAATGATTAAGGAGAATCTTTTTTTTTTTTTGCTCATTTTGATGGTGAACACTTTCATCAAAATCGCCCATTGAAGTTACCCTCCAAGTATTATCTATAAAGAAGAGGGCAAAAGCATGGGCAATCCAGCCCTATTGTTAATCACAATGAGACTTTCAAGTATCACTTTATAAGAAAGATATGTTCCTTCTAAATCTGTGTTCTGTCCTCTTCGGGTGCCGTACGCCCAATGCGCCTAAAAATTGGGTTTTGATGCTTCAAAATTCAAGGGTCAAACCTTGTAAGAAAGTTGATACACCCTGTTGATTTTTTCAAACTTGCAATCGCAAAACAGTGGTAGTGCTCTCTACACACTGTTTGCAACAAATTTCATACGCAAAAAGTCAATATGGCCCCTAAAATATTTGGTCGTCTGACCGAGAGAGCTCTCAAAATTTTGTGGAGCAAGCAGAACTTCTTTCTATATGTACTGAGCTCATCAAAATCTCCTAACTCCTGCACCACCAAATCCTCAGAATTCTGGTAATTTTCAAAGCAGCTGCAATTGATTAATTTCAAATTATCCTTTTTTTTTTTGTAGTTACAACAACTCATACAATGGAGGAAGTTCTGATTACTACGATTCAGTCAGCTATCCTGGTGAGTAATTAACCCTTTGCTAAACAGATTCCAAGCCATTGTATCCATCAGATTCAGCATATAATTTCACTATATCTCTCCTTAGCACTGATGAAATTTTCAATAGTCAGGCTATTAAGAGAAAATTATTTGTTTTTCTGCTTTTTATTTCTATTTCTACATTGAAAGCTACATTTACCGAATCAGTCAGGAACCGTCTCAAAATCCGATGAATTGAATCTGGTAATTTTCTTGTGTTGAGTAGAACTATAGTCCGCCCCTCGAAAAGTGGCAGGTGAGGGGCGGAGCCACTCGGCTGGTCGAGTCTATCGTTGAAAGGTTGAAGCGCAGGTATTGGCCCAGACGTTACCCCGTCTCAACTACAGGCCAATACCTGCACTTCAACCCTTCAATAATAGGCTGGACCGGCCAACTGGCTCCGCCCCTCACCCACCACTTTTCAAGATGCGGACTATAATAGGAAAAAGCAGTAGGAGTATTTTCTTCGTGCAAGTGACTTTTTCAGTTTATTTTAAGCACAGCTGGTCCGTTGGCATAAATTCATAAAATGCATATTCTCTAGGATAAATACTGGTTCATGAGTTTCTTGAAAGAGGTAGTAAACCTCTTGGATGTTGGGAACTTTCAGGAATTTGAGTCTGGAGTTGTAATATCTATGGAAAATCTGGGAACATCTTGGTCTGACCTTACAATCAAGAATTATCTGATATTGGAAATTAGAAAATATTTGCCTAATGATCTGGGAAACATCAAATGAGCCTGGAAACTTATAAAATAATAGTCAATTATGTGTCTATTAAAATTCGAATCAATGTTACAACTTGAATGAAATGAATTTTTAGACAATTTTGTTCGAAATTATATTTATTGAAAATTTCAATGAAAAATACAAATGATTTTCTTTCAAAATAAATTTTTTATCAGGGGAAATTTGGCAACAGTCAAATGCTGCTCTAACGTTTTTCCTTAGCATGGCAGTATATTTATGAGTATTATTCGTAAACCGCACAAATATCAATATGGAGAATAATACTTTGAAATCGAGAATTTTTAAATCATACTCCAAGTGTGAACTTTCAGTTTCAAAATTCCTACCTCCCTATTTTTGGAGGAAGGACCAAGCACTGGCATCAATTTTGATGCCCTGTTGTTCTGACTTTCGGAGAAATTAGATTTTTTTCACTTACGAGACTGCTTTGAATAAATATTCTCTTTATTTGCTTGGTAAAATTAATGAAAACTGCTGTGAAACCGTGGAGCTTGGTAACTTTTATTTTCATTTCGACTTGCAGGTCGATGGTGATTAAGCCTTGACCTCTACCAATCAGGACATAGTATCTCCCAGTCTCTTGGTGAGCATTGTTCTACATATACATCTTAAAGCTCGGGCTCTCATATTCAATCAATGCATCTCGTTTTCGATGTTTAAAAGTCTCCGCACCTGTTAAATTTTTTTACAGGAGTGCAAATCAACATCATTCATTGAAGTTTTCTTAGAATTTGCTTTGCACAGAAGAGAAAAATCACTGAAGTTTTTTATGAATTGATGTTGAGTAATTCTCCATTTGAAAAATAAAGTACGATGGGAAGTTTGCAACATCGCAAATCGAGATGTGTGGTTTGGGAGTCTCATCATCGATTTGCTTTTAACTTGGACCTCTCAATTGAAAGTGTGATGATACTTGGTTTTTTTTATCTCACAGTTTGCTTTATTTCAATCACAGACTCATACCGCTTAAGTTGTTATTTTTCTCCCATTTCTCATCTTCCATTAGAGAGGATATGCATTTTATGAGGATGAATGCCAAATGCATTTGATCTAGTGTGAAATGAGGTTACTATTCCCGGATCTTGATCTTCAGTGTAATTAATTCTATGTAATCATTGCTGTTTATAATGTGTTTTCAGGAAATATTATTTTGGTAAATGAGTCAGTTTTATGGTGTATAACTTATGAAAATATTTAGGAATATTAAATCAATTGAGTTCACATGAGCTGTTCATTGTCAGTTTCTTCTTGATTACTACAATCCTGAAGATAATTTTTAAAAAAATGCCACAAAAAAATTGTGGTAGCCTAAAACGTGCGTTGAATTATGTGCTCAAAATGTGGTGGATCAAGCCATAAAAACTAGGTGCAGTAGAGAAATTGACTGTGATGTGTTATTGATTGTTGTTAACAATGATGAGATCATGGACGTCTCGGCTAATACCTTAATTTACCGAGGTGTTTACCAAGATCTCTAAGTGAAAGTTTTTTTTTAACCATTTTAAGTTATTTAATGTGGTATGAACCATCAGACAAGGTATGAAGCCAAGCATCATGATAAATGTTGTCTCATCAAAATTTCTTGTAGAGCATGATTCGTACCACAAAAATTACTGATAGTAACTCCTAAACCAATTCATTAACGTTTTTCAATGCACAAATTCAAACTATCCGCTCATAGAAAAAACAATAATCTACTTGAGCTAACTCGCATACTAAAGGTCACCAGGACAGCCTCTGCAGTTTCAACGAATACCAGCCTCTATCCCAGTGCTTTGGCTCAGCTATTGCACGTTGTTTACATTTTTAACAGCATAGAGTGGGGGAGGAACACTACTTGATTGAGAAGCCTGCAAAAACCGTTATATTGCGCGATTTGATTAAAGTAAACTCTAGTTTTTCACGTGAGTGGGGAATTCAAATTTGGTCAATATCAGTAATTTGCTGCGCAAACCGTGTTCTAGATAAAATTTTGTAGAGGAAACATCTTCAGGATGCGTAAATTTGTACCTTGTCTAGTGGTCTATGGGCGGTATTATGGAAACACAGCACTAACATAATTTGCGGAGCAACTTCAACAATCCAAACAACAGAGAGGGACAGAGCATGTAGATTGGTGCCGTCGACACGTTGCCTACATGACTTGCCATAGACGAAGTTTGATCTAGCAGTTTGGTCTGGGCGCATTTTCAGCGTCATCAAAAAAGCAATGGTTATTTTCTGGAGTTTGTGTAGTGCTCTTGATTTTTCTCCTGCCTTGAAATTTTTTGTTCGAACAATCATTTGCAGGCCAATCCTTCCTGAGATGAACTAATAATCACTACAATCACGACAATAATCACTAATCTCCAACTGCCTTTCTATTTCCGCCACAGGGAGATGTTAGGTTTCAACAAGTATGATTGGTTACCTTCAGTGCTTGTCTGCCTAATGTTTCTTGGAAGACAACAGATAATGTCTGCACCAATGAGCTTTTTTGAAGCCTAATTTGTACATCAAGGAGAGCTTTGACAATCACGTTGACCCGCAAAATCTCTGAATCCTTGCTCCCACACAATAGATAAAAAATTTTACCGAAGTGTTTTCATAATTTGGAAAACCAATACAGTATTCTCTGGTTATAACAACACTCATTATAACGAAAATCTCCCTTTTGCAAAGGAAAAACCCGCTCCCTTGAACGACTTTCTCATTATTGCGACACTCATTTTAACGAAAATCTCTCTACGAAGGAATCACGCGGTCCCTCGCTGATTTGTTATAGCGAGAGAGTACTGTAAATTATTTCTGTCTCCTTAATTTTTTACCAGCTTTCCCAATTTTCCAGTAATCTTGCTATCTCACTATTGTATATACTTAGCACTTCTGCATGGGAGAGGAGTCTTGCTTGTTAATGCGCTAGAGATTGTTGCTAGGTACTTATCAAAAACTTTTGGAAGAAATTCCTCGCTTATAAGCGAAGTTGTAATGCTTTTTATTATCTCATTGATTCTTTTTATGTACAGGTCAGGATTACAGCTCTGAGGTAGTGGCACCACACGCACCCAGCTCTGGACGTTGGAAAGGTTACTCTCCCACCGGTGGCAGTGGTAAAGGGCCCTCAAGTCTACCTATCTCTGCTTCCCGCTACAGCGCTCAAGGCATCCGCCATTCACCATATGGCCGTCCTAAGTAATATGGTCCACCTCATTTCTAATTTCTTCCTTAACTTAAACTCTCTCAAAGACCCTTTTTTGTCTCCTAACTAGCAAATCTCAGAATCATCAGTGTGCGTCTGAGTGAATGATTGCATGTATGTGTGTGTGTGGATACAAGTTCGACTCAATTGATTTTGTCTTAACTTGACACCTGTTTTTGAGGTAGTTCATGTCTAAAATTATATTGTAAAATTTTTATGTTTACCCTTTTCTTGTTCTAAGCAGATAATGTTTTGAACTAGTGGGGATGTGGAGTAATCATGGATATGATTATTAACATTTTAAGAAAATTTAATGGTATCCACACGTAAGTATGACGAGCAAGTAAAGTTGGTGTAATTTTCATGTTTGTAATGATATCCTCATTTTCTCATCATTTTACAGTGCATGGAAGATTTGTTTACTATTCTCCTTTTTTTTTACTTCACTGCTTTTATATGGAAACTTGTGGGATTTAATCTGATTTTTTAATGTTCATTTATCAAATGGCTAGCATCATCTGAAGTATCGAACTGATATCTTATTGCGAGAAATGATTCCAAGTAGTGTCTTCACGAAAACTTCAAATCTTGTCATATTAGCTGAAATATCTAGGTGCTGTCCTAGGTTTCCTCTTTCAAGTACGGGCAGGTACAGGCTGCCTCCGTATTGTCAACATCCCTACTGCCTTACAATCAAATTAGGGCTTTCATTCTCTCATGAGTCATAATGCCATGTTTTTAAAAATGAAGGCAACTGCCTCTCATGTTGAAAATGACAGGAATATTTTCAAGTCTCCTCTGATTGTGAACTACCCATCATGAAATTACAAGACTAAATGTGTAGGTTTTCTGCGTTGCTACCCTTTTTTTCCTTTTTCTTTTATACCTCCCTCATAGTTTCAATGTAGCATTTAATAAAGCTATTTTCCCTTGCCCCTTTCCTTTTTTTTTAAGTATTGATCCTCGAGAATTATGTTGTTAATTTTCAATGTATATTTAAAGTTTAGGAAACTTTTTTTAATTTATCAAAGATTTTGATAAAGAAGTGTAGCATTAGTTCAGTTCTGTAAATTACTTAAAAGAAAATAATTTTATTCTCTTCCCAGGTAAAAGTATTTAATTTGATGTTTGTCTTAAAGTTTAGAAAGGCAGCTGACTAATTTAGGTCTGTGTACTCCATGAAGTCAGTTCAATGAACCAGGTTATTTGACTTATATATTTTATGAAATGACAGAGTATATAGTTGACAAAATAATTCTGACAAATCTTTTCTGCAAATGCTCACCTAATATGACCTCTGCCTAAATAAATGCCTGCTTGTAGGTTTACTCTCAGTTTATTTCTGGATTAAACCTGTTATCAATCTAACACCACATTATTGCTTTAAAATGGAAATCCTAAAATATGTTTGGTTAGCACGCTATTAATTTAGTCTAAATTTGTTCGTATCAGTATCAGACGCAGCAATTCATAATAATATCTTTTGATGTTTATCAACGTTACATGTAAATTTTCATAATTTTTGCAATTTAGAATAAGACACATCAAACTCACCAAATTTCGTAGTGTCATTGCTTATCTTGATTTACCTATTTAAAAAAAAAAAAAAAAAAAAAGTTTTCTGTAAGGTGAACAGTTGAATGTCTCTAGTCGTACTTGTCGTTCTTTTGTTTAATGAAAATGAAATTTGTTTTTTTAAACCATGAAGATACTCCATCCTCTGCTTATTATCGGTAATGGTTTGCAGAAGATTTAACCGCGGACAATCATGAAATTAATCAATTACATGCGTACCTCATTCTTTTCTCATGGCTCTCAAAACGATCAAACTTAATCAGTCTGAAATTTACAATCGATTTCTCTTAATAAGCCACAATATTACAAAGAAAAATAATTTTAGATCCCAATCAAGCGATTTTCCAATCCATCTTTCTTCTTTAAAGACCACATTTCGGAAAAGAAGCAAATTATTTATTTTAAGTACTTCATTATTAATATTATATTTGTATAATTCACAAAATTGCTTTCCTCTAAAGTTAGTTGTTTCAACCTTGGACTAACAACACTCTGGTTTAATTTTTTTCTCAAAAAGATCAATGTATTTGTTTAAAGAAAAAATTCTTTGTTTCAATCAAAGAGCAAACTCTTTTCTGAAGAACAAACCTTTCCTTCCTATGCCGCAAAGATTGAGAAACTTCATCATTTTTTTATTTTTATTTTATTTTATTTTATTTATTTATTTTTTTTTGAAAGCTACTTCTTGGATCCAGTGATTCTACTAACTCGGAATGTTTCTAGATTCTTTTAGAAGAAATTTCTTTCACAGTAATTCACTATTTCAATATTTTATTTAAGGTTGATCAGCACTATACACTGAAAAATAATTTATTAAATTTTTGCTCAAGAATTCGTGATATTTCTTTAATTCAGTTTTACAGAAAGAAAGAAAGAAAGAAATTAATGAATGATAGTTTTCAGCAATCATTCATGTAGCCACAACTGATCCAGGCCTATTACAATCTTACTGTAAATTTTTCTTCTTTTTATGGTTAAAGCCTTCCCAAGGTCTTCATATTAATTGATTCTCCAAACTTTAAAGAAAGAAAAATTACATTTAATTTTTGAAAAATCATTCTAATTACATAATGCGTTCATCTGGATTAAAATAAGATAAATGATGAAGCTACTCATAATCAAATGCGGATGGGGGCTCTTCACCTGCAATCATCCGAAAAATTTTTGGAGCATAATGTTGTTTAAAGTTTTTGAACCTTTTTGGCTTTAAATTTTAGAAGTCATCTCTCCTTTTCACATCACACATCTAAACCAATCTAAAATGAACCAAACCTTTTTCAACTCTCATCAATTATCTATCAGTGAAATTACAATCTGTCCTTGTCTAATTTTTAATCTTTATTGTTCATTTTAAACTTTTAAGTTCTTTTAAAGGTATAAAATAACACTAAATTTGTAACTGTTAAATCGAGTATTAAAACCCTATAATCTGTAACTCCAAGTAAAGAATGTGTATATTTTCTTCAGTTTAAGACAAAATAAAGCAGTGATTTTACCAAAAAACATTCATTATAAGTTTTTATTTCTCTCGGTTTATAAAAATTGCACTTTCAGCTGTCGTAACTAAATTGTAAAGAAAGAAGTTAACCTCTTTTAAATTTAAGATCTATTTCGACAAAAAGTTACAGCCTCGCAAGTTAACTATTTGAAAGAAGAAAAAAAAGAACCAGAAAAATTCCACACTTTAAAGATCTTTTCAGGGGCACAAATTGTTTCTTCAGACCCAGCTCTATTGTTGTGTAAAAATTGTAAGTGGTACTAAATTTTTCTAATAATTTCGACGTTTGACAATCCTGTGTGATCTTTATATTCAGCTGCTCCTCAAGACTTTAATTAACACTATTTGACTTCCAAATTGTCTTCTCACCTCAATTTCAAAAAGGAGAGGAACATTATAATGAATAAAATAAAATACTGGAAATCCCAATTCAAACTTAACTAAGCAAATTTTAAAACTCTCAAGCAAGTCATATTTTTTAAAAGCTCTCCACAGGACGAACAAGCAGTGTCCACCTTTAATAAAATTTAACATGCCTGTGTTGTGATGAATACTTCCCAAGGATTAGTCGAATAATTGATCACCAGACAATCCCAGAAACCAAGTGAACTGAGGAGCTAGAGTTCAGCTGAATGCCTTAAAGGGAAAAACTCCCAAGGACCGGTTCCCTCCGTGGGGTAAGGTAGCAAAATGACAAGACGCACTTGCAGAAATCAAAACTAAAATATTGCTTCAGAAACACGGGTGACAACGCATTACAACTCGGAAACTTTCATCAAATTTCCGTGAAGAACATGGTTCCATGATGCTGGGTCAGGTCGATTTTCCCCAGAAAAATCCGGATTTTCTTTAAAAATCGAGCTTTTCCGGAGAAAAATAAATTTCCCGGAAAATCTGTGCCTGATGGCGAAAAACTAAGGTCATTTTCGGATTCAGCAGCTAAAATTACACCGGAAACCATGTATTGCATGCCTATTAAAGTTTCCATTTTGTTCCTAATATCGACGATTTTTGGGACAAGAGCTCCGTTCCGCCCATGTGACGCATGTAATACTAATCCGATTGTTTCGCATCGGAGAGGCAAGTGGAGTTTTAGCTGCCGAATCCAAAAATAACCTCAGCTTATCTCCATCATGCACAGATTTTCCGGGAAATTGATTTTTCTCCGGAAAAGCTCGATTTTTAAAGAAAATCCGGAATTTTCTGGGGAAAATCAACCTGACCCAGCATTACAGAGGTCATTTTCGGACTCAGCGCTAAAAACTACTTTGGAACAATTACATTTTAACCCGTGTTGACCAGTGTTACGTTAGATCTCTGGTCACTACCAAAATAGGGTAGTTTATAAAGAGTGTATTTATATTAGAACTTTAAGGGAGGGGATTGGGGGGAATGGGGGGCTTAAGGTGGAGGATGGGGTGCATTTTAGGTTACATATTGCCTATTTATGATAAAATGTATCAATTAGAACTCTCTGTAAGACCTGAGAAAATTTGCCAAAATTGATGGAAAAATGAAAAAATTAGCCTTTGCAATTTTGAGGGTCAATCGGGACCTCTAAATGTTGACCAAATGCAAAATTGTTCTACAACGTTTGTTTTTACATTATTTGGAACGTTATGGCGAGGTCCCTTGTCAATTTCGAAATTCATCACTTTAATTTATCAAATAAGCTGTACCCTAATGTACCATTAGTTTCCCCATGCACTTAAGTGTTTTTACGGGTGAGTCAGAAATTTTACACAGTTCCTAATAGTAAAATGTAGTTTAATTTTGCAATCCACAAACTTTTTAGTATTGCACCCGTTGGAAGTTTTCCTCAGCTCATCGAGGAAAATATAAAAATACCAATCCTGTATAACCATGCGAAACATCTTTGTTAGGAGGGAAATCGCAAATAAAATTTGCGCCGTCAAAGTTTTATTTTTTAGATTTATGAGAAATGTATATCTTATCATGAGTCAAAACCTAAATCTATATCTAAATGTTTTAGAAGAAAGGACTAAGACTTTTTTTGCTGAATTATCTCATACTAAATTTTTTTTCCATTTTTGCTGTACAGATCCTATGATTGAGGACTCTCGTGTCTGCCCCTAGCTGAGACAACATATTGAATGGAAACAGTTTTCAAAATAGAGCAAGTGAAACACGCAGCGGATGATCTTACAAGATGATTTAAATCCTGAATGGTTGGCTAATCGAAGTTATTATTTTGTCTTTGGAAGTCCATTGTTAGGACGTGATTACATGAGAGGTAGGCAAGGTAATTTAATGATGCATACTGTCAATTTTTGACAGGCACAAGGAGTTCTTAAATTACAAATCGTGCTGATTTTAATGTACCATTAAGGTATCATTTGGATGGCGCAAGATCAGCTCTAAATAATGAAAATAACCCCGAACCCCCCCCCCCTAAGTGCAAATTTAAGGTCTATTGAAAAATGTATAACTAATGTAAAGAAATGTGCCTGTGACTTTACATTTTTAAGTTGGACCTTGGCCCAAGTAAAAATTTAGTTCTTGCGTGCTTGCTTCAATACTGGTTGTAATCACTTGAAATTTATCTTTCTGTTTCACTTTTTGCTAGTTGTGCAATCAAAAATGTTTCGTTAGGGATTCTATGAAATTTCACAGGAATGAGTTTTAACTTGACGACATTTCACCGCAGTGACATTCGAGCACAGCTGCTATTCATTGCCAGTATCATACTGCTGTAGGGAAAGATTTAGTCTACTGAAAAATTTACGATTCTCCCCAATATTTCTTCAAAAATTCTTTTGGATAATTATTTACCCAAACTAACCACAATCATACACATCTTATCAAAGAATTTTTTCCTGACGATACTGGGTTTGTAACCGTTTGAAACTGTCTTGCACTAATTTGAACAAGCTAAGTATCTCCAAAGCAACTGCTTTGGAGCATTCTTCATTTAAATTTCTACAAATGGTCAAAACTTTCTTTTCGTACATGGCATTGATTTAAGAGAACAAATTATTATAACGATTGAATATCAATTCTATAAATGAGAATGGGATATCAGGGAAACTGATTATTTCAAGGCAAAAATTCAAAATTTCTTCTCTCAATGAGATATCAATACTTAGATCATACGTATTATGACCTTGTGTTGTTACTGGCAGAGTATTGGAGGAAGGGGACAGACTTTCACAAGCATTACGACTGGTATTAACATTTTCAGTATTTGTCTGACTTTGGCTCACATCTGGCTCTGCAAAACAAGCAATGACATCGGAAGGATGAGTTATTTGATTGCTATTTTGAGGTTCAGATCCAATCAACGGAAAACCTGCTTTACTTAGGTTTTTCTGGATGACTATTTTCTAAATCATCAACGAATCAGTTCATGATCATAAAATAACAAACATGTAGAATACCAATACTCTTTTGGGAGCACATTTTTGGGGGTTAACGTCACAATGTACTATCCGTCTCATAAAAAATAAACTTTGTAAATGAATTGAAACTTGGCAACATGACACGGTATCTATCCATATAGATTGTTAAAAAATTTTGTCATGCAGAAAATAACTACACCGCGCGCAAAAAGCATTGTAGCGGGTTGAAATGAGTTTGACTTGTGATTAGCTCTACGTTTGACTTGGTTATTATTATGGAAGTTTGTCGTAGAGTTAGATTAATGCTCAAGGCGAACGTTAAAAAGGTTTCTCATCAAGCGTAAACGTCTAGATAAACCAGTATGCTCAAAAGCCGTTTGAAGATTTCTCCACATTTCTGCGGGATAGTTGCACATTCGTATGTGCTTAATGCAGTTAGGCTCGACCATTAAGGAATTTTTAGTGATCGCTTTTCGACGCTTTAGTTTAAGATCATCGTCGGTAGCGGCCACTAGATTGCTAGGAATTTCAGGATCTGTGATGTCCCAAAGATCATCGTAGTCTAAAAATTTTGACATTTGAAACTTCCATAAGGAATAATTATCCTGACCTGAGAGTTTTGGGAAAGACGGAAGACCTATTGATCCTGCGGTTGAACTGGACTGCGGCATGATGGAAGTCGTAGTAGGCGATTCTTCCAAGTTGAGTTGAGCACCACGGTTATCTTCAAAGATGTCGTTTAGGTTGCAGAAATCGTTGTTTGTACTTGAATCCAAGAGAGAATTGTCCGTATCAAGATCTGAATCGAGTGTCATCTGTAGTTGAAAGACGCGCACGAGTCAGAAGACGATATCCACGAGATCACGCAGCGACGCGAGAAGCACGGGTCCATTTTGATTTCGGTGAGAAATTCGGACAAACTTACGAAAAACGGATGAGTACGGATAAAAACGGAAGGCCCATAACCTGTCGTTTGAGGTTATATTACATAATAAAAGTAAAAGGCTTAAGCCATGTCGCCTACTAAAGCTCTTCTTCTCTTTTCTTTTGTTTTTTCCACCGCTGTGCATTAATCTAACTCTACGACAAAGTTGACTTTGTTGACTGAGGCGGGTTTAAGTTCACTAGCAATTGTTTCGAAGTTGCGAACAAACTTGATCGCATCCTCCAGAGTTAGATCGCTTTTCTCCCACAATTTTTTTTTGAGGTTGACGGAGTTGAGCCCATTTACAAATTTGACAAGGAGCCTGTTCTTGAGGTTGTTTCCGAAGTTGCATTTATCTGCAAGAAGTCTAAGAGAGGTTAAGTACATTGCAGCAGTTTCGCCATCTGCCTGGAACCTAGATTCAAACTTTAGAATGTCGGAAAAAAGGATCTTGTTTGGTTCTTAGGTTTCTTGGAGGAGTGTGACAAGTTGGTCAAATGATTTGCTTGATGGTTTCTCAGGCAACAATTGAGTTCTTAATTCTGAGTATACACTCCAAGAATAGGTAGTTAAGAAGTACCTTACGTTTACTGTATGCCTTGGTGATTTCATTAAGATCGCAAAAGTTTTCTAGCATTTCTAACCATGTTGATAGGGAGACTTTGGTTTCAAAAGGTTTCAAGGTTCCAACATACGTTGCCGTGGTGGCAGGAAGTATTCGGTTGGGTGGATCTTGATTTCGATCGTCGCTCATTTTTCGTTCCTAAGGATTTCAAGTTTGACGGGTTGCACGGTAGACACGCGGTTCACTTGGTTGACTTGGCTTGACACGGTTGATTCTTTCTTCATGTGCCTTGCAGTAAAGGTGACCGGCGCGGCGCGGTTGGTTGACAAATATAGCTGTTAAAAATCCGTCAACTAAATCTACTGCTGTGCCATGACCCATAAATATTGAATTGTAATAGTAAGTTTTAATGAAATTTTTGCTTGACCAAATTCTGACATGACCATCCATTTGTTTTTTTTTCAGTTTTTTATTGAATGTTTCGTCAAAACACATTACGAAGAGATCATTAAGCTCATTAATTTGAGTTGAAAGTCTTTGTTTAAGAAAGGGGTAAATACCAAAGACCACAATATACATGGTTTTCTGCTCACCACATGAGAAAGAAGCTGCAATTGCACTGTCAGAGAAGATTCTCTTGAATATTGGTCCAATATCATTGTTCGATCTTTAAGAATGATAATTCTTAATTGTCGGAAGTGTCCAAATAATTTCCGCATCTAATACTTCATCACGAGTTACAAAATTAGAAACAGTGGATCCCAATGAACTTACGGGAACAACTTCACGACTAGAGCTACCTGAACTTGAACTTGGAGCTCCACTTGGTAATGTGTTTGGGCTTGAAGAGCTATTTGGTGATATTATGTTCAAAGTTAGTTGCGGTTTTACTTTACCCCCACATTTCTTAGCATTTGTTGTATGTCTGTTCCCTTGCAAATGACTTTTGAGGGCGGACTCCCCCATCGCACCGATTTTGATGGGTTTATTACCACAAAAAAGACAAGCTGCACTATGATTATCATTGGGGACACGTCGGAGCCAGTCTTTATATGCCGAGTCAAGTAACCATTTGTCATTGAACACACACGGCATTTTTTAAAATAAAAAATACATTTAAGGCGAAAAAATACAACGTAAAACACGCCGATATTTAGTAAGAGCCCGTAAGAGGCATGGAAATTTTCAGTCCATGGTCACCCGCACGCGGAAATTTTGCGCTTAAAATAACAGCACGATGTCGCAGATTGATTAAGATCACAAATTATATCACTCGCCGATATTAATTTCATGACACGATGACCGCGACCGCACAGTAAAATAGTCGGCGAAACAGAAAACACGCCGCCGCCGCGGGAATGATGAATTCAGGCGTGACGTTAAAGGAAAACAAACAGTGCGAAAACCTCTTGTTTGGAAAAAACTTGACACCTTGCATGCGAAGACGCGCGCGCCGTACGCACTTCGCCAGACACTCCCCGCCCGCACGCACTGCCCCCTCTCCATCCCCTCCAAAGGGTATCGTCGAAACTGACTCCGCTCTGTTGCCATGCCCCCGACACAACGGCACACGTAGGCCTACGTCCCCTCTTGTCGTTTTCGTTCACTCGCCTTGCAGCGACGAAAGACTGAGCGGGCAACTCAGCAGAGTAGTTCTCGTTTCAATTTCAACACGTTTTAATACTTTCCAGCGTACGTCTGAAAAGTCGAACGCTTTCTCATTTGACCTCCGAAAAGTGGATTTGAGAAATTCAAGCACGTTTTCAAGCACTTTCCAAAAAATCAAGCACTTTCAAGGCCTTGAATTTTTTTTTAAAATCAAGCACTTTTCAAGCTTGCATGAACCCTGTCTCTGCTGGTTTTCGCGATTTTTTTTTTTTTAAGGCCCAAAGTGGGACACCCTAATGGGCATATCTCAGCCCAGTGTGCTGTGTAATGTATCTCCTGTTTTGTAATTTATTCTAGTATGTAATTTTCACCCTTAAAAAAGAAAAAAATGATGTACCACCCTCCTCGCAAATGCTGGTCTGATTTGAAGATGCCAAAGTAGCATTGACAGTAACCAGGTTTTACTACCCATCTCAGTTGCTCTCACTAGGTAACTGCAGACAATGCAATGTTGCTGCTCCTTGAAAAAGTAATCCATACAGTGATCAATACAGAGGATAAGGAGGAGAGGTGGGTATCACCTGTCTTTGCAGTAAATCTAAAATCAGGTCAGAGCTTGAGAATAGCAAGCCTTGTTCCTTTGGAGACGCTTTAAGTATACTTTGTCAACAGTTTCATTTGACTGTGTGTTCTTCCATCTTAGCCCCTTATTAATTGAACCTCTTGAAGTGGCAGTGCTTAAAGGCCTGACTCTCCACCAGTATCTTGGGATTGCTGGAAACCTCACTTTTGGAGATACAATGTTTCCTTATCAGCAGCAAGAGCCATCTTACTTTTTTGTTGACTACTGATTTAGGTACGCTAAGAATTCTATCAACTGTTGGCTTGTACGTTCAAGACTTACTGAAATATTGCTTAACAGCCAACCAGAAGATAAAGTCCATACCGAATAAGTATATGCGCTTTTGAAGCAAGGCAGAAGATCTGCTATCTTGATTCTTGTACTCCTCTTCAGTGCTAAACTGAAGGCAGCCAATCATTAGTTGCCCTCAAAAAGTGAGTATCCTTATTTGACATTGACTACATCTTCAAGGTCTGAGTAATGGAGCTCTATAAGGCTAGTGGAGGGTCTTTAACTGCTTCCACTTCATTGTCATTTATCAATTTTAAATTTTTCTCCTCTTATTTTTATGCTTTTTTTATTACCAGGATGACCAATCAATATTATTGCCTGAAATTTCTTGTGATTTTTCTTCGCCTTCCCTCAAATATTGTGCCAAAAATTTCATACGAAAATGTCCAATTGTACACATTCTTTTCCGCAAATAAAATATGAATGGAACGCTTATAATGTTATAATTTGAATACATGTTTTTCCAGTTTCATACATAATCTAACGATTAAAAATGAATGATCCCTCACCGCATTATTTTAATTTTTTTTTTCCAGTGCATTTGTAGAATTGATACCACTGATACTAATAATTTTTAATGAGAGGGGAGCAGAGGAAGTCCTCAGGGTACTAGGAGACCCTCTCTCTTTCCCTCTTATCCCAGTTAGGGTTGCCACTATCGGAAAATACTAAGAAAACCGAGAAATGTCAGGGAATTTTAGAAAGTTAGGGAAAACCTGGAAATGACAGGAAAGTGTCACGAAAAAGTGGTTATGTCACCTGTATTGCTTTCTAGAATGTGTTTTACACTTTGAACTGTATTTTGCCTTGAGACAATTTCAAATTATGTCATTTCGACCATCTAGTGTATCTTCAATTGTCAGGAAAACTCCTTTTCCACATTTACTGGCAACTCTATGTGAACCTACCAGCAGTGTTAAGGATTAATACAATTAAGGATAATTGTTTTAAATTATGTTTTTTTTATTCATTTTCATCTCTTTTTTTTAGCTTTTTTTAACTTTAAGAACAGCTGATCGAAGATAAAAATTATCTAATAAAAAATATAACTACATGAATTTTACATAAATACATTTAACTACATAAATTAAATTAGAATGCAACAGTTCACTATAAAAGTCCTACAGATGAAATTCATTTCAGTGATGTAATAAAAATGAAATAAATATGAGTTATCAGATCAAAATTGAAAATTTCAATCATCGTAATATACATAAGTTTAGTCTAGTAATATTAATGTGTCAGCATCAGAAAGTAAAGGGGGAAAATAAATTATGGCTCTTCATGTTTTGATACTTGTTTACAAAGCAAAATGAGTTAAACAATGATATTTGGGTAAATAATTAAAATTCCTGAGAGACTTAAGAAAAGCTTCCTGAATTGCATGTATTTGGAACAATACAGAATTGTCCATTAAATTAAGCACATGAATGCAATTTCTAAGACACAATAAGGTTCTTGACAACTATCTGAAAGAAAAGAACAATAGGAGGCTCAAATGAAATTGGTTTCAATTCTTCTACAGAATATAATAACTCTAAGATTAATTGCTGTCAGGAATGTAAATAAAAAAAAATTTTGTTGCATCTGAATTTCAATTTTTTTCTCTTCCCGATGATTATTAGGAACATGGAGTTTCTGTCCAATCTCAGGTTTGTTCATACACCACAGAGACTATATTAACAAAATGGAAATTATGTGAAAAACGAAATGACAAACAGTGAGCTGATGAAATGAGAGATATTGAAAGATTCAAAGCGTCACGCTTCCATGCTCAACACAAAACTGTACTTTAAAGCAATGTCTCCATGGGCGAACTTCAGCTAAATTTTAGTCAAACTAGTTTAACAGCTCCAAAGCACTTGCAAATAACCTTACGGTTTGAGTTAACTAAAAAAATTTAAACTTGATTAAAATAGAATACATAAACTGAGTTTGCATTTGTAATATGCGTCAAACTAAGATAAGCGATCAAGTGCAGCACTTCCACCCAAAGTGCTTGGTGAAACAGTTTCTTGGACGTTCCAAATCTAAATTTAACGATACCTTTTCGCTTGAATTATTTAAGTTACTTCTCTCTGCAGCTTACCATTTTCAAACGGCACATCAAAGTTAAGAGTTATCAGTTCTTTAAATTATAGTGTTTGTTTTCCTTGATTTTCTTTTTCCAGATGCAACAAACAATTTCATTATTGCAACATTTTAGAAGGTTGAGGTGGATCCATGGTCAAAAGAAATGGCAAAATTAGGATTGGTTATTATTGCATTATTATCATGACAAGCCTACATGGTCCATCATCAAAGCCTCTCAATTAATGGCAATAGGGTGTGGGCAGAATCTTAAAAAAAAAAATCCTTGACCTTTTTCCTGACTGTTTCTTAATTTTGTTTAGCCATCTGGCCAATTTTTCTCTGTCAGTTAAAACACTGATTAAAATAGAACGGTTAGACCTAACAATAATTCTAAGGGAATGCTCGCCTTTTTTTGAATGTCGAGAGAGAACGATAGACCCAAATTTTATTGGGACTTGTTCGTATGTAAAATTAACAAATGTAAAAATGAACTGATAATATATAAAATTTCATCGTAAGAAATAAATTCATTCAAGTTGATTTCCTCAAATCCTACTGATGAGCACTTGTTTTTTATCTGTCATAAGGCAATCCAATCAGCTGAGTTACATACATGCAAATTTTAAATTATTGTTCCCAACCGTTGAGGAAATTTTGCTCAATAAAAACTTCAGGACCTATCATTCAAATACTTCACACTTCCTAGGCCTCTAAACATCCTAGGAAAATTTTTACTTTCCGTAACTTGCACCACATTTAACTGTCATTCCTTCAAAATTTTCTTTCCTGATCTTTTGATGAAAAGAAGGAAATAAATTTTCCTCACATTTCTGCACTCTTTCTATTTGTAGTGCGAGGATATAGATAATTGATTCTCATTGTGCTAGTTATTTTTAGGTGAAGTAGGAGACTGGTTTTGAGAGGAGCGTTTAATGTACAGGTGAAGCAACTTCAGTTTCGCTCCGTTCAAGGTGTTCAAGTATGGGGCAAGCACATCCTCGCCCAACACCTTATGAAGGGCAACCATGCAAAATACGGCTGATTTGCGCACAGAGCTGTCTTGGTTCTCGTAACACTGTAAAAATGAAAGATATATAATTACAAGATAGAGGAAAATTGTATGCACTTGTGTGACGACTAAGAAACCACTGAAAAGCAGAACCTCAAAAGAGCCCCGCTTAGAACAGGGGGCTCCGGAACAAACAAGATTTTACTTGCTCATGCTCGAAGCACTAGATACACTAACAACACTTCAGATAGACTCTGAAGAGCAACTGAAAGAACTCAGAGACAAGGGTCAACGCTGTTTACAGACCAAAGCTTATACTCAGTTGCTGTTAGTTTGGTGACGTCATCCAGTATCAATTTGCTGGTCATGAGCCCAACTCAATTGCACTGCGTTCAAAAAAGTCCTGCTCTCATGAACGATATTCAAATTCTCCCGGTGGAATGACTGTTTTTTTAAAGCACCTTATTCATTCAAATAATGTATTCCCCGGCCAACCAACCACACTTATTCATACCTCGCTTCAGAATTAGGATTGAGGATCTTTTTTATTCCTGGGAGCATTTCCAACTTGAATATCTTTTCCCAAAAACTTACTAAGAGACACTCAAGCGCAGGCACATACTGTGTGCAATAAAGAACACTTTGAAACTACTGGGAATCCAAACACTAGTGCTGAATTACTACAGAAAACCATCATTCTTTTTCAGAGTTCATACTATGATTTATCCGCAAATCTATTTCCAATGCCGATGAGAGGTAAGTCTAACCCTCTCTTAAATTGATAGCGTAAAACTATGGACATAATAATTTTTCTTTCGTTTTCATTGCCATAATTTTATTTTTCGTAATCTGGCACGGGAGAAGTTGACAAATTACAAATACATATGGACAGCATTTTGCAATTTGGAATAATAAATTCTGGCTCTCCTGGAAAAACACTTATGTGCATAGGGAAACTAATGGCACATACGTTGTTTTTAAACCAGGCTAGAATCTATAAGTCCAAATTGCAAAATGTAGTCCATATAACCATTTTTATCAAGGGCAAAATTTATTGGCAGGGATGTCGCTAAAGTTTGTTAAAAACTTCAAACAGAAGATTATGTATGGATCGATTTTCCGATCCCTTCAAGGCATTCTTTAGTTTCAAATACTAAACGATCATAAATAACAACGATTTCAGGTGGTCTGCTAGAAGTCCCAAAATTGAACTTACATACTCAAAAAATTCCCCCTACCATTTTCCATCTAATATTAGTGCACTAAATTAAAGAGGAACTGGTCTGTCTACTTACTTGAAGAAGACCAGGCATGATGACAGTTATGTAGTCTTGTAAAAACTGGGAATTTTCAGGCTGTGTTACTTGAGTCAACATTTTTATGGCAAGGGCATTGACTGGAAAATCTTCCGCGGTGATTAGTGGCACAACTGTCCTCAGAACTTGCTTCGTGGGTAAAATGGAACTGGCAGCTAAGGCACATAACTCTGCCACGCGTGAAGCCTGTGAAAAATAAATAGATTAGGTCACTCAATGAGAATAAGATACACATACTTGCAGTCGTTTTAATGAATAACAGCACATTTGCACCAAATTTTTTTTACATTTTTTTAAATCATAAAATCTGTGCGCTTGCACAAACTTTTTCTGGAGATCTTCAAAGCACCATGACACTGAATGCAGCTCACGAGATGATTTGTTATCCAGCAACAAGTACAAATTTCTTTTATCCTGTTAAAATTTCAGATCCTGGCGCCAGAGGTTAAAACTGATAACGCGATGAATTTGAACTGTGGCGTGAAAAAACTGACTGAGTTAAGATACCACTACTCTATCATTAATATATTATTTTTTATTGCTGAGAGAAAGGACAAAAACTGCTGATGCCTTCACCTGCCAAGAGGAACCGTTTGGTCGTGAACATATGGCACCCCAGCGATTGACTTCTTGATTCAATTACAACTTCAATTAAATAAATTAGTTCTGATTACGATCAAGATTTAATTGATGCTATAGCTCTACGATTGAAGTGTTAGGTGCAGAAAGAGCACTTCTTGGTTGCGGTGTCTTAAAATCTTTGCTAACATTTCATCCATCCTGATTCAGGCAAAAGTATGTAGTTTGTTGTAAATTTTAATGAATAAGCTTTAAGATTTTGTGATGCTGAAAATAAAATTTTTTTTAGAAAATTCGCTCATTAGTTTCCTCTCTAAAATATAAATTAGCACTGGAGATTCTGAAACACTGCAACCGAGAAATGCCCTTTTTGCACAACGTCCAATTAACTTCAACTTCATAAACTATTTTCATTCTGAGCCACCGACTTAAGTGTGTCTGTAAAAGGGTAGCCACTTGCAAGTATGTTGTTGATTTAACCAAAACATTGTACCTCTTTTGTATTCGTGTGGATTATTTTCCATAACAATGTTAAAACCTTGCTAAGAAAAGAAAATTCGAAATTCGAGGATGGAGAAATAAAATAGACATACCACTCTTGAAGAGTCTTGAATCGTTTCAAATAACTTAAGAATCAACAGTTCAACATAGTTGGTAAAACAGTGAGTGATGGCACTATTTTTGATCAAGGAATAAAGGAGAAGTATGCTCGCTTCTCTAATTTTTGGATCTGGGTCAGCCAAGAGCTGAATAACTCGCCTTAAAATTCCCCTGTAAAATGATAAAAGACATAAAATTAGAACATAAACCTGTAAATAATCATAAAGATATTTTAAGAAAAGGAGGGGTATCGATTTGGGCAGTCTTTGGGCCAACCCTGACTTTCCTCAACTCAACGATTTTTTGCTCGAAGAAGGTCTCTTTCAGAATGCTTAGTACAAGTGTCAAGCATGCAAAAATCTTTGACAGAGTGGAATAATGACTTAGCATTTGTACAAATATCTCCACCAACAGCACTTTAAGGTTGTCAGCACACATTGAATCACCTTTCAACATCAGTATCCACTAAGCAAAATTTCACCACCCAAAATTTTACAAATACAGCCCCAATTCTAGCTTTTAAAAAAGGTAGATAGTTTAGCAATTCTGAATGGAGACAGTAATTCTCATTTGCTTTAAAAAATGTGATACTAGAGTTAATTAAGGTCTTAAAAAAGAAACTTTAAACTCACTTGAAATTTTTTTCTAGAACAGGCCCAGAGCTATGGCAAACAAGGTCATTTAATTTTGCGATTTCTGTTTTACTATCAACTGCTGCTGAAGAATTATCCTCTGTAATCGACATATCATCCAATGCTTTACAGAGCGACTGCTCATCTTTCTCAGATGAGTCAAAACTGCTGTCTGCAGTATCTACAGGAGATGTTCCCTCCTGGTATGGCTGCGTATCAGTCTTATCATGCTGCGACAGCTGACTAATTCCAGAGTCGTGAGACTCAGCCTCCCCACTGAAACCACTTTCCACGCTATACTTCTGGATCTCTGCTGTTGTTCGCACAAGCGTTTGATACACTTCTTCTGGGTTTATATTCTCATCATGAGACGAGGCTGCTGAGAATGAATCGTAGCCGGGTGAGTACGGTCCATTGCTGCTCCCTGAATTGCTTCGCCGTAACCGCATTTTTATGAGGTTGGATGCAGCTTCTTGGTACTCTTGAGGAAACTGCGAGAACCGCAGTGTTACTTGAGGGGCATTTAAATTGAACAGTGCTAGAACAGCTTCTTGGGCCGCCCTCTTGAGCTCTGGCCCGTTTTTAATATTATCACCCATAATCCAGCCAACCATTTTCTTGAGAGCGGGGAGCGAGTAGTCTTTTTGATTTTCGGGGGCCACAAATGCTTGACTTGGATTTGACTTAGCAGCTAGGCTTGTGATGAAGTTAAGGACAGCGAGTTTAGATTTGGGATTTGGAGTTTGAGTGGGGTCCACCAAATACCTGACAAAAAGAGAGAAGGTTTTCATTAAGCATCGACTTACATTACACTGTGAAGAGTTTTCAGACTCTTTCTCAGCACTAATACATGCAATATAGAGATATATAAATCTACTTCTGGTCAAAATTTTCACAGGGATGGCACATGGTCACCAAAGCTCCATAATGATTTATTCTCCGTAAAAGCTGGGCTGGTAAATGCTTGCTCCAATTTTCTTATTGGAGTTCATCTCCCCTTTTTCTTTGTTAGAGAGCAATCTTCCTACCCCACATAAATTAAAATTGCTATTTGCGACTTGCCCATAGCATAAAAAACATGTACCACAGAAAGAACAGTCACTGATCAGTTTTCATGGATATTATTTAAAAATCATTAAGCTAACACCTCAGCCACAATATTTTTAACCAGGGTAGCAGTCCAACAAGGGGAAAGAACCTTACACACCAGTGGGAGCTTACTAGATTCCAGTTTTGATGAAGTTGTAATTGGCTATCATAAAGTTCATCATTAGGCCAAAGCCAAAAAATTAAATGATTCAGTTGAGTAGGAGACGAGATACTAGCAATTGAAGATGCCAACAATTGTCTTGCCTTCTTGCTTTGACCTCACACACAGTTAGGTGCTTACTGACTTGGCTGGTACAAACACTGTATCCTCTCCTCCTCCTCCTCCATGCGTCAATTCTGCTTTCGATTTGCTTTCCTGCTTTCTTATTTAGAAATGAAGGGCACTGTTTCATTGTACCAAATATTATTTTCATTGACTCTTGCCCTAGCATCTTTCCTCATTTAGCCTCCCCACTTCCTTTTCAATAAACGTGTTCAGTTGCGAATATCTAGACTCCTATCCGACTGAATCACTTCATTTTTGGCTTTGGCCTCATGATGAATTTTATAATAACCTATTATAGTTTTATCAATACGTAGCGAGAGTGAGAAAGGCCCTAAAGTACAAAGTTCTTTGTTCACTCTCATTTTTTTAACATAGACTGATGAGTACACGTAATTCTTTGCTTAAGTCATATAAAAATGAGGAAATTACCTGAATACTGAATGAAGTTGTACATTTGAAGGAAACACCTCCCTGACTATTTTCAAAGTTTTAAAAATCTTTGTCTGGATTGAATTCAACAAATCTGTTCCAGATTTATTGAAGAGTCTCGTAAGGAGGAGGTAAAGCCAGCTATGCAGGTCAGCAGCATGTGCGATGATCAATTCGTTCAGTGTGTCCAAGAATAAACTAAATACCTGATACAAATAATACCGAAGAAATTAGAGATTTAAGAATACAAAATATTTCTACAGAAATAACTGAGATAGCAATCCAGGTTTGATCATAGGACGTTTGTAAATCTTTGATACTCAAATGAGTTAAGACTGAGTCATAAAATAGATTTATAATGTGAGCTGCAACTGTAATATAATGCATAATGTGCATGACATGCTATTCGATTCTTTTAAAACCTCTAGGGCAACAGAAAAAAAAAGATTTTTCTAATGAACAGACCTAAATAAAATAACGAGATGATATTCATGGTTACTCAAGAACTTGAAAATCTGCAAAAAAAATTCAAGGACTTTTCACAGCATCACAAGTCCTCATGAAAACACCTCTCAGTAACTATTAATTTCAGCTTATTGAACTAAAAATTTGAAAGAACATGTAAGAGAGGATAAAATGCTTTATTTTTTGCGATCAGAAATAATTATCCAAGAAACTGTGAATAGGAAAGTACTTACTTTGGTATAGGAGTCGGAAAACATTTTAGTGAAAACATCACAAACGTGCTTTAAATCTGATGGAGACAGTTTGTTTCCAGCTTGGAAAAAGCGCTGCAATGAAACGAGACCATCCTTGCGGTCGCCCCAGTCAACGCTCTCACAACTTATCACAATTTCACCAATACTCTGAAAAAAATAATGGATGGGAGTGAGAAGACACTCACTACTTCTTTACTACTCAAGAAATAAATCGAAAAAAAAACGGAAACTCCTTGGTTACTTGATTATATCCTCTCCCCTCGGACAAAAAGTTCAGCTCTAGTCTATGCTTTCAGGAGCTCATTTGGAAATAGAGATACATCTTTATGTCAGAAGAACAACTATATGCTTACACACTTAAGAGTCATATATGTAAAAATTTACTTCTCCTTTCATGAAAGGCTTTGTTCAGTAGGACGATGTGAACCTACTGAAGGTTCAAGCCGCGGGAAACAAACAAAATCAAACAGAAACGTCACTGATCTTTCAAACTGGATGTTAAGGTTCACAGATGTATGTAAACGCTCCAAGGAAAAAGCGATGCGTTTCGGATATTCTCCACAATAGGCAGTTTTCTTCCATTAGAACACTGATCTTTTTTAGAGCTCATTTCTACCTTTTCATTACACTTTTGCAACAAAATATTTGACAATCTATCAATGCTCCTTTTAAATTTAGGGTATTTTCAAAGTACTAACAATTACAAAAAAATTGAATTTTACTGAAATTGAATGGAAAAAAATCCTCTGCCTCTACATCAGAATCAAAAATTTCATTTTCGGAAAAATGAATAAAATTTAATAAAATCAATGGGTCAATGGTGTATATATATATATATATTTCTCTCTCTCTCGTTTTCTGAAAGGAATGGGTGAGTTGAGCTCCCAGTAATATTTTTGAATTTTATTTTTTCTCCAGATGATGGAAAAAGTTGATTTTAAATTTGCAAAATCTGTACCCATTTGAAATATTCTCAGCTGTCTGTTATGATGTTGGCAAGCAAGGGAATCCAGATTTGCTGCTTTACAGAAGCCCTGCCAAAGATATAGACCAGTTATTTCATAAAAAATGTCAGCCTCTGGTTGGCCGGATTTTTATTTACTTTTTCAAATCCTTTTTGACATGCTTTTTAAGCTTATTAATGGACTTTTTTTATTTTCTGATGAGATTAATTTTTGGGAATAAATGCCAGATATGTTGCAAAGATGTTATGCCACCATCCCATTCTGTTAGACTGTGATTGACGTGATACTCACATTTTTTAATTCTTCTGGATCACAGTTGGAAAATCGACTATGCGCATTGTGGTGATGATTCCATGAGTATGGCTGCAAAAAACAATATAAAGAAAAATTATGTACGAGAGAAAAGAATGGAAATAAAAATTTGGCGACCCTTACTTGAAATACAAGAAATATACATAGCCAAGTGCCAGTTCTTTTCAGGAGATAAGCCGAGGCTTTATAGGGATTCTACAATTCTTCTAACTTTTTAAAATAAAGCAATGTTTGCTATATTTTTTTCCATCTGGTAAACTGGATTTTTTATGCCTCTCCGTAAATATAACCTTGGTCTAAGTTGGACACTATCTTCAATCCAGAAATAGCTTGACTTATCTAAGCTTCACTGTAATTACTGAACTTGGGACAATATGAAAAGTAATTTGATGATTGTCAGAAAATTTTCTGTTATGTGCGCAATTTTTGATAAAGGGATAAGTGCTTACATCTGAGGACTTCCGACCACTAATGTCAAATGAACGTTCTGAACAAATACTGGAAGTTTCACTGTCATCAGAGCGCTCATCAAATGACCTGTACGACCTTCTTGGTGAAATTAGAAGTGAGCTGTGTGAGTCTGGAGTGCTTCCCTGAAAAATAAATGGATTATTAGATATTAAAAGAGAAGGTGTCTAGAGAAATCCATAATGAATGATTTCAAGCATCTCATAAAGCAAATTTCCCATAAAAATTTTAACGAACTGTAAGTGCCATTGAAATATTGAAGTATTTCTTAGGATGTAAAATATCACTTTTTTTACAAAAATTCTCAGCTGTTGAAAGCACCGATAATAGCATGCATAAAAATAGTAAAAAAAAAATATTTTCATGGATGCTATTGGGCTATGCAAACTTTCAATACTTTCAAATACTTTCAACTATTTTAAGTGGTTTGGTGGACACTGACGGACGCTCGTAGTTTTTAGCAGAAGCTTGGAATTAAGAGGAAACATTTTCAGTATTCATGGACACTTGCTGAGATAGCTGTTTTAAGCAATTTTGCGGATTCCTGTAGAAATAAATTCTTAGGCCTTCCACAGATGTATTCCTTTGGGTTTTTGGCTGCTGAATCTTGTGTTTATGGGATAGTCCTGTATTTCGAGGAAAATTCCATTTTGGTGAAAATTTTGATTCATTAAAAAATCCATTGGTGATGGAGAAAAATGAATGGCATTTTCCGACTCATCACAAAATAACTAATAAACGTCCTCACCTTGGGTCCTAGCCTCGTTTAAATAAAAAAAGATAAAATGATTGTGCACTCAAGTAGTTGTTTTTAGAGCATTCAAGTGTGGTTTCTGCTTACTTGTCTACCATTATGCATTATCTTACTGCAAATAAAATCTTCACAAATTTTCATTTGTGCTTAACAACGCAAAAAGCGCGACAAAAATAAAATTGAGATTAGCAAAATTGATATCGATATGAACCAAGAAGTAACATCACAATCAGCCAAAAAATAAAATCGAGATTTTCGAAACTCTATTCCTATGTTGGAATTCAAATACTCACAAGAGCATCAGCTAGCGCAGATTCAACCTCTCGGCTCTGTTGGAGCATTTTCTGAGCCATAACTGGTCTTGCTGGTGACTGAATTGGAGGTCGTCCCCTGTATAAAAGAAAAAAAAATTAAAACCATACTTAAGAGAAGCTGCCACAGATTTGATAATTTTACGAGTCTACAAAAGCAATGATATGGCTTAACACTGATTGTTTGGTGGTGTCATAATATTCAAAATTATCAGTTATTTTAATCAATGTAAATTCTTTCACAGCATTGGTTTTAGATAAAAACAGAGAGATAAACAACTAGAATTTGTGATGTAACTGTTCTACTTAGCATAAAATTTTATGTTGAATAGGATCCACTGGTCGAATCTTAACATGTCAGTCAAAAAAAAATTAAGGTGATTTGTCCCGATTTCTGGCTTGGTCAAACTGACGTTCAATGTATCGCATCAATTAACAGTGTATCTACTTAAAAAGGCTGGCCAAAAATCAGCACTTTAACAGTACTTTCTCACGGAATTCAATACCTCCTTAACAGAAAAATTCAGTACTTTTTCAGTGCCTCCATTTGACAAAATTCGAAAAATTTCAAGAATTCGAAATTCTCGCTTGAATTGCAACAAAATTGACGTAGACACAAAATTTCATTAGTGGAAACTGAAAAAAAGTTGAGGGATGTATAGACATACCGTCCGATCCAGGCTCAGAGACAGAAATGCGGACGATATGTCTAGTCTATATTGCCTGTAAGTGCGACTTCCACTGCTAGAGTTTTTTTTTCAGCGATGGCTTGAAGATTAACCGACTGCACAATCAAGATCTTGTAGGCAAATACTACTCTGACAATCAACGCGCAAGGGTTTGCATACTTTCCAGGCTTTGTTAAAAAACACCCATGGTATGAAAGTAAAATTCCCAACCTTCTTGCAGAACTGCCGCACTGTTTCGGTACTTCCTCCAAATCTATACTTGTTCTAGGTAGGACATTTTTCATTCTTTAAACATCTCTTTTTGCAGGGTTTCTACTACGGGGAAAAATCGGGATAACCCGGGGAATTCGACCTTGACTCTGGAATTTTTGCTTTTTCTGTTTATTGAGGTATGCATCCTCAACCACAGAAAACAAAGCAGGCATTCAAGATCAAGTTGCATACGAATCAAAAGAAGAATGTGTTCACCTGATGTGTTTCGATGAGAACCTATTTGGACTTGGCTCTCGGCTAGTATCTGTGGATCTTGGAATCCCAGAGCTCCCTCGGCGGGCGCGACTAGAAGGAGAATAAATGAGACTGTTGAGCTTCGATGATGGCGAACTTGACCTACTGGATGCTGGAGACATAAAAAAAAGTTGCTGTTAGGTCACTGATGAGGATTCATTCAATGAAAATTACGAGTGAGATCTAAACCTCAAAATGACACTCGGGGAGTCTCAAGAGTGCATGAAGGTTAAATTTGACTAGAGTCCCTTTATACTGAGAGTCAAGACAATGTGAATCTATTTCTGATTGGTTCCCGCAATTTAGGCATCCACAGTGTCACAAACAGGAATGAAGATTAAAGAGCCTCCCAAAATTTGGCCCCTTTTTAGGTATTCGATTCGACCATCGGACCAAGGTTTAAATGGAAGCTTATATTAACAGAAAACTCAGGAAAAAATTTCAAGATGAGTATAGGAACCGTTTTCGAGTTACGGGGGGGGCAAAGGGGTCACAATCCGGCCTAATTTGTTGCTGTTTTCTTGTAGAATTGATGTATCGGTGGGGTTCTTATCGTTGTTTACGCATGTGTAGCACATGGATTCCTACGTGTTTTTACACGTAGAATCGATTTTTAACGTTGCCGAATCGATATACTGATCGGTTAAATCGATTTTGAACGATTTATTAAGGAAAATCGATGATTCCTCAGGATCGAAATTGTTTATTTTCGACTCATGAATGAATAAATGCATCTGAAATGACTGAAGCACACGTGACCCTATGTATTTTGATACGTAGAATTGATTTTTAACGTTGACGAATCGATTTATCCATCGTTTGTATCGAATTTTTGCGATTTTTTACGGAAAATCGATGACTTTTCGGAATTAGAATCGGGTTTGCTCCATCCGAGATCGGAGATATGTACCCAACATGATTGGTGCACATCGACTCTTACGTATTTTTATACGTGGAATCGATCTATAACCTCAATAAGTCGATATATCGATCAATTGTATTGAATTTTTTCGATTTTTGCGGAAAATCGACGGTTTAACGGGATTGAGATAGGTGTCTTTCCATCCGAGATCGGAGTAATGTACCCTTTATGATTGGAGCACATCAATTCTTCCGTATTTCTACACGTATCATCAATTTTAAACGTCGACGAGTCGATATATCGATCTGACATACACAACTCTTGCGATTTTTTACGGATATTTGATGGTTATTTTGGACTGGCATTGGAAACATCTACCAGACATGACTGGACACATCGATTCGTTTGTGATTAGTCTCGCAAAATCAATTTTTAAGAAGTCGACGAGTCGATACATTGACTGGTCGTATTGATTTCTTGTGATTTTTATGGAAAATCGATTTTTTGAACAGGAATGAAATTGGTTACTAACGGTTCGAGGATGAAGACATGCACCTGACATGGTCGGAGCACGCCGTTTCCATGTACTTTTACGCGTAGAATCATTTCGTGTCGGGTGCATTCCTTCATTCCCATTTTGATTAAAATCAAAATTATTTCAACTTCAAGAAACCATCGGATTTCCGTAAATCCCAAAAAATTGATTGGTCAGATCGCCAAACCGACTCGTCAACCTTAAAAATGATTCTACGTGTAAAAGTACGTGGAAACGGCGTGCTCCGACCGTGTCAGGTGCATATCTCCGCCCTCGGACCGTTAGTAACCAATTTCATTCCTGTTCAAAAAATCGATTTTCTATAAAAATCACAAGAAATCAATATGACCAGTCAATGTATCGACTCGTCGACTTCTTAAACATTGATTTTGCGAGACTAATCAAAAACGAATCGATGTGCTCCAGTCATGTCTGGTAGATGTTTCCAATGCCAGTCCAAAATAACCATCGAATATCTGTAAAAAAATCGCTATTACGTATCTCAATCCCGATAAACCGTCGATTTTCCGCAAAAAATCGAAAAAATTCAATACAATTGATCGATATATCGACTTATCGAGGTTATAGATCGATTCCACGTATAAAAATACGTAAGAGTCGATGTGTACCAATCATGTTGGGTACATATCTCTGATCTCGGATGGAGCAAACCCGATTCTAATTCCGAAAAGTCATCGATTTTCCGTAAAAAATCGCAAAAATTCGATACAAACGATGGATAAATCGATTCGTCAACGTTAAAAATCAATTCTACGTATCAAAATACATAGGGTCACGTGTGCTTCAGTCATTTCAGATGCATTTATTCATTCATGAATCGAAAATAAACAATTTCGATCCTGAGGAATCATCGATTGTCCTTAATAAATCGTTCAAAATCGATTTAACCGATCAGTATATCGATTCGGCAACGTTAAAAATCGATTCTACGTGTAAAAACACGTAGGAATCCATGTGCTACACATGCGTAAACAACGATAAGAATCCCGCCGATACATCAATTCTACAAGAAAACAGCAAAAAATTAGGCCGGATTGTGACCCCTTTGCCCCCCCGTAACTCGAAAACGGTTCCTATACTCATCTTGAAATTTTTTCCTGAGTTTTCTGTTAATATAAGCTTCCATTTAAACCTTGGTCCGATGGTCGAATCGAATACCTAAAAAGGGGCCAAAATCAGCCTCTTTTTTGGGAGGCTCTTTTCACCGATTTCAAAGATTATAATGTAGAATGGACCAGGGAATAACAGGTTCGATAAGGAAGAAACGGAATGAGAGAAGGAACGGAGAAAGGAATTTAAGAATAAGCCGATCAAAGATTACGAGAAACTGCCAATTTGTGTAATCTTTATTCCCGTTGGTAACTCCATGAAAGGGGGTTGTCTTGACTCTCAGTATAAAGGAACTCTAAATTTGACCTGACGTGGGGAGAAAAAAAAGTCACATATGGAACATGGGTTGCATGATCACCCCTAATTGCAGCAGCAGGAGTAATATCAACTCTATTTATCAGAAAACCCTTGCCTATTATGACAAGCAATAGGATCTAAAGGCTTTAATGACGGTGGGAATCAACGCACAAACTTGAATTTTCATTAGATAACAGACGAACAAAAAAAAAAAATTAATTTTGAACACATGAACAATCGTTTTGTAAGAATTTTATCATTGAACTGATAGTGTAAATAAAAAATCCACATGCTTTCCAAGTTGACCAGCTGATTCCTCTCTCAAAATTCTCGAGTACTTACTGGGCGAATAGTGGGTAAGTGACCAAGTCGCCTATCTTTTTTTTCAGGGTTTCTTTGTAAAAAGAAAGTAAGCCACAAAGTAACAAGTGAAAGACAGTATCAATAATTGGAGTAGAAAATTTTTAAGAGCTGACTCTTGCCACTTCTGACATTAGAATTCAAGGTTAAAAAATTTAAAGCCCCTTTCCAATGAGAGTCACATCTGTTACTGGTCAAAAGAAAAAAACTAAAACCACCCCTAATGTATTGTGTGCCTATAGTTTAAAGCTGGTTGACAACTTATAAATCCATACTATAATTTTGGAGAAAATATGGCATGGTCAGACACCGGCGTTCTATCTTATTGGGAGCAGGGGTCTTAGCTGAAATGCGTTTAAGTAGACAATTTTAATTATCTCATTAGTTTTACATTTAAATTGGTTACTAAAAAATTCAAGATTCCGCATACTTACGTTGAGAAACTGACATTCTACTTCTGGTTCTACTTGTCCTTTCAATAGGTTCCGGTGTAGATACTTTGGCCGTTCGTTCTGCAATTCAGAAAACCATTGAAATAGTTTGCGGAAAAATTCAAGACATTTCCTCACGGAAATTCTTGATGTTTTCTCATGAGCTCTTAAATCATTCAAAAATTATTCTCTCTTCCTTGGAGTACTGAACAAAGCTCGTGCAACTCAATTTTCTTTCTTTTAAATGAAAATCAGTTCATAACTGTGTTCATTGCAGCATTGCTTTACCTCTCAAATGATGGGATTTTTTTAATTCATTTATATTTTTTGATTAGTGTTCATACCAGCACTTTTTCTAAAAATAAAATATTAAGTAAAAAAATTCTAATAAACTCTACAATCATTGATAAAACATGTACACTGGTACCACAAGCGCCCAGATTGGTCCAGCAGTCCCCAATGAATTCTGACCCAAAGAATTGAGCTTACGGCATTATACATTGTGATGATGATGATGATGATGATGATGATGATGATGATGATTATGACTTACGTAATGATGAAACTCCGCTGCCAACTTTTTGCCTAGCAAGAGCCGCATAATGAGCTCTAGCTTTCGCTCTTTGTGCTGCCTGCAAATCGATGGCACTGTTAGACTTTCTTCTATTGCTGTAAGACTGCGGCATTTGTGATGTTTCTGAAAATTACCATTTGAGTGAGATTTTGATCACCATTTCATGAAAATGATAGGAGGAGGCATGAAAGACCAATCAATATTAAATATATGGGGTCAAAAAGTACTCAACTCTACTGGAAAAAACTCAACTGACAAAAAACGGTTTTTAAATTATTTCAAATCGCTCTCGGTACATATTGTAAACTAATCATGAGGAGACTAGTTAGTAATGATAACAATAATCCAGTTCTTTTCATTTTTAAAAATATTTCCAAACTTTAGAAATGGGTCATCTTTTAACCATACTGTTCCCACACATAGGTATCATTAAATGTTCTATAATTTTGCTCAGGAATAAAATATGTTCGGAAGTCAGATGTCTTATTCTTGGAGTACTAAAAGTTACACTAAAGAAAACATTTTCTATTAACAAAGAGGGGAAAAAAGAAGGGTTCTTCTAACTTAGATTGCCTTTGATTGCCCTCAGGCAGAACACTTGTCTTTCAGAATATGTAACCCAAAACACGCCTGCATGCAAGTGGAGGTAGCTGTTGGAGCAAAAGTGAACTGTACCACTGACTTATGTTCCTCCACTGAACAGCTAAACAAATTTTGACATATATACTGAAATCCATAGGTTCTAACACCTAATTCGCGACAAATTAGATCGGTTTGCCAGCATTGAAAAATACGATGGATCAAAGCCCTAGTTCTACTGTCATTTCAAGCATAGATAAAGGATTCTACAGGACACTAAGAGAGAGAGAAAAATTGATGGATGCAGCTTAGGTACCTGGATATTTGATTGGCTTAATTGTCGGCTGAGTGATGGAAGGCTGATTGAGCGAGTTGGTTGAACCAAAATTAGACGCATCCCCAGATACAGCTTTCTTGTAGACATTGCCGAGGGAATTGTAAAGGACCTCTGCTTGCTCTGGAAAGATCTCCGAGAAACCAAAATATGCTCTGTTCCAAACAAAAAACAGCAGGTTATTTCAAAAGTTCATTTGCTAGGGTAAAAAGCATCTTTAAATTCAAGTAAATGAGCCCAACATGCAGGAAATGACTCGGTTTTACAAATTACACTTTATGGCGTTCAAAATGCATCAGTGGCGCTGCTCATGGAATCTTGTTTAGATGATTAATTTATTAAGATGCTGTCCACCAGCATCTACTGGTGGCATCTACTGAGTGTCTATTAAAACTGGTTAGCAAAAAATCAGTGCTTTTATAGTACTTTTGCAAGAAATTCAAGACCTCTTCGACAGTTCAATTATTTTCAATATAGTAACGAAATTCTCAGAATTTCAAAATTCACATGCAAAACACGTTAAAAATGAAGTAGCCTCAGAATTTAAAGTTCATTGGTGGTGTACAATCGCGATCTAGCAGGGAAATACGACACTAAGAATTAAAGCATATGAGGAGAATTGAAGAATTGAAGCATATGCTCTTATTTTCCAGGTTATCTTAAATAACATGCGTAGTATGAAGTGAAAATTCCGGACCTTGATGCAAAATTCCTGCACTTTTCCAGTGCTTTCGGATCGCATCTAAAAAATCAGTACTATTTCCAGACTTTCCCCACCAGTAGACACTCTGTCCACTGAGTTTGTTGAACTGAAAAAAATGCTGGGCTTAAAAGCTTGGTATCAAGACAGACCCGCAATGTTTTTCTAGTCATAAGATTTATCTAGACATTGGAAAATTTCGCTTTTATTTTTCCCGAATTTTGCTGTTATTTTTACTGATTTTGCCATTATTTTTGTAGCACTTTTTGCGTTTTACAGCTTAAAATAAAACTTTTAATTTTATTTAACAAGCCATCGCTAAGTCTCTATCTCTCTAATCCTATTTTACAGAAGAAGCATTTTATTCTTGATTAAAAAATATCAGTTGGTAACTTTTTAAAGGCTTTTTCTATCAATATATACTCGTTTTTTTATTCTTTTTAGTGACATCAATTAAATTTTGGTGAGTTGCTGATGTTAAAATTGTTTGAGGTTATGTTTATGCCGCGGTTGCCGCCATTTCTTTCATCAGTATTTTGATGCCATTGGCGAACGTTGATAGCTAGTAGCCAATGATGACCAATGCTTAGAAACAACTCCGTAATTTCTTATTTTGAAAAAAAGCGCGGCAAATTTTGTCTTACACGCATACATACGTAAATTTCAAGAAAATGTACGGATTTCGCCGATTTCGCAGAAAAATTTGGATGATTTTGCGGTGAATGCGTGGATTCCGCGCGATTTCTCGATGCATCCGGAAAATGGCCGATTTTGCGTTATTTCGCTATATATTTTCGTGATCAGGGGGTTATGATCGGTGCTTCTGCCTGGTTTTCAGATTCCTAAGCACACTTTAAAAATTTCGCGGCGAATCGCGGCGGCGAAATTTTCCAATGTCTAGATTTATCCATCGAAGCAATTCTGAATGCAATAATTCTGTTCTGTCTTTAATGATAGACTGGAAATCCTCCCCTCGAAACTTAGAGAGAATTTCATCCTCAGACATATTATTATTCAATATAGTTGTAGAAATAAAGGTGGACTCACTTTCTGGACAGAGCCCTTGCTTCCGAGTCTGGATCTGTGATCCCTCGTTTGATGGCATCTTGAAGGAGACCGACATGTTTCTCCAAAGAGTGTGTGCTCCACGAATGGACGATGAGATCCAGGAACTCGCAGCAAGCCCTCCTAATTTCCCTGGATTTGGACTGCAAGCTCTGGCTAATTATAGGAATGAATCTGGGAGAATGTGTATTTTTTAAAACTATCCTAATACATACAAGGCCTGAAGTGGAAATAACCTGCAGAGGGAAAAATAAAAAGGATGAGTGAAAAACGGATTGAACGCTTCCATAATAATGAAACCTACAAATTTGACTGTAATAGGAGATAGCTTCTGCAAGTAGTCTTCGGTTTCTCATTACTGCTGTGCTAAGGAAGAACAGCATATAAGCCTTTACAAGCTGTCAAATTTCCTTTGCTAAAAAATTAATTTTACAGGATACTAGTTTCATATTTTTCTTCCAATTTTCCTGAGAATTTTATTCACACTTTAACCTGAATTACCCAAAAATTTCAAGGAAAAATTGCAGTTAAAAACTCTTCTGATAATTGAATATTTTATCGGGGAAAAGTTGGCCTTGTCTGAATGTTCATAAGCATTTTTCTTCAGCATGATAGGCTACTTGTCGATAGCAAAAAAAATAATGCACCCACTATGTACTTACTAATATGCTTATGACAGGCCCACTGATCAATTCAACCTTCTGAGGCTAATGGGCCTGTTGCAAACTTTTGCTAGAGCAAAAATAAGAGTTGTTTCTTATAGATAATGCCTCAAAAATCACGATGAGCGCATCGGCAAAGTCTGAAATGCACTTATAACTTCACAATCTGCGTAAGAAATTTGCGGTTTTTTGAGCTTCCCGCTTCAAAAACGATACTACGGCACAGGTGAACATTTTGTTAGAGGAGTCGCTCCATCGTCGGCAATATTCATTGTGGCCGACGCTTGCGCAGTTCTGCGCGTAATTCGAGGAGAGTTCAAGGTCAATCAAGGCGGGCGAGAGGAATATGAACGTAAACACGCCGATTGTTACTTGGTCTAATCCTGTTCAGGTGTTATCTCGTGCCATCACATGTGTTTTGGCGGATTGGCGTCGGCCATGATGAGTATTGCAGACGATGGAACGACTCCTCTAACAAAATGTTCACCTGTGCCGTAGTATCGTTTTTGAAGCGGGAAGCTCAAAAAACCGCAAATTTCTTACGCAGATTGTGAAGTTATGAGTGCATTTCAGAGTTTGCCAATGCGCTCATCGTGATTTTTGAGGCATTATCTATAAGAAACAACTCTTAGTTTTGCTCTAGCAAAAGTTTGCAACAGGCCCATTACTTTGAGTGATATTAGGATTTGCAGTAAATGTAAGCATTTGCTCATATCCTACGAATAATGAGGTGACTGTCAATCTGAACATCAAGATTTGAGAACCAACTGATTGGCTGATTACTTGTGATATTTTAAAGTACAACTGCCTATTGTTGTATAATTTGCATAATTGCCCATATTTTACCCATGACTACGAAGGATTCCAAAAATTCTATTCAGGGGAAAGAACTAGAAGTTAAGGATTAGGTCTGCTATGCTATGGGACACTACCGTATGAGCATTCAGGTGTCACTTTTCTATTGATAAAATACGAATTTTCAGAGACTTCTGTAAATATTTGTTTCTCAATTTTTCAGAGAACTTCATTTTTAATCAGATAAATAATCTGAAAATCTTTACAGGAAATATTCATGTCTCTCCTCAAAAAGAAACGTAATATTGGAGTAAATTCGGCAACTCTTGAATATTTATACTGCTTTTTTCCTTAGTAAAGCAGAGGTAGAACAGGTACCTTTATACATGATACATTTAAATGAAATACATGATAACCGTAATAAATAATAAAGAAGTTTCCAAGCTCAGATTACTCTGACCTAATGTGAGACTAAAAAATTAACTTACTTTGGCGGAATTCTGAATCAAATTGATTAAAACAGGAAATAAAAATTCACAGAAATGTTCAGCTTTTGATGTAATACTTGCTGACAGAAAAGAGACCGTGATGCAAGTTTCTCGTACTACTTGAGACCTACAAATAGGAAAAAAAAAGATTAAACAATGTGTACTGACATCCATCCCTGCAAATTTTTTTAATTACCTCTTTTTGCTGACACAAAACAATTTGCCACGCAATTTTCTTTCCATTTATTACAAAATTTTCCTTTGCTTTCACAGCTGCAGATTCAACCCCAAATACTGAAGATATAGAAATTATTACAAAAAGTTATACAGGGTGATCTAAAAGTCCCCTTTTTTTTGCCCCTTTTCAGAGGGATCCCTGTAAAGTTTTTGAGGGTCGCAATATAACAAGTAAAAGCCAACAGATTGAGGAGGAAATCAAAATTTCCAAGTAACAATGAGTCATTGCTGGCGAAAAAATGATCTGATACACACCTTAAATCTTTACAGGAGGTTTGAAAGCAAAGTTCCAGATATCGAAGGTTTTGGAAAAATTCTTCATAATTTGATGCTCCAGCTACAAGAAGGGAACGGAATCTCTTCAACTGAAATAAATGTAAAAATCAGGTAAGAAAAAAGGAATTTTTCAGCGATCAAACACTTCTTTACATAGGTGGGTAGTAACAGTAATATATAAATAAATAAAAAAAATAATAATAAAAAAAAAAAATGAGCCAAGCACAAACGTTGATAAAAACGATCTTTGATAGAGTCCATGTCAAATAGATTTACATATTTTGAAGTGATGTACCATCTTGATTCTTGCATTTACTTCTAATGCTGAACTGAATTCAACTAGTCCTCTGTCATAACCTAAAAGTATGTAATCTTATTTAGCATGAACTCTAGCTGGAGTCAGATCCTGGTGAGACAACTATGGATGGGCCCACTTGGCAAGCAGCTTGTGACTTACCATGTAAAGGCACAATGAGGATGCAAATTCTGGATTCGCCGCACCACTCATTGAGCAAATCTTGAAGACTTGTTACTAGGTCCATGACTTGTCAAATGTTGCTTTATCAGGAGCCAACTGAATTTACTCCTTCCTTTCTTTCATCCTTCTTCTTTTAAACATTATCATATTTTCTTACTTTCGAGTTTTCATGGTCAAATTTATTTTAAAAAATTAGAGGAAAAGTGAGGAAATTAGAGAGTTCAGATTTAGTGCTCATGATGAAGGAAAATAGCATCTCTCCTCTCTGACACAGTTAGAAAAATAATGACTATCATATGCCGTGCAAAGTTGCATGCTACAATCGTAAAATTGCAAAGGGCCCACAAAGAGTTATTCTGGTCAAGAAGAAAAAAAAAAAATTACCGCATCTACTCGTTTATCCCACTCAATGCTTCCATTTTCTAGTGTTTCCTTGATTTTCATCATTTGCTCACAAGCGTTTTTTCCTGAAAAGATCTGAACTTTTGGAACATCTTCAAATGATCTCAGGAAGCTATCTTCATCAACAGCCCCAGCTGCCGCTGTCGCACCTTTACCGATGGGAAAAAGAGAAGAAAAAAAGTACATTTAATGAATTGTAGAAAGTTTAATCCTGGACCACGCCAGTGCCCCTGAAAGAAAATGAGCATAATTCCATTTCAGCCACTTTGAGGTGTCTCGGGAAAACCGTACACCAGATTAATGTAAATTGCAATCTTTCAAACTCCTGATTTATTGACCAGAGAACTACAAATTTTTTGCGAACACCAAACTCCAATTGTAGATTTCCAAAAGGCTAATGACTCAATTTTTCAAGAAGCCCTGTTTTGCTCTGAGGCACTGATATGCACATGGGCCTGAAGCCTTTTTGAACAATGGTGGATGATATCGTCTCTATTAGGAGTTTACAACGGATTTAGTAAAAACTTGCCAATTTGGAGGCGGCATGCAGACATAAAATTCAAAATCATGTGTTTTTCTATTCAATGAAAATAAATAAAAATAGGAACAGTAAAGAAGAAACAGAAAGCTGGGTAACTTTGCGAAAACATCTTTAAAGCACCAGAGAAAGTGAATAATTAGTTTTAATTCATAGAAAAAAACATAAAGGGGAGATCAGGGTTGCCACGGAATTTGGAAAATGAAATTCCCTGACATATTTTGGTGAAATTCTCTGAAAACTGAAGATATGACAGGTAGCTGAGAAGACATAATTGAAAATATTTTTCAGGCAAAATTTGTTGTTAAAACCTCAAACCCATTCTAGAAAGCAAATAAAGGTGATTTGACAACTTTTTTCCTAACATTTCCCGATTTTTCCTGACTTTTTAAAATTCCTTGACATTTCCTGGTTTTCCCTGACTGTGACAACCCTGAGAATAGGCATACATTTTGAGCTTTTCTTAAAGGCATGGATGTTGTGAAAAGTTACCATCCAGACAGGCTTTTGGAGTGTCACTGCCTGAACTTAATGAAAAAATAGGAAGCAAATAAATGAAAACTTCTTCCTCCTTACATACACACATACAAACTGAAACACACTGAAACTATATTAAAGAAAAACAGTTTGAAAACAAATAGCATCGAATTACCTGTTCGAGGGAGAGAATCACCATTTCTCTTAAGATTCAAACCTGAAAAAAAACCAGACAGACATTTACTACAGGTTTAATTAAAAAGGTGAGGAGCATATGGAAAAATGGAATCATTTTTTGTTTAATTTTGATAGGGGAATGAATAAAAGGGATGTTCTCTATGTTGTTCAAAGTGAAGAAAAGAACAAAAACAACGACCACCGGGAGAAAGGCATGCAAGTTTTTATCGAACAGGTTTCAAGCACACCAAAATCGTTAATTTACTGTTTAATAGTAAATCTAAATGCATTTTCACTTTTCCTCCTGAGCACAAAGTAACATCAACAACAAAATTCCGTTCAATAACATTTTGACTCATTTTATTGACCTTCAAGATGGTGATACTGATAGCACATAGTGTACAGGCCACTCTTGTCATCTACATTGATTTATTATTTAGTAAATTTCTTTCTTTATTCATTCAAATAGTTTCTCTCATTAACTTGTATGGAGGGGTTGAATATGTGGGAAAGTCATGATTTCTTGAATGTTAAGCCTAACTGATTTTCCAAGAAAATACTTATTTTTCCAAACTTACCTGAATTCATTCTAATTTGCCTTAAAGATGATGGTTGACTAGCGCTACCAAGGAGAGGAGCAATTTTCTTCACAGCCACTTTCTGCAAGTTAAAAATTGACAAGAATGAAGGGCGATAACTAGGAGGACGACCACAGAGAATAGAAAGAGAGGACAATGAAAAAATCACAGCTTCATTCAGAAGAGGTACAGGATTTTACTTATGAGGCCGCCGATCATCAACCAATTTGTAGTCTGAGAATGAGAATGAAACTGAGAGAGGAATAAGGAACGCTGTGCAGAGCTGCCACAATCACAGACTGTCATTTATACATTTTAAAAACTAAGCCTCTTTTCGGTGGAGACATATTATCTTTTGAATGACCTTCAGATTACGAATTGAGTAAACAGGCTAAATGAGGGACATCTATTTTTTTTTCATAAAATTGCCATCAAAACGAGTGTACTATCCTCACATTGAAAGTCTGGCTAAGAGCTGCATGCAGGAGTTCGGCACCATACAAGTACCATACAAGTGTTTCAATATATACTAATGATGACCAGTCACACTGACTTTGAAAGGATTCATTAGTGAACCACAGCAGGTAAAAATGAAGGAAACAAAGGGTACAAATAAAAGTACAAATGAAGGGCTTGTAGTACAAGGTGCTTAGGTGTAGTTTTTGAAAATTTGAGATATTAATGATTTCAAGTTCAACAAGCCTTGATGCATATGTTATGAAAAATTTGATCCCGAATTCCAATTTTTAAACATCAAAAGGTCAGTTTGAACTTTCTCTCCGCCATGAGGATCCATGTGATCTCGAAACTCCTAACACATATTTTTCAAATTAGCAAAAATTGCACTTAAGTGCTTTGTCCTTCATGCCCCTTAAATGTAAGCATTCCGATACATATTTTCTTTTCAAATTTTCACATAGAACACAATTTGTGCCATTAAAATAATTGGAAATAATTTTGAGCCAAGGTGCTAAAGTTTCAGTTTAGCACTAGTTGTGAAAAATTTGAATTTTCCGCACACAAAAGAAATCGTAATCTATGTGATCAAAATATGCTCTTCTTCCAACTTTGGATGACATCCTTAGTGGGCTTTTGAATCAAGTAGTGTTCCTCCCAGTCCTGTGTTGTTCAAAGTGTAAACAACTAGCGAAAATTGAGCCAAAGCGCTGAGATTGAAGTTGCCATATTTCCCTACCGTAGAGAGTGCTGCGGTACCGTTTAGTGTGCCATTTAATTACAGTACTTTATGCTTTTTTCATGAGCAGTTAATGCAACCGAAAACGTCAATATCTTCGTTAGGAGTTACTTTTTGTAAATTTCATGGCACAAATCGTGTTCAAGGTGAAATTTAGAATAGAAACCATGGATGATATTGCTTAAATTTGCATAAGTACTGTCTAATAGTCCATTGTTTTCTCCCTCTACCTGATTACCTTGACGATTTACTATTGATTTCTTGCAATGACTACTCATACACCTTTTGGTTACAAACATTGAGTATCCTAAGTGATGATTATCTTCCATCATCAGAAAATATTCCAGACATTTTCAGAAAAAAAAAGAAGTTGTCATTTGGAAAAACTTTAAACCATTACTGTCAATATCACTTCTTTTACTGTCATTACTACGACTATAACTTTATTCAAAATGAATAAGACTTTTAAAGACAGAATTTAGACAAGATTAACTTTGAAGAGGAAAAATGGTTTTGGAAATAATGGAGCAAAATTGCTTTAGGAAAGGTTTGACAAGGATACTTACATTTGCTGACCTATCTACTTCATCCAATTCTAAACTATTTGTATCTGAAAACATAATAAAAATACATTTTACCTGACTGAACAGTTAAATTCAGAGCAGTCGGCAGAAAAATTGAAAACCATATGTCACTAATGCAATTTTTTTTTATTTTAAAGATAATATAAGAAATGAAAGAGTAAGAAGGAATTTGTATCAAATTTTTTCGAGGCTGAAAAATGCGAAAGAAGCTCTTCGCGGAGTTCATAAGAATTCTAATAGATACGTTTGGCGGGAAATCAACATCACAAACTGTGAAAAGACTCTTAACGAAGCGAGAGATATCCCCTCCCTTTACAGCCTGAACTTTGAGAGCTTTTTTTGAGTTTAGGAGTTGATTATTAAGAAATGGAGGCATGGCATTTCTCGCAAAAGTTTACAAAAGAAAAAACACAAAAATCAAAAATCCTTGACACACACAGGAACTCTATTCAAATGGACCAGGACTTAAAATCTCCTACTTCATGAGTTTTTTTAAAACTGGGGCATTTTGGATAATTCACCATTTTAACAAACACCAATATTTTTACCAATTTTTCACAGCTCTCTTTAGACAAAGGAAAATTTTACCACCTACATTTGCTTAATTATTATGGTTTCAAAATAAAGGTTAATTACCTGAAAAATTATCATCGCCTTCTTTCACACAACCGCTAACTTTCTCAAAGTTTTCAAGAATGTGCTGCATCTTGTTGGGCGGCACCGACTGGTTTTTCAAGAGGCTATACTTTAATGGGTCGCCTATGTTTTTGTAGAGCTCTACCATTGTATTCATGGCAGCCTCACGGACTGTTACAGAGGAGTCGCTCAGTAATTTGATGATGAGGGGTAACAACTTTTGCACTCCTACAGATTTTACACCATGTCTGTAAAAAGTCGAACAAATTACTCAGCTATGATAAAAACAATGGTTTACTTTGATGTTGTAATAGGTTTATAAAGATACTGTTTCCTGGCAACGTAACAGAAAGAGGTAGAGGCTTCACATTGAAAAAAATTTTTGGAATGCTTTTACTTGATTATCTCACTATTGCTACTCTTTTACACTTACTTTAATTGTTTTGCTTTTTTTTACTGTCTTTTTTTCTTCATTTCTTTAAGGACTCCACCCTGTTCATTTACAAGTAGATACAAAAGAAAAGTACCATTTTCAAAACATAAGTAAATACAAAACGCGGTGTACACCTAGTTTTTCCACAAGAGCAGATCTGATAGGTGATCAGAATTTACTGCGTCTTTTTCTGAGTGTCTTAATTAAACCAAAGTTGTACAAGATACAGTCAACTCTAGATAATTTGAAACTCTTGTTACTATGAAGTAAAGTGTCAATCCGTTAAGAACCTCAATATTTCGAAAAAATCAATTTATTCCCCTCTGAATAATTCAAATTTTTTAGAGTCCAGCATAGACTATTTACCTTGGCAATTCAAAATTTTAAGACAGGATTCTATTCTGGCAGGTAAACGTCCAAAATGTACTAAAGTGGTGTACCAAAGTGTCGATTAAAAACGGCGTAAATACCGGAGGAATAAGACACTGAGTCTAGCACTTATCATTCATTGTTATCCATTAATAAGGTACCAAAATTAATGAATGAATCTTCAAGTGAAATATCTTTAAAATCTTTTTAATTGGAATTTTGGCACCCTCTTAATTTGAAAGTCCCACTAGTTTAAAACCTCACTGATTTGAAACTCTCATTTATTCAGTCCCTTGAATTTCCAATTAACAAGAGTTGACTGTGGTTATTACTGGAATTCTGCGTTATTTTATTTTACTTGGGGCTATGATCTGACAGTTTCATTTTTTCTATTGCATTCCAGTTTTGAGAAATTTCATATTTTAATTGGTTTTCTTTAGAAGTTGATTAAGTAATAAAAAGTGAAGATTCCAATACATACATTTCAATAGTTGAGAGAAGACACTTGAGACTTTCTTCACGAATATAACTGTTTTTATGCATGAACCCTGTTGTTGCCAGCTTTTCAAAAAGATAAGCTGGCGACATAGCACCTTGGGACATCAACGTTAGGAGCAAATGTTGAGCCTTCTTTCGCACCGCTTCCTTGCTATCTCCTGAAAAAAAAGTCAAATGAAAATTATTAGCACTAGCTGGACCGCCTCACATCAGCATTAAAATTACAAAAACCGTTTTTTGCAAAATTGTGACAATTTTTGCGTGAGGAGCAAAGAGAAAATAAAAGCCATGAATAAAATTTTTTGGAAAAAAGGGGCTTTTGAAATGGGAAGGCCAACTTGAAGAATTAGGAGCAGGGGAGCTGGGAACTTTCTGCGTTTAATTGCTGGAATAAACCTTGGAATTTTCTCCAGTTTTCATTATTGAAAAAGAAAACTTACCCAGTCTTTCAATCATAGCCATTAAAATAATTGAGACATGTGATCGAAAATCCGATTTCATTCGTTCTGCAAGTGCTGTCAAAATTTCAATACCAATCAAAGTTACCTAGGACAAAGAAATACAATTTTAGATGAAATGCCAATCAGAAATAATAATTGGAAATCACTAGGAATGCTTCAAAAATAAAGAAGGTTTCGACTTGATAGATTGGTACCAATGATACAAGATTTTGAAGAGAAAGAGAAATCTAAAAAAAAAATATATATATATATATATACTAAAAAGACAAAAGAGAGGAGCCAATATTAAACAATTTGTTGTGTTTTGTCAAGTTTCATCTCCAATACTGTCCTTATTTTGTAAACAGTTTTTTCTTTGCTCGTCAAAATGACATGATACCAAATTGAATCTCTTATACTCGGGAAAAATTTACTGTGTTCCTTCCAATTTCAGTGGCAACAGGAGCTTTTTCACTTCTATAATGCCCTATGAATAAGTTTTAGAGAAATCAAGTTTTTGCTCCATTTTCCTTATTCTTTATGTAGACCTTCTGAAACTCCGNGGGGGGGGGGGGGGGGGCAGCAATTCCCCCCATCAAACACCACTAAGAAAACAATAAAAACTTACAAGCACCACAATTTTTTATGGTTTGCCGAAAGTTGACTGAAATGGAGATTGTGGGTTTTGATACTGGGCACCAGTGTTCTGCCTTCCCCAGGCGCCATGCGCCAAATGCGCCTAAAAAGTTGGGGGGGGGGAGGCTGGGACATCGTGGCGCCTAAAAAATTTGACAGATTGTCCTTGCAATTGGGAAGCAGCGGTAGCAATGAAGCGCTCTCTACACGCACCCTTTGCAGCATCGCCATGGCCCGTATGCAAAAATTTAATTGGTTCCTAGAAAATAGTAGATGGCTCCTAAAAATTGGGCTTTCCGGCAAAGGTGGCTCCTAAAAGTTACGGGGGAAGGCAGAACACTGCTGGGCACCTCACTTGATATCTTGGGTAGAAAATCGACTGGATTTAAAATAAACAGAGATTGTAAGACAAAACTCTAATCAGTGTATTGAGTTTATGTAGAAAATATAGCTCATACTTACTTTGTGATTACTGCTGTGGCACCAGGGGACTAGGGCATCAATGAAGAGACCAATATCCTCGCATTCTATGGAATTTGTCTCGTCAGATATGAAGTTGAAAATTTTATCGCCTAGGATGAGTTTATCCTTTGTATCAGCTACAGCAATCAATGCCTGGAAATCATCCATGCATTTCACTGCAGCCAACTTCTTTGCATTCATCTTGACCGTCACAATGTCACAAGGATGTCATCCAAATACTCATGATCTATCATTCATCCACTACTCCATCGAATGGTAGCACGAGACATTAAACCTAAAACAATGAACCAATTAGATTTTATTCTGTTGTACTTGCCTTGAAAATACCCATTGTTTGAACTGGGAAACTGTTGAAAAATCTTAATTTCAATTTAATCGAATAAGGGCTGCTGATAAGATACATAGTGCTTCATTTTGAATTATTTGAACCCTCTATATAACATTTTTGTGACCTAGATCCCTATCCTTAAGCGCCTGAAGAAAATTCAATACAACACTCTCCTCGACGCTGCCTCTCCCCTTCAGCATTATGTATTTTATACGTAACGCTGAGGAGTTGCATGAAAGGACATTCTTCATTTTCATTAGACTTCCCTGCTGGAAAAATCATTGTTGAAGATTTGAACTGTTTTAGAGTTAGCATGATCAAGCGCAGCCAATCAAAGAATACATTACACATGGGACAAACTGGCTTTTTGTGGCAATTCTTACAAGCTGGTGGCACTCAGTGTACCTGCGTGCACTGAATATGAAGTCTGTATGCTCTCCGACTGGGCTTACGCAGGCCTATTCTGCTCTGTCGCTCTGTGTTGTCACGTGTGCAGACTACTTAGGATAGGGACAGCGTTTTCCCATATACTTTTGGTCTGTACGCTGTTCGTACAGGTATAGGGAGGGTCCGCTTGGTATGCATACATCCAGATGCTTGGCAATACTGGTGACACTTTTATCTTGCCCTGATTAAATTAATTAAAAATACTGGATTCTAGTTGAGCAAGTCTGCCTAAATAAATATAAGTTGTTTTATATATTTATGGATGGAAAAAACCTAATGATGCAAGCTGGCAAGAAAGACCACTAGTTTACTTGCTCCCCTAGGGCCTGTATCATGACAAACACTTTGCAAAGATGGCATTATTCTACAAAAAATAATGTTTCAATCTCTTAGATGGTCCTGTATACTGGAGATAAAAGTACAAAAACTGGATCACGAGTATAGCATTTTGGAATTTCCAATTCTTCTTCATTTCAATAAGATAAGAGAGCTTGCTTACTATATATTGAGACAAATGTCAAAGTCTAACTAGCTCCAAATCAGCACTTGACAGGTTAATACAAGCTATCAGAGAGTACCATTGGTGTGTAGCGACAAAAACAATTCTTCTTTAAGGAGTCAACATACAATGAGGAAGCTCTACCAGGCATTTCATACAATAAAAAAATAAAAAAAAATGCAGAAAATAATCGTGAAAGAGCTGTAGTCAAGAATTTCTCATATCACCACTCCTCAATGGTGCCTTCTGAATGTATGGGATAAGCTTTGAATTGTCCTGTTTTACTTAAAACTAGTCATAGGTAGACGTTGGTCTCAATATACAATGAGCGAGCTGTGGTTGCCACTACTGTCTCCCAGAGATATCATGTTCTCCAACTGAGTAAAATGAACATATGAACTATACAACATTGAGTTTAAGGCCATTGAGTGTTTTTGCAAGAAGTTTGATAGAAACTGGCAAGAGCTTTGCTGCACTGCTAGGTACTAGCATACTTAGTTGCATACTGTCTGCTTTACATTGTATGAATACTACTACTTAGGAGGCAACTTGATTACTTGGTGTACTGAAAACAAGGAGAACTCATGAACGCTTGTCACAATTCGGGACTACAGTTGTGTATTTTGATTACACCCGTTACATTCACACATGTCTGCCATACCAAGTCCAGGCCAATTAGGAGGGACTCCAAGACTAAGAGGAAGGGATAGTAGTAAATATACTCGCAGTCAGAGAAAATAAAGGTAAACTGAAGGATACTGAAGAGAATTGTAGCACACACTAGAGCTTTCAGAACTGATGAGAACTGATACGGAAGCCAATACCCTAACCCCACTACTTATCATTCATCAGACAAGTTACAGACCTAGCACTTGTACCAGACATGCTGCTGGTGACTCATCTGTATCGAAATAAAATAAAACCAGAGAATTTGTGTCCAAACCCTGGGTAAGATACTAGCCAAAACTGTTTATCATAAATAGTGAGACAGTTGAGAAACTAACCCAACCACCCACAGACATCAGCCAGACTGAAAGTCAACTGTCCACTTGAAAGTATGGTGAATTGGAACTGGCTCCAAATAGAAACCTATGCGACAATTTTGGGGCAAGAGAAGTTTACAAAAAGTTTGGCACTAATAAATCTATTAGAATTGTAAAATCTGAGATAAAGGACCACAGCACCCACAGGCTTATTACCGATGACCTTACACTACATTACACCCTAGTCAAAACTCTCCCAACTTAAATTTTAACTGACTAAAAACTGGAGGTAAAATTAAAAACTGACCATTATTAGCAGGCGTAGACGTTCCAACCTTTCCAATTTTTACAATCATATGATAAGAGAAGAAAAGTATCACGAAAACAGTACGAAATTGAAAAGTGGATGACTAAATAATAACAACATAACAACATCCTAAAGTAATTGTGACCCTAGATAGAAGGTGGTAGGTCGGCCATCTCAATACTTTCCTCGTGACGTACCCAAAAAGTCAACTGCCCAGCCCATTCCCTCTCGCTGATTGGTTCTTTTTTTCTACGTCATTAAAATGGCTACCAAAATAAACGGCCACCACCTTCAGCATGGAGAGGTGCAATTGTTATTCTATATAATCAGTCAAGTTCTCTATTCATAGTCATACATGTAATGAGAGAGAGAAGTGTGAAGTACACCGTAAACTATTATATCAGTGTATTTGTTCCTCAAAATCGTTGTTATTTTACCATGTTGTTCTCACAATGTACAGTGTGTGATGATTAACAGTTGAATTTTCAAGGTTTGTATCACAAATTCTGTTATTCCATCTCTTACGCTTAACCATGAAGTTTCTCAGCACACCTATTCTGAACTCCACTTATGCAGTTATCGCAGTTCATACCCTGTTATTTTAACTTAATAAACGACCACTGTTATTGATTGATTCATGGAGCATCCAACTCTCTTGATACCCTTAACTTCCTAACATAGAGCTCCCTTTAGATTCCTTAAGGGCTTGGTTAACCTGAAAGCTTCTTAACTTCAAATTCCCTCGCCCGATCTTTTCGTCAAGCTTAGAGGGGGGAATTTCCCTTGAGTTATGATGCACCAGTTGAGGATATTGTACTCAGCTTCCTACATTTGTTCACTGCCTAATGATTGATTGATGATCCCTCGATTATCAGGTAAGTTACCCAGTTCATCTTATCGTCCCATCTCTGCTCACTACTTCACCTACGAAGGAAAGTGTGATGATTACTCAATCATTGCCTCACACTCTTTCCTCCTTAAATCACGATTGTTTGGTGTTTATAGTGCTCTATTTTTTATCCATTTTGCTCATTACTTAGGTCATTGTAACTGGAATGAAAATTCACCAAATCAATTGTAGCTCTCAGCATGTAAATAATGACGGCCTTTCTCTGCTAGTGTTGGTGCACCAAGAGATGTGGTCTGGGTGGTTGGGCCTGAGCAGAGCTTTCTTCCCTCCAGATGCATGACATTCCATCAAATTGTTCCCAAAGGGATTTTTGCCAAACTCTTGGTTGGATGCAGCTTGTTGTATCATCCGGAACAATTCTGAGAGTCTTTCAAATAAGTATTGACAATTTCCCGAAGAACAGAGTCTCCGGTCAGTGAAAGTATCCGTGGACACAACCAGGTCCAAACTATCTGTAAATGCTTCATGTAAGTCAACTGTGGAATAAGGAACGGTTGTCTGTGCCAAAGATTACAACACCTGAACTATATCCACAGTGGCTGCATTCCGATTGGACGTATCCAGTGTTGCGCCAAACAGCTTAGCTCGAAGGGTGAAAATGAAGCTCACAACGAGTTTTTTCCCCTCTGTATTAAGAGTTTTTATATAATATAGAGACATGACACCACCAAGGCTGATATATATGATCACAACCTATTCTATCTTCCAAGTGCTGCAGTGGCTCAGAACTTGCCTTGCAGCCTAGAGGCTGGGGGTTTGAATCCTTATCTTAATTCCCGTCATTGGCTGTCTCCCTCATCTACACTGCCTCAATAGTTAGGGTGTTTTCTAGTCCGGAAATAGTTCTGATCTTCTAAGGGTGGTCCGGAAGTACCGAAAAAGCGCGGAAATTCCGCAAAAAAGTCTTGAAATTTTTCCCTCCGCGCACGTTCTTTAACAAAGCCTGGAAAGTATGCAACCCTCTGCGTGTTCATTCTTAAAGTAGTATTTGCCTACAAGATCGCAATTGTCCAGTCAGTTAATCTTTGTCAGTTAAGCACCAAAGTAATTTTGTGGCTACATAATTTTTGTCGCATTCGAGAGAGAATTTTAAATTTTCACAAATTTTCGAATTTCATCAAATGGAGGTACTGAAAAAGTACTGAATTTTTTTGTTGAGTAGGTACTGAATTTTGTCTATTGTTGAGTATCGATGCCCAGTATCGATGAGAATCAATCCAAAGTATTGATATTTTGGAAGTATCGGTTACGTATCTACAACCCTACTGTAAAAGTATTGATTCTTGGCCAGTCTGTATTAGTAGACAACCTGATAGTGAGCAGGGCCAGATTTTTAACTTGTGAGTTTACTAGGTGTTAGCTATTAACTTGCTTCAGGGAGATTTTTTTTTCCTATCACAGATTCAATTAGTGAAACTTGCTGAATCTCATTTGTTGTAAAACAGAAGCTATAGATGAGGCATGCACTCTGCTGTTTTTTGCAGTATTGAGAAAGCAGTATTATTGCAAAATTGGGCATCATTTCAGCCAAAACAGCAGTAAGTTCATATTATTCCACCAAAGTGCTGTGTTTACTGCTATACTGAAATCAATGGTATCCCTCTCTCTCTCTCTCCCCCTCCCTCTCTCCCCCTCTCTCCCTCTCTCTCTCTGTCAATTTTGAACCTTAAATTTTGATTGTTGCATGCTCACAACCATAGTTTCTCATTTCTGTATTTTCGATTTGTTTTAACCAATTCTACCACTACAAAATACTCGAAGCTCCCTATCTTCAGTTTACAAATGCAATATATGACACGTTTCAATGGTCAAAGTGCTCCACCACATATCTCCATTGGGGTGTTTCAATATTTTCGATCCTACTTATTTTATTTTTTGGAAGGGAAAGAAGCCAACATGGCAGCTTAAAATTGATACAGATTATTCTGCTAATGGAGAAAAATATAAATCAAGGAAGTTTTTAAAAATTTATGCAGACTAATTCTCTAAAGAAAAAGTAAAGTATGACTGGGAGTCTGAAACGGCGCAAACAGAATCACCCTTGTCGTTTCACATTTTAGCCATCAGTTTTGGTATTAGCGAACATAATTGAAGGCGCTCCAGCTTTTTCAATGCTAGGTCTGGATGCAACTGGTCGTGTTCTCTGGATATTCATGTTGCATACACAGTTAATTGCAGGTGCTCTAGCTTTAATAGCCAAGCACAATGTATGGCTGTGACCGACGGTTCATTTCAATTTCCAAGGGTTGTCTACAAAGCATTTCCAGCCGTGCTTACTTCAAAATCCTCAAAATGCGTACGAGTTGTGTAGCATCATGGCAGCGATGACAAATGGGGCAAATATTCTGCTGAACACATTTCCACCAAGTCATTGCAGATGTCAGTCCCGCAAATCACGACAGCATGCCATTTCTGCACTAATGATGTTGTAGCACAATCTGACAATGTTGCTGCATGAATATAGTCTCCATGTTATTTATACGTTTATTATTAATTTGATCAAATACTCAAACCTTCTTATCTTGAACTTGAGATCCTTTGTCTGATTTACTCAACTTGTTTTTTTGAATATCCTCCCTTGTTTCACTATTTCTAATTACTCTCTAAATAAGTTTTCTTCAATTAAGGGCGCAAAATTCCTATTTTCTTTTTCCTTTTTTTTCTCTGTTTTTTCATTTTTCCCCTTTTCAACCAATGATAATCATTGTTGAGTATTATTCTTTTCAGGGGTTTCGTCTTGAAGATGGATCTAGTGGTAGAGGCTTTGCGACAAGCGAGTAGTCAAGATGCAACTGTCTTGAAAGCTGCCGAAGCAAAGTTGGCTGAGTGGGAAGTAGCCCCAGGATTCCACTTCACACTATTTGTAAGCAGAACCTTTTCCTGAAATACTTTTTCTCTTTCAAATTGGACTGTATTTTGCGAGCAGGAGCTTTAATTTCTAGCTCATCCATAGAAGTTACCTATCTGCATTTATGGTTCCTGGTTGCCACTGTCACTCCTTGTCATCCCCTGAGATAGCAAAAATCAGGTTTGAATGTTTCATGCAACTTCAGACCTAAAATCCTCCCTTAGAATTGAACTAGAAGTTACAATTTGGAGGTCATCGAGGGAATTGTGATTTACTTAACTCAAAAGGGAAAAAGCCAAAATGTCGGCCTACTGACCAATCAAGTTATTTGTGGATTAACCAGTTGGATCGTCTATCGCTTATTAGGCGCTTCTAGTGGTCAAGCTTTGAACACTAGATTGGTGGATGAACAAGAGATTTTACTGGTATATTGACAAAAAACATGACTGGTTGATTGATGAAAGATTCTACTGGTTAATTGATGAGAGACCCTACTGGTTGATCGACTGCCGATTAAATACTGGTGCATCGACAGACTATGCATCTGGTTTTGTGGCAGAAAATTTGATTTGTTGATCGACAGTCCATACAACTGCTCATTGGGTAAGAGGTAATTCAATTCTTTAATAGAAAAATAAACTCATCTGTCTCTGCATTTTATTCTCTATTGTTAACTTCTAAATTTCAGAGCATTTTCTCAAATCAGAATATTGAAGTCAATGTGAGATGGCTGGCTATTGTATACTTGAAAAATGGAGTTGACAAATACTGGAGGTCAAGTGGGAAGTAAGTAAAAAATTTTATTTTATAGCTCCTTTGTGCCTAGACTAATACTTAAGTTGCCGTACAATTATTTGATAAAAAATTGTACCTTAATTTTTTTTCCTAGTTTATCTTCCGGAATTCAAATTTTTTTTGTACATAAGAAGAATCTCCTCATTTTACCGACCCTCGTTCAAACTATTTAAAAAAATTGGCATCTAAACCCTAAGGTTATCCAAGCCGAAGAAACGCACCAAGTCGATTCATGCTCGAACAGAGAAAAATAAGTTCAAAGTTTTATTCCCCCAAAAGACTAAATTATAAAAAAAAAGTTTAACAACCATTTTCATTTTCAAAATATTTTTTTTCGGCTTGGATTTTTTGACAGAAGAAAATCTTTATCTCGTCGATTTCAAAACTGCTCTCAACTCATTTTTTTCCACAGTGTACCGTAATGCATTTCTGTTAAACTCTGTCCATAACTGGACATATTTCTTCCGAACAGAACTATCAGCATAATGAATTCTATCACATGCAACAGACCCATTCACTTGACTTTCTCCCATTTAGAACCAAAATTCATGATTGGTCCCTCCTGAAAACGTGAGAAAAAGAAACTCTTAGCCCAACAAAATTGGAATTTTTTACCGGTCAAGCACTATTAAAACAAAAATTTCCGAAAAACTATTAGGATTCCCCCATTTTTCATCGTTTTGTTTCTGTTAAAAATATTTCTCTTCTATTTCACAGAGAGGTTCCCGGTGGTCTCACTCCAGAAGAGAAGCAGCTTGTGCGTGATGGATTGTTGAATAGCTTGAATGAACCCGTCGAACAAATTGCCTCACAGCTTTCTGTGCTTACAGCCAAAATAGCCAGGTACTATTAGTCAAGCTTACCGGAAACTTATATAAATAAATAAAAAAAAAACTTTTTATAAAAATTTGAACGATTTATCTAAAGCTTTCCTTGAACTGGACTGTAAAACCATTCAGGGAGACTCTCAGCGTAGCAAGCAGCTCTATGGCAGGACATCCCAGTCAATGTCCATGAAAACTTAATCAATAGGAAAAGTTGTGATAGAACTTCTAAGCCTTATAAATTTTGAAAGTTTTGTCTCATAATTAAGCGTCTGGATTTTTTCATCAATTTTCTCACAATATTTTTTGGGAGACAATTTTGTTTTGCAATTGAAGTCCTTTCATTTTCTTAAGAAAACTCGCTGAAATGTTGAGAAAATCTCCAAGACGCTGCAAACCACATCATTTTTTTTTTTTTTTTTTTGTAAATGATTATATTATGTAGATCATTTCATATTTTCAGACCTTACAGGTCTTTAAAAACTTACTTAGCATGCGACAGACAATATGCCAATAATGAACCACTTAAAGCAGCTCCAAAGGAAAAAAAAATTAGTAAAAAAAATCTGTGGAAGAGAGTAGTTTATATGAAAGTTCAGAACCTTAAAAAAAAGAAATAAAAACAGAAGCGACCAAAAAAAAAAAAAAAAAGAGTGCAAAAGCTAGCCAGTAATATTTAAAGATGCAGGCTGTGACTAACACCAGAAAACTGAAATTTACGAATGCTTACTGTCAGCATTTTTCAAATTGTCTGTTTTTTTTCAGATTGGACTATCCTCGTGAGTGGCCTCAAATCATCCCAAAACTAGTAGAAGGGACCAAGTCCAACGATGTGTTTTTTCAGTATCGGTGCTATCGAACACTTCTCAATGTGATTAAAATTCTATCCTCCAAACGGCTTCCTGGTAGCAGGTATGCCTTTCAAGAAATGGCCGGTGAAATCTACTCCACAATCCTGGACTCATGGAATAAGTTGAGCCAGTCCTTCATCAATCAAGTAAGTTGTCTGTCAAACGAGGATCATTTCAACTTTTCCATTAGTTAGTCTGACCATTACTAATTTTTTGTTCAAAAAAATTTCATGTTTCTCCTTTGTATGTGAGTTAGGGTGCCCTTTAAAAGAATTGACCTCTGGAAAGTTCTTTTCTGCACGAAAAAGTGTTCCACTCAGTTAACAAACAAGTTTGGCTTAGGCAGCACAACTCTTGCATGCCCTAATGTTTAATTTATATAAAAATTAGTCTACTAGAAGTCAACTATATCGAATTTTTGGGGCTCTAGCAACACCATTTCATCCCTGATATCATCAAATTTTCAAAATTCTTTAATTTTCAGCTGTATGAATTTCACAAGTACGTAATCTTGCAGCACTCACCTCAGATTTTGAAACTTTGCCTAAGTCGTTTTTTAACAAAATAAAACCATTTTTTGTGCAGGAAACGTAACTTTTCAAGGGTTGTTTTTGTTTGGGGGGGGGGGGGGGGATTCCCCACTGTGCATTCATTGTGTGTGCTATATCTATATGAGTTTTAAAAGCTGGTAAAGCCAAGGCGTCATCAAGTGATCATATTTCATCGATTCAATTTATACTAATGGCATCACTGGCCATTACTCAGCTGAGCACGATAGCAAAAATCAATGGCAAGATCCGAAAGTTCATTTCTATTTGATTAGTGCCCTGATTGAACCATATGTCCCCACTTCTTTTGATGAGTTGCATTGGTCTGATGTTATTGCTTGGGTGCAACAAGTGAGGGAAACTCGAATGAAAGCCAAATAAGGACTGAAGCCTGACAGCCTCTACCCTTTAATTTTACCTTTTGAATGTTACATTATTTTTTATATGATCCTGGAGATTCTCATTAAAAGAACAAAAAATTTATGTAGGACACTTGCTTTTTTTGGGTTGGTCCTGATTCTTTTTCTTGGATTTTTTGGTAAATAGACGACTATGATAATTTCAAAGCTAGTTGCTTCATCTTCAGGTCTTAATTGGAAGGGATGACTATTGTATTTTCGCTAAAAGTAAAATGAAATTAAAACATGAAGGACTGCAACTGACTTCATCTTTTAAATTTGTTTCACTTTTGACAAATTTTGAATAGCTGTTGCTTTTAATTACTTAAGACCTGGAGACGTAGCTACAAGCTCTGAAATTATCATAGTTGTCTGTTATCCAAAAACTCTAAGCGAAATAATCTGGACCGACCCAAAAAAAGTGTTTTGCATAAATACTACAGAACCTGATGAAGCCATGATATCCTTCAACTTAAATAATGTAGCATGCTGACTCATTATCTTACGTATAGCTCCTTAACACCATACGTTTAATTTGTTCAGCACTCAACTCTGGATGACAGACAAAAATCTGAGCTCATAGGAAACTTTCTCCTGTGCCTGAAGATCTTAAGAATTTTAACAGTCAATGGCTTCAAAAACCCTAGCGAGAGTGCCGATGTAAATCATTTTTTAAAATTACTGTATGAACACATCAGAACATTTCTAGAGCTACGTAAGTACACACAATCATTTACATTACTGCTTCCCATCCTTCCTTTCTTGTTTGATCAAAATAAGTGTGAATCTTTGCGTGTCACTAGCCACTTTTCCACGAATACCATGGCATTTCTGCCATTATATCCGAAGCATTTTTGAAAATTATCAGGAAATCATATCGAATATGTTTCTGCAATATGTACTATAGTACAAAAAATTAATGATTCAGCAAGGAAATCCTTGGAATAGACCTCCAGACAAGGTGCAAATCTAAGTTTTCCGATAAAATTTCTTGTAGAACATGATTCGCGCAACTTAAATATCTGAAATCAGCTCCTAACAAAGGTATTTAACGTTATTTGATCCAAAAATTCAGACCTTCTGCTCATGAAAGAACAATCGTCTTCAAGACTTTCCCACACTTAACAATCGCACCTTAGACATCACCGTAATAGTTTGCGCGGCATAAAAATATGGCAACCTCAGTCTCGGTCTATATTTTATGGAATGCATCATGATTCGGTTTCCTTTTGGGTCTAATACAGGCCTAAACATGAGTCTGAAAGCCAATTTTGACGAAAACTGAGGGTTTGCGGTCGAACGTCGAAAAATCCTCATTCCTCCGAATCGGCCCTCAGACCCATGTTTAAGCTAATATTAAAGCTAAAAAGAGACTCGAAATTACCAAACCATGATGCATTCGGTAAAATCTAAATCTTCAATGAGCAAAAAAATCGTGGAGTTGAGAAAATTTAGCTAGGGTGGGCCAAGTACGGCCCTTTTCGATACTCTTCCTTTGAAATTTGAAATCTCATGGTGTAAAATCCCTGGATTGTGAATAACAGTAATTTTTGGGAATTTTTACACCCTTGATCAACTTTTTATCTCTGTACTTGTATTTTATCCCTATATTTTCTTTTCTTTCAGGCAAATCCACAAGTGGATCACTCGTGGAAACTTTAGAAAAGTACTCAATAAATTTAATGAAAGTGTTACATGCCATGCTGGACAATTATCCTCAATATTTTGTCGATTATATCGAACCCTCATTAAAACTGTGTATATTTTATGCATTCACTCCTGAAGGAGAGCCATATCTATTTGAAGAGTTTCTCATACAGAATTTAATAATGATGAAAAATATTCTAATTTGTAATGAGTATGTTCCAAGCAAAAAACCAGTATCAGGTGAGTCTGTTATTTTTTACCGTAGAGATCTCATTAGTTCACCAGTGTAATATCAAGAAACAAGTAACATACTCGTAACTATTTTCAATGGCATCTAACAACTTATTTAATTACGTAGATAGAAATTTTCTCTTTTTGTTTTTCTTTTGTTACCCCATAGAATTGCTTGGAAATGGACCTATAGAAAAGATGAAACTTTAAGCATCATGATCTATGATCTTATTTCTCATCGAAATTTCAAGTAAAACACAATTTGTACACAAAAAATTACTGAAAGTAACCCCTAACAAAGATATTCATGCAAGAAAATAACTTAGAAGGGTCTTTAATACATTTTAAATCAAGCACCAACTTGGCTCCGGTAATCTCTAATCAGTCCTCTATTTTCATACAGATACAAAAAATGCTGCCTCAATAGCTGCTGTCAAAATCAAGCAATCACTCTTCACACCTGAAACCGTTGTAACCATTTGTTATAAGCTGATCACGCAGTATTTTCTCCTGACATCGGCTGACCTTCAAGCCTGGGACTCGGACCCAGAAGGCTATGTCGCTGACATGGACAAACAGTCGTGGAAATACTCACTACGACCTTGCACCGAAACACTATTCCATGCCATGATTCTTGAATTTGGCTCTGTGATAAACCCTGTGTTAGTAGAACTAGTCAATGTTAATCACCCACTAGCGCATCCTGATGACATGAATGCCATCTTACGCAAAGACGCAGTCTACAGTGCTATCGGCCTAGCTGCATTTGAGCTGTATGATGAGGTAAGTAGAAATTTCTTGATATTTTTAAGAAATTTCACCATTAATAATGGTGAATCCTTTTTAAAAAAAAATTCTCAACTCTTAATTGCATCAGTACTTAAAATTCTAAAACATTATTCCAGCTGTTGAAGCTAAACCTTTTTGCACAAAGAAGTGATTGATCCGCTATGGTAGGGGCCCCAAAAATTGCTGATCCCCGGCAGTGTGAAATTGTGGAAAGGCCTCCTGAAATGTGGAAGGAGGGAATATTTTAAGGGTCCACAGTCAAAAATCAATGGAAAACAATATAAAATGGTCTTCATTTTTGAGAAGACTTGAAAGTTTTGTGGAAAAGGCAGTGATAGGTGCGTGTAATTGAGGAAACCTGGAAGATTCCGTACTACAGCTCTGAGGCTCAAGGTGCAGAACCCTCCATCTCCAGCCTGTTTCAAGAGCTTCTTAAATCAACTCCGGAATGAATCAAGAAAAAAAAAACCTTTAGTACCTGTCTATGAACTCATGAATCTCTCAATTAACTCATTTCATTTTTTACAGATTAATTTCAATGACTGGTTTACCAAATCTTTAGTTCTGGAACTGAAAGTTAAAGACCCAAACTATCGAATTATCAGGAGGAGAGTTGCGTGGCTCATTGGATACTGGGTGAGCGTCCAGCTCTCTGCTGAGAATCGTTCGACATTGTATGAATCAATGTTACCACTCCTTCAACCAAATGAAGACATGGTCGTCCGCCTTACAGCCGCGAACACCATCAAATTGGCTGTTGATGACTTTGGATTCAATGCAGACGAATTTTTGAAGTACTTGGAGCCACTGTTCTCATTACTCTTTCAGCTTCTGAAGGATTGTCAAGAATGTGATTCAAAGGTATAAATTTTGTTCAGCAGATATGAATTAAAGGCCCTTGTTTCAAGCGTTCAGAAGATAATTTTTTTTTTTCTAATTTTTTATTATTAAACGTACTCTTAGATGTCCCAAAGGTTCTAAGACTAGTGCTGTAATTGCATTTTTTAATAATTAATTATTAACACGTTGACTGCCACGCCGGTCGTATCGACCGGCCTCGAAGGGTTCTGCCGGGGCCACGCCGGTCGTTTCGACCGGGACCCGCTCGCTCGCATTACTAGGCTACTGTGAGGCCAGCGACCGGCGGAGCCGTGTATACGCTTATGGCTCACGACCGGCATGGCCCCAGCAAGAGAATGCACCACTGAATTTTTTTTTTTT